GCCTAACAAGACTACAGTACAATAACCTGATAGCATTAATACTTACAAATGATGTTTCTCTTTATAAACCCAAGCATACCAAGTGCTCTGGGTACTATTGCGTCAATGTGATTGACAAATGAGAGCGTGGAGTCCATAATAACACCCAGATCTCAAATGGATGCAACTTGGAACACTGGTGTACCCTTGATATTATATTGATAATCAATCCTGTTGATCTTCCTAGAAAAGCATATTGAGTGACACTTAGTGATGTTTAGGTCCATAGCATTATTCGCACACCATTCATCAAGCCTAGCCAGATCAGACTGAAGTTTGAGACAATCCTCAAGAGATGAGACTGCTAGGTACCACTTTAGGTCATCAGCAAAGCATAAAAATTTGGCAAAATTGAAACATTCTGAGATATCATTTATAAATAATAAAAATACCAAAGGTCCCAAATGGGACCCTTGGGGGACTCCAGATGGATTGGGAAAGTTTTTAGATCTGTAATTATTCAATTTAACAGTTTGGAATCTTTCAGATAAATAACTCGCCAGCCATTGCAATGTTCCCATGATCCCAGCAGTCTCCAGTTTAAACAAAAGTTTCTGACTGACCCTGTCAAACGCCTTGGAAAAGTCTGTGTATATGACATGCACCTTACCACCTCCATCCAACGTCCGACAGATAGTCAACAAAAGCAAGTAAATTCAGTTGTGTAGATTTTTTGTTAAAAAACCCAAATTGTTCTATTATTAATGAACTTAATTTAGATCTTAAGTAATCTGCTACTATCTTTTCAAACAACTTTGGAATGGAACTAAGATTACAGATGGGTCTATAGTTGGATATGTCTGCTCTGTTACCAGACTTGAAAATAGGTGTAAGATAGCTCACTTTCCAGAAATCTGGGAATATGCCTGAAGCAAGAGACTTATTAAATATAATGTGAAGTGGCCGCGAGAGAACAAAACTACAAAATCTGAGAACAGAAGGGGGGATACCATCAGGTTCTGGTCCCTGGTAATGTCAATACTAGTCATCTCGTCATAAATGGTTGATACAGGAATAAAATACTCAAATACAGAAATGTGATTAAGTGACGGTTTACTTTGAGGATCAATATGCTTATCAATATATACTGACTGGAAGTATTCTACAAAAAGATCAGATAAATCTGGTCCCAAATAACATTGACTATCATTGAAGAATATCAATGGTGGTAAATCAATCCCATTTCGCTTACTCTTAACAAAATTCCAAAACTGTTTTATGTTTCTATGATCTGTTAAATGAGACTCAGAATTTACAATAAACTGTTGATAGCATCTTTTTGATAATGTTTTACAATCAGAATGTAATTTACTATAGTTTACATAATCGCTTTGTAATACTGAACTTTTAAATTTTTTGTGAGCTTGTTTTTTAAATATTGTCAGCTGCTTTAACTCTGAGGAGAACCATAATGGAAATTTTGTTTTGGATCTATGGAGTTACAATAAGATCCCCTCGTTATTTACTTATAACTTTTTTTTCTCAAAAATAGTATACCAGATGGCTACTCTTTAATTGAAATGTATTGGCTACCTATTGATGGTAATACAAAGTTGGTTAAATTCAGAAAAATTGTATATTTTGAAGTCCAGTTTGAGGATGTTTTGATAATCAAAATATCAGTTCTGGTTTCTGAAATATTCAATAAAAAAAAAACAAATTATTCCCATTTCTTTATGTCACTACAGTAGGCTTATTTTCAAAAATAGACAAAAACTCAATCAAGGTTTTCTTGTTTTATATCAAGTTATGCATAATAATAATATTTATTCGGCTTTGAGACATACATATTTACAATATTTTAAAAAGGTTAAAAAATGTATAAACATATAAGACCTATTAGACTTGTCAACACATACAATTTTAAAAAGTAGAGACATGCTACAATTGAGTTTAAAATAAAGTACAAATTAAAAATAGTATACAATAGGGCAAAAACATTAGACAATAATTATAATAAAGAGATACCATTATGGATCACCAAGTATCATTCATAAATTCTGCATAGGAATAATATGTTTTGGACGAAAGATATACATAAAGCTTATTTTTGAATACATTAAAGATTTTTTCATTACCATTGACTTGAGTATTATCTATTAAAACATGCAACACCTCTGTAGATTTCGGAATTCTGTCCAACTGAGAGTCTAGACAAAGACTGCTGTAGATATTTGTGATTGCGTGTGTTATAATTGTGTGAGTGTCTATAATCTGATAGTTGGGATTCCTGTTTTTTTTTATATTAAGTATTAGTAAGTATATATACAAAGATGGAAGTGTTAGGATTTTATAGTCATAAAAAAGTTGTTTGCAGCTAGTTGTTCTTGAAGCCCCAGTCATGAATCTTATAACTTTTTTTTGTACATAAAAGGCTCGCTCCAGATGAGCTGAGCAGCCCCAAAAAATTAGACCATATGAGATAATTGATTCAACCAAACCAAAATATGTCAATTTAAAAACATTGGGATTTACAGTGGTTTTTTAACTCATTAGAAAACATACACTACTTAGTTTATTTGATACATGATCTACATGGTTCTTCCACGTCCAGAATTAGACCTAAGAAATTGCTCGAATATGTATCAATGATTGATGATTTAGTTTAAAGAGATAGCTGAAGTTATTTGTTATATTTTTTGGTAGAAAGGTCATGATTTCAGATTTTTTTACTTTAACATTTAAGCCCTGTGAAATACAATAACTATAAAATTCATGTGCAGCACTATTAGAAATATATTGAAGTTCATATGCATTTTTTGTTGATGTTCTAAAAGTTGTGTCATCTGCATATATAATTTTGGTACTTTAACTTGTACAAGATAGAGCTAAGTCATTAATAAAAACTAAAAATTAAAACAGGGCCCAATATTGAGCCCTGCGGTACTCCCGTTGTCACATTTCGACTATTTAATTTACTGCATCCGATGGTTACAACTTGTTCACGATTGTTTAAATATGACTGTATCCACATATTTGGCAAGCCCCTTATACCTATTCAGTACAATTTATCTACTAGCAGTCGATGGTCAATTGTTATTTAAAGATGTGTAAACAAAAGCTCATAACTCCCCTATAGCACTAGATGTTGACTTATTTCTGCAAAAACCATGTTGAAATTTACTCAAAAGTCTATTATGTTCTAGAAATTTAATGAACCTGTTATTATATGCCATTTCGAATACCTTAGCCAGTTGACTTTGAATGCAGATGTTTCTATAGTTTGCCATGTCATTTACAGACCCTTATTTTTATATCTAGGAATGGATTTTGATTTTTTTAATATGCTAGGATAGTCACCACATAAAAAACTCGTTTATAAGGTAGGACATAGGTATACTAATATTTTCAGTAATAAAAGACAAAATTGTTCTATCTATTTCATCTATACCAGATTTTTTGCAAGTTGTTTTCTGTATAATTTCAGTTATTTCTTTTGGGGTAGTTGGAGTTAAAAATAGAGTACTTATAGAAAAATCTTGAAGTCTTGCTTCACTATAATTTGGTAGAAGATAGTCAACATCAGTAAACTGATTATTAAAAGCATTACATATATTTTGTACACCAGAAATTTTGTTGCCTTGACAATTTAGTATCTCAATGGGTATGATGGTGTATTTTCTTGTTTTATCCAACGTTTCATAAATGCAGGATCACCATCAACTTCTTTATTTGACTATGAACCAGTTTTATTCTGACAAATTTTAATATAGAATGATGTAATAACATATTGTGATTAGTCAACATTTCGAAAGATTTGAACATTATATTTTTCTTTAGATTGTAATTTAACTAGGGCTGCTTTCTGACCTAACTATTAGAATCCTGGAGTACCTATTTTGTTTCCAAGTAATATTTTCAAATTCACATTCAATTTAGAAAATATAGAATCTATAATAGAGTAATTATATTTTTCTTTAGATTTTAATTTAACTAGGGCTGCTTTCTGACCTAACTATTAGAATCCTGGAGTACCTATTTTGTTTCCAAGTAATATTTTCAAATTCACATTCAATTTAGAAAATATAGAATCTATAAGAGAGTAAATGAGTTTGGAGAACTACAGTTGAATGGTAATTTTAAAAAATATATACAATATTACTACTTAAGCATAACTCTAGGTATAGGTACCTACCTAGATAATTAATACTTACTTTTTGAAGAAAAAAAAAATGAAATTCAAGGCGTACCTAAGGGTATTAGTTAAAACAGGCCATGAGGAAAAAATGTTTGGAAGCTTTTTAGGTACCTTACCTAAAAAGAAATTTTACAATATTTTTAATTACCTACTACAGATTGTATAAAAAAGCTCCCAAAATGGGCCACCCCTGGCAAGCATTTATGATCATTAGTCATTAGTAGATTTTCATAAATAATGAGTAACTACTAGAAAATAAAGTACAACAAAATAAGTTCAATAAACTAACAAAGCATGCAGTCTGCATGGCGATAAGGAAAGCAAAACTGTTTATTTTCATGGCTTATTTGGAACCACAATAATAGATAAAGCTTTCAATGCTGATTTTGTATTCTATTGTCGTCGACATTAAGGTTATAACTATTAACTGTATCAAATCGGTAAAATTGTCCTTAATTAAAAATTTCTAAACCTTCAGAATATAAAATTTACACTGATTGAGTAAACATTTACTTGGATTATTGCAATAAGGAGTTATGATACAGAAATCCCGATTTGTGTGTTCAAGTACGCCCTTATTTATCGATTTTATTTTTAATATAAACAAACAAAAATACATATGTATACCTAAGTAGAAGTAGAAATTAACGAAAATGTAGGACATACGACCAATATGACAGTTGACAAAATATAAAAGGCATAATGATGCCTACGTGAAATCCAGGATTATAAATTCAGCCAAACTACATTTACCAAAGCCATCCTCTACAATATAAAATTATCCTTAAACTAATTCATATGAAGCACAATAAAATTCATTTACCTGAGTGTTGTTGGTCGTTGCTTCCTCGATTTTATCAGTTTCCATCTTTATCATTGTAGAAATTATCAACTAAACAAATCGATTACGATAAAAACATACGCACTAATTTTTTAAAATGTTTGCTTGAAACTATTTACACTAACACATTATTTTAAATAACAATTTCAAAGGTTTTTAATAACTAATAGAACGATCGTCTTACACAAAATCCACGACGATCACAACACACTTCTTGCTCCGATGCAGAAGTGTGGCATGAAAGAAAAGTCTTAAAAGAGTCAAAAGTCATCATTGAACTGCCAAAACCACTACACAATGTTGCCAACACTGATATCAAATAATCACCAAAATAGAAGCTAGTTTTAAGTCTTTTATAAAGAAGAAACTATACAATCTATGTATACAAAACAGGTTCAGTATAATTATTAATCTGTTGTTAAGTATTTAAATAAAAATAAGATTACATTTGGCTCTTTTGAATATTAAAAATAAAATACTAATAGGTTATTTTTGTTGGTACACCTGAAACCGTTGATTCGATGATAATTGCGGGAAATTTGAATCAGTTGGGTTATGCAATGAAGTCGGCATGTTCTATTTTTAATTAATAAAAAAGATATTAAAGAAAACCCTATGACTAATTTAGATTTATTTGTAGAAAATGGAAAAAAGATTATTGGTGTTGCAGCTAATTATAGGTATGATATTATTTTTGAGTTCGTTTAAATTTAGAAATAGGTACCTAACCGAAAATAACGACATAATTCTGAAAGTTATATGAAAACAATATAATATTGATTTTTGTTTTGTTATGCAAGATCCAAAGCCTCTATTAAACTTTATTTTACAAAAAATAACCTGTCTCAATATAAATATTATAAAGTTCATATTTTATTCTTTATTATTGACTTAGTTCATTCTGTAAGCTGTCCCAGTAACGCACAGGACCGTACTTACATTTTTAGGCGCCCTCAGTATCATTATTTTATTGGAATATTTTTTAAAGGTCTTTACTTAAAGTTCTGAAAAGAGAAGTACCACAAGTTCCAGAAATTTTTATTAAACCTACTACATCGTATATAACAGAAAATGAAGCAATTGTGGTAAATATATGCTTTAACTTTTTTTTTAAAAACTATATAAAGTATATATATTGTATATCAATTTCTATCGTATATCTTCATCACATGTTTTAGATCCCAAATGGATTTTCAGTAAACCAGGAAGTAGAGCTAGGTGTTATTATTGGAAAAAAGGCAAAAAGAGTTAAAGAAAATGAGGCAATGGATTACGTAGGTGGTTATTGTGTTGCTCTAGATATGACGGCAACTTGTAAGATAGTAAGTAATATAATACTTCTGTACAAATTGCTAATAATGTCAGTCATTTTTTCATGTATCTCTCTTACAAAAAAAAAATTAATAGGCCAAGAATTAAAGAAAAGAAATGAATGCATCGGCCATAAAGAGATCGAAGCTGGAACCTTCGGACTCACTGATCTTGCATTATTTTCTTTTGACTATAGCCGGCTGCGCCTTTACCAGTTGGGCTATCGAGACACAAAGCTTGTACAGTATAGAAACCACGTAGATTTGAAGTCAATCAGATTCCGACTGTCGTCGGCGCACACACCTTTTAATTCTTTGAAGTCAATCAAATTCCGACTCTTGTCGGCGCACAAATTTTCTAATCCCACTTCAGCTCTCTCAATACCCCTTAAAGCCACCCTTGTGACATCGTACGGAAGGACGATAATCTTATTGTATTAGACCCAGACAGCACTCCAAATCCTTTGGATATCTACTGGACATCTCAATATCCACTGAATGTCCAGTCCATGGTGGATATCTATTTTATATCCATGAGATGTAATTTATAGACATACAAATGTCCATAAATAATAGTAATTATATTGCAAATTATTAAAAAATTACGCCATTGTGCTCGCCATTGTGGCTAATAGTACCGTTCAGATATTTAAAATTAATTTTTTTAAGGTGTATTCAATATCCCATGGACATCCACTAAATATATCAAAGTCTAGGCTCAAACACAAACCATGGTGAATAAGAAGAAAGTCATTCTTGGACCGGTTTCGTCCTTATTAGGACTAGAATTATTTTCTTTTTTAAGAATAGCCCGCCTGGCTTTTATTCCACCTAGTCTCTGAACTATGTACTACAGCGACCTTTGATTTTGCTTACTAAGTCTGGATGGCGATACCACTTTCGCTCGTTGAATATCTACTCGTGCTCAACCCGCCGTAATTGAGTTCGATCGAAATTGGTATTGCAATCATGCAAGACTCCATTAGAGACTGGAGTCGAGAATTTCTATTTATTGCTGAAGAGTCATAATAAGGATAACTTTCTCCTTAGTGGGCAAAATCAAAGGCAGTGTTGAAAATATTTTCTATCTCTACTATTTTCTTTCGACGTTATTCAATAATCATTGGTTACTTATGAACCTCTACTAAAGATACCCATAAAATATTTTGCTGAATATCCATAGAATATCTTCTATATTCTGGGATATAGACGGACATTTGGATATCCATATTAGATCCACTGGATATATTGGATATCCACAAAATATATTATGTGGATATCTCTGGGATTTCTTGTAGTGTCTGGGAGATACCCATTAGATATTTTGCTGGATATCCATAGGATATCTTCTATATTCTGGATATAGACGGACATTTGGATATCCATATTAGATCCACGGGATATTTCTGATATCCTGTGGAGGATATATTGGATATCCACAAAAGATATTCTGTGGATATATTTGGTGTGTTGTCTGGGGAATGAATTTCTAAAATCCTTCATTCGTTCAGTGTTACGTGTTGAAATGAGAAGTGAAGTGAGAAAATGGGTTAAGATCTGAAACAGAAAACTGAAATGCAATATGTGAACATACGGTTCCAGGTTCGATCCCTGGTCGATGCATTAATTTTTTATTCTTTAATTCTCAGTTTTTTCAACTTTTCTTTGGTTTGTTTTCACTTTGGGAATACGGGGGAGTATTTTTTCATATTTCCAAATACTTCATTTCAGTTTTCGGTTCTTATAACCGCTTTCTGCGCTTCATTTTTCAAAATATTTAATTACTAACAGTTTTTAACATAGCGGTTTGTTGATTTTAAGGAGGTGTTGGGTACAAGACAGATATTTTATTCTTCGTTTTTTTTTTTCATCAGCCAATAACAAAATGGCTTGATTGTGATACCTACACCTAATTTATATGAGAAAATTCTTCTCGTGCCAATCAAAAACCCAACCTACATTTTTTATTTCTAGAAAGAAGCAAGAAGTAAAGGCGGTTCCTGGACTTTAGGGAAAGGTTTCGATACGGCAACACCAGTCAGTAAATTTATCCCCCGATCCTACATACCAGATCCGTACAAACTAACTTTGTGGTGCTCAGTCAACGGAAAAATGCGCCAAAAAGGTTCTACGAATGATCTCGTCTTTAACATACCTTTTCTAATAAGCTACATCAGCAAATACATCACCTTGGAACCCAACGATCTGATTTTGACGGGTTCCCCGCCTGATATGGGTCCAGTAAAGGAAAACGACGTTATCGAAACCGGAATTACGGACGTTGTCGAAGTAAAATTTAAGGTGTTTAATGAAAACTAGTTTATTTTTGTCACTTAATAAAAACTTTTACTCTTCCAATTCTTTAATAATTTCCTCTTCTTCAACTTCCACCTTCATTATACTTCTTATATTCGTCTCTAAAGTAACGTCTCTATTGCAATATAGGTGGTCGCAAAGGTAGGCAAATGAGGAACCAATCAGCGCACCTCCTATTACATCTGAAATGAAACAAAATTAAAGCCAGGCACAACACTCTACGCATCTGATTGTCTATTAAAATGGTATAGTCAGCTATTTTACCATTATTGCCCGCGAAGATGCTTTGTTTTTACCTTCTTTGAGTTTCATTCTTTTCAAATTTAGTTTGGTAAGGAGTTTAATATATTTATTTGTTCGTTTTTAATTAGCGAACAGTACTATAAAGAGCACTTATCAGAAAAGTACAATGTCGGTTGCATATACGTTATGCGGTTTTGACTCTGAATAAAGAAGTACATACACATGTAAAGAAGTACATAATAGTTAATATTATACAATATGTTATCTTTTCCGTCCTGTCTCCAGGACAACGGTATAGAAACATAATGCCAATGAATAAAGGTAAATAGAATACTACCGTTGCTGAGTGGGGACCTCAATATCCCATCCCAGTATTCGCTCCGTGCGTGACAGTAGCGCCAATTAATTAATGTACTAATGGACGATTTTTGCGTATACTGACAATACGAGGATGTATCAGAAAATAACGAGACTGGTGCTATAGTATAACAACGAAACATTTATTTAAAAAAATTCAACAACTATCCTTCGAAGTACTCTCCATTCTGTTGAATACACTTATCCCATCGCTTTATCCTCTTATCATAAACTTCTGAGAAACCATTTTTTGATAGTCTGTTTAGTATACCCATTACAGCGTTGTTGAGCTCTAAATCCGACTCAAATCTTCTACCTCTCAATTCTTTTTTGACTTCAGGAAACAAATGGAAGTCACATGGAGCAAGGTCAGGAGAGTAGGGGGGATGAACCATAATTTCAACCCCTAATTCTTCAATTGTTCGTTGACAAATCATTGATCTATGAGCCGGAGCATTGTCGTGATGCAGCGTCCAGCCAAAGTCCTGATAAAGCGGCCTTTTTTTCTTTAATTTTGCCTTTAAGGGTCCTCGAAGTACATTAGAATAGTACTCCCCTGTTACTGTATATCCTCTAGGTACAATGTGATCGTAAATAACGCCAAATTTGTCAAAAAAAATCAGGTGCATCACTTTACCAGCGCTTTTAGCAGTTTTGGCCTTCTGCGGTCTTGGGCTGCCTTTATGCTCCTTTGCATACTTTGAGACTTCAATTCAGGATCGTAATGATAAAACTTTCGTCACATGTAACCACATTATTTAAAAACTGTGGGTTACGTTGCAATTGCCTTTTCTACTGCTGACAAATTGTCACTCGATTCGCTTTTTGTTCATCGGTCATCACTTTTGGAATCCATCTTGCCGCAATCTTCCGGTACTCTAAATCTTCATGAATAATTTTTTGAGTGGTACCGTAAGACAAATTAACATTGTCAGAAATTCGTTTTATGCCAATCCGGCGATCATTTTGTATCAAGTCGTTAATTTCTGCAATTTTTGTGTCATTTCTCGCAGTTTGTGGTCGACCGGGACGAGGTTCATCTTCAACTGATTCACAACCGTCTTTAAACTTTTTATGCCACTCAAACACTCTACATCGTGATAAACTATTATCTAGATATGCACATTTAATCATTTCAAAAGTTTCAGTTGGTGTTTTACCCAATCGAACACAAAATTTTATCGCGTATCTTTGCTCCACTTTCATTTTTCGATGGGTACGCAAAACACTGACAATTCAATAATTAATTTGTAACAAATGTCAAAAGTTAAATCAAAGCCTACTTGCGGGGTAGTACATTAAATATAAGGCTTTCATGTCTCATTTTTTGGGTAATAAAATGTTACCTCTGAAAGAAGTTATAGCACCAGTCTCGTTATATACTGATATATCCTCGTACAATTTTTAATGGAATTCGTAATTAAAAAGTATATGTTAGTTTTAATAAAAGTATATGGATTTGTAAAACAAGTGAAAACATTAATTTGTTAATACATATTTTTATTAATTCAACTAAAAAATGTAAGAATAATCAATAAAAAATAAAAGATAGGCAGTCAACAGTATTTACGAGAAAATGTATGAGAAGTTGCTTAAGTCTAATAAGTTGTGAGTTGTCTTTGAAGAATTAACCTATTCTGTCAAAATAAAAAAATGCCATTAAATAATAGCGTGAAGTTAAAACGTATAAACAAAAGGATTGTTATTTATATTTTCTTCATTTTTGTTCGAAAGAAAACGTAAGTATATCACAAAATTGCATTCCAGCCACATAAAATAATCAAAGACAGGAATCTAGTCCTTGCTGAACATTTAAGATTAATGGGACGTTGAAGAACATCGTAAAATGATAATTAATTATTTATTTAAAACCTTTTAAGTTTCAGGTGCCTTCTGTTTCCAATATTACTGTTATTATTACAAAAATAGAGGTAAATTTTCCTCTTATTGTACAGCTATCCATTTATTTTTTTGATTTAATTTCCACGTTGCTACTGAAATTTTTTATAATTTACACTGTTTTTTTTGTTAGTATTTTTAAAATTTACAACACAGTAACTCCGGTTGCTTATTGTATTGTTTTTACCTACTTTTTTGAAAAGAAAAGTAAAATGTATATGTGTATTTAATACACCAAAATTACAAAATATCGCCCTAAAATGCTCGAATTATCCGCAGCTTGCGCTAGTATCGCTTTTGACTTCGCACTGAGCGAATAGGTATCAATAGAATGCATTTACTTGCCACCTAAAGGGCGTGGTCCGAGATAACAGAGATATAAGCAGTCATTGATAAAATATAATATTCACGATGCCAAGATTGAGTCGACAATCATAACACTCTAGTTGTAGGGACGGGGTGAGGCAACGAAAGGTGAGAAGTAAGAGAAGAGGGATAAAGAGAAGTATTTTACGCAGATACAACTTATTTTTATCAATGAATAAATGTATAAGCCGCTGTGCGCTTATAATAAAAAACGTAAATATCCATGCCGGTGTAAGCCCTGTTGCCACTTCCAACCTAACATCACTAGGTTTTGGAATTTATTGAAAATTATTACATCTAATTTAGTGAAATTACATCTAATTTATTTAAATTTAATATAACTAATGATTCAAAATTTTTTGGGTTCAGTTGCAATAAAATAGGTTGAATTATTTTAGCTTTTTTAATATATGTAAACAATTTTGTAAACAAACTGAGAATAATGAAATAGGCATATGACAACAGCGGATATTATACTCGCATGTGTCCCTTAGAACAACTATTCTCAACCGCTGGTCCGGCGGACCATTAGTGGTCCGCGGAGAAATTTTACTGTCACGCAATTTACGGTCCGCAATTTTTTTTTAACAAATCTGCTGGTCCGCGGGCCAAAAAAGGTTGAGAAACGCTGCTTAGAATATGTCTTATTCAGGACCGCACGATATTTGTTAGTAGTTACATCTCCTCGTTATCTCTGGACGTGGTTAAACCAATTACTCGCTTCATCGTACTCACCGTTCAAACATAATTAAGTATTTCATCTTTATTTTGCTTGGTGAGTCGTGTTAACATACTGAATATATCTAAGGGTTTTTATATCTACATACAAAGTTGGTTGTACACAGTCGGGCCAAGCCCTAAATAGCGACTTATTAGACTCTTCAAAGTGAGTGTTTTTTTGCCTTAATATAGACTTGAAAGGTACCTTTACAGTTTGTCCACTTAATACATATTTTCCTCATGTTTTTCCTTTCGACGTGTATCCCCTCTCCAAAGCTTCGACAATCTACCTTGGCTATGGAAATCATTCCGTTTGCGGAGGAGGTAAATACTTGATAGTTATTCCCGATAAAAAAAAATCTTCCGATTGGACAAAACCATCAACAAAGCCATACTATCGCTTTGGATCCTCAGAAGGATAAACGGCAAAGCATGGGAGAATAATCCCAAACCGATCAGCTGGATTCATCAAACCGTGGTTAAATAAAAACCATTACGGATAGGTTGTCTGGTGGGACAGGGACTACAATTTACGGCCAGTGCAAAGTTGTCTATAATTCAGTGGATTTTGCGTGCGTGCACTATACCGTCGGGAGCCATGGAGACTATGCCGAATCTAACCCCTAGTCATATCTTGCTGGAAAGGGAGGTCAGGATGGTCTACTACAGACTCCTGGCGGTGGTGGCGATGGCACAAAACTGGATTTTTGAGTGAAATTAATGACCGCCACATTCTCGGCATGGTCTCAGATTCGCTAGTTCCCCAACAGCACATAAAAGTCATACAGTTTCCTCATTCCAGAAGAAAGAAACGAATGAAGGAAGGTAGATATTCCCCTCTTCCAAATAGATGGCTAGATAACTGAAAAAAGAGCAGGAGCGGGAGTATTCAGCAAGAAGACAAGAGTTGACAAATCAATAAACCTGGGAACTCTTGTCGCAATCTTCCAAGCAGAAATTATCGCTATAGAATTGGGAGCGATAGAGTTGTTTAATTTCCTTCTTGCTAACAGAACTATTAAGATCTCTTTAGAGGTCTGGCAGCCCTTAAAGCTCTGAGCTCCAACCGAGTTAATTCACAGCTGGTTTGGAACCATTGAAAGTTTATATGAGTACCTCGGTGCCCGGAACAAAGTTTTTTTTGATATGGGTTCCGGAAAAAGCGGTGTAGAGGACAATTAAAAAGTCTTCACGATCGCTTGAAGAAGAATAGACCATAGGACCAGAACCATTTCCTTGACATTGCTAAAAGCACTGCCAAAGTAATTATCTTCAACTGCACAACAAATATCGGACTGTCGATTCTGCATCGTAGAAAACGAATCTGCAGAGCAGGCATTCTCAATACCTATTCCGCCATGAAAAGAGCTAGCTTCCGGGTCTTTTGCTTTACCGGATATGAGCCTACTGACTGTATACAAGTTTTACCTAACTCAACCATGATGCGTTCATCAACAGGTGTGGTTTGTACGGTAAACTATAATTTAGACATGGGCCACAATAGAGTCACATATATGTCGCAGTGGAAGAGGTGATGCAAGATGCAATCATCCCATTTCTTTTCAACCTAACCCCCTCACCGCCTATAAGCTAAATTAAAAAACCAATTTGACTTTTGAAAGATTTCGCAGCAAACTGTATAGCCAATGTAATAGCACCATTACCTGAATAATTGTTATGGTAATCCATTGTTCTAGAAACTGCAACTCCACAAGCCACCAACATCAGAAGGGACATTCCCACTATAATGACACCTTTTAAAAATCTTGGTCTCTTTAAGTCCAAAACGTGGTACAGGTGTATAACCATGTAGGTCATGCAACAAAACGCAAAACAAGCATGAGCACTGGGAAAACCTTTTCTTCCATCCATCTGTCCATGGTACTCACCGTCGCACATGTCTATATCGGTACCGTATCTATTAAGGAAAGAATTATTTTATTACATCACTTGAAATATTGTATTTTTAATGAATAAAAGCTTAGAAAAAAGGCTTTTATATGGAAAATTGAATCTAGATTAGCATGTTGAAAGCATTTTTAACACGTACCCCTCAGGAAAACATCTCAAATAAAAGTTGGGTCTTGGTCTACCGACCGCTATTTTTAATGTGGCGACGAACAGCCCGGACATGCAGTAGGCCAATGTTAGACCGTAAATGCCGCTTACGATATCAGGAACAGTGTGTGGATTTTTTCTCAATGTGACAAACTGGAAAAAATAAATAATGAATGGGACAGCAACTATGATTGCGTACATATGGATTCTTGGAACTAAACTATCCACTGATGGATATCTGTAGTACCATAACTCGTCTTCATCGATGTGACGAACGTAGGGCATTCTTCCATCCAACCACCTGAAATAAATTTTAGGTTGTTATATGATAATCTAAAAATATCTAAATATTAGATATAAAATAGAATAGCTATATAGAATGTAGTATAATCAAAGGCCGCCTGCGCAAAGCGAAGGTACAAAAATAGAGTAATGGTAAATGAAAATAAAGTAGAGAAAAGGCATAAGAGCTGCAGTGAATGTGGATTTGGTACTTACACTACAAAAACCCACAGACCAATTCTAAATAAACCTTCAAGAAATAAGTGCAGAGTTGTAGTTTCTTTATCCATTTCGTTTCAATTATTTGACGTGTAAACCATGTGTTCTTTTTTACTTTTTAAAGCATATTTGACTTAGAAATTTTGAATATTTTTTTTATATTTTTGAAGTTATTGAAATTGTCAAATTTTAGGTTAAATTTCGCAGCTTACTGAGAAAAACTTATCGTGTGTAGAAAGAAGTGAATCACAGAACAGAACGGATGTTATAAAGTGGCGCTGGGAAACAGCGGTCAAGTCTACAAAATTAATTATAAAGACGAAACTGTAAAAAATAATACAGCTTTTCGTATGGGAAATACACATATAGATAACTTAATATTCATAGAAGTACCTAAATATACTTACTACATTGTAATTTAATATCAAATAATATACATGGGTGAAAAAAACGGTCGGTGCGAATGACAATTTGGACGCCAGACTATCAATATCGAGCATTCTACGTCACGTTACACACGGGCGTACATTATTTTTTATTATTAACTGGCTATTTTAATAATTATTATTATTGGAACATTTGTTTCAGCTGCATATTAATCAAAAATCATTTTTAAGTGATTTTCTTAAAATAAAAAATGTCGTAGTTGAATGTAATAAGTATTAAATTTAATTTTGATGTTCCTTTTTAGTCCATTTTGATACGCACGTGTGGGCACCATATAGTGTCAAATATTACCTCATGTGGCTTGATTTTGTTGATTGGCTTTGTTTTTTCATTTTAAGTGTTAGATTACAGAACGTCTGCAACTTTGCAGATTTGCAAATATGGCGGACTGCAAGTATCAAGTTTCCGTATTCCAAAAAATATCTGCAAAACAATACTAAACCCAAATCCATTACTATGTTAAAAAACTCGATAATCTGACACCATGAACTGTATTCAATCAAAAGGAACAGAAGACTTCATGGTTATTAAAAAAAAGTAAAGTAAAAAATTGACAATCTGCAAGTTTGTAGGATGTTCTAACATCCCAAAGTTACTACAGACGCAAAAAGTGAAAACACGTTTCTATAATGCCATGTTTCTTTTTTGCAACTGCAACCTGCAACTGATATTTGCAGATGTAAGTACGATTTGTAGATCTTCTGTAATGTCACCCTTAAGGGTGGATTTGAGTTTATTGTTGTTTGAGGTAATAAACCACAATAATTATTGATTATTATATTGATATTTGCATCTCGTAAGTCTGCCATATTTACAGATCTGCAAAGTTGCAGATGTTCTGTAATTTCAGCCTTAATATATAGTTCAGTGGGTCATCACTATGAAGACTATATAGTCTTCATATAGTCCTCACTGCGAGCCGCTTTTCGTTGATCATAACTTATGCCGCGTTTGAGAATCCACATCGGATGCATTTTTTACATCTCGAGCGTTTTTTTATCCACATCGGACACATCTGTCCCATTACATTTACGTATACTGAATCACGTGATCAAAGATTTTTTACATCTCAGATGCATCCGATGTGGATTCTCAAACGCAGCATATGAAGCCCCGTATATGTATATGGGTGAGCAATCTATATAAATATATCATTGACTCTGTCAAATTCACCATTTGTACACAATGAACAGGAGTGGGGTAGAAAGCCAATGTGCATATTGTATCAATAGAACAAGATGCGACTCTATGGGCGCAGCCATTTTTATTTCTCATCTCACTCAGGAGTATTTATGATAACCATTTTCTATTTCACATTGTTATTATTCAATCCACAAGCTGGTGGATCAGACAATAACAAAGTGAAATAGAAAATGGTTGTTATAAATACACCTGAGTGAGATGAAAAATAACCTCTCTTCGCCCATAGAGTCGCATCTCAAGCCTATTGACAAGCATTCTACTCCACTCCAGTTCATTGTTTGTACAGGGGGTGGGTGGCTCAGTGGTAGAGTCTCTGCCTGTGGATCCAAGGGTCCCAGGTTCGAATCTCACCGTTGGCCGGGATTTTTTTATTTAATTTAATTATTTTAAAATTAATTCTGATGCCTTGGTAGGATTCTCCACTCGACCATTCACTGTTGGGTTCTAATTCAGTGCTGTTCCTGAAGTGGCGCTGGGAAACAGTAACAAAGCCTACGCAGAACACACATGAATGAGAATTTAAAGCACAAACTTGAGACTGCATGGCATATTAGGTATATATAGGATATGATATAGGGGTCTATTCTGTAACAATTCCTTTATATTTAACGGCATTTAAAAATATTTTCTTTACTTCTGTCATTATTTAAACGGATCTTTGAAATACATTAGAGGACTATCTTAAAGAAATCTGTTTAAGTAATGACAAGTAAATTAACGAATACGAAAATATTTTGAAAGGCCGCCAATATTTTTAAAGGCCGTTAAATATAAAGGAATTGTTACCGAATAGACCCCACTATAGGCCATAAATCGAATAAAAAAACTATTTGTACAGGACAGGACCATGTCAAAGAGTATAGTTAAACCATGTGGACCAGGACCAATGAACTATTCTTTGACCAGGACAGTACCTTAAAATGCCTAATTAAATTTTCAATATATTTTAGTGTCCTTTTGAATTTTATGTTACCCAGCTGTTATATTCCAGCCCCGTAATGATATCCTTCAGTTCGTCGGTCCGTTGGATAGGCAACACCAAATACAGTATCCATATAGAAACATAGAAACCTAATAAATGATCTACCCCACTAATTAAAATTAAAAAAGATAGAGTATCTATATTTTGCATTCTATTTGATTAATGGTTTTATATAAATAAATATAAACATTTATTTATTATTTTCGTTGTTTTTATTAATCTTGTATCATGAAGGAAGGATAATAGAAAAGGGTATGGTCTATGTTGTGTACTGCACATAGACCATATCCTGTACTGCAGTAGGCTAGTCGGCCAGTAGGCACTACAGCAGTCCCCAAACAAGTTTTGAAACCTTTCTTTTAGAATATAGGGTTGCGCATTTTTACTTGTTTCCTTGTTTCGTTTGTTGATTTGATTAAAAATTATACCAACGAGGTAGATTTATTTATGCTTTCATATTGCCTGAGTGATCGTGCCTGAGTGATATATTTGTTTATCTAATATTGAAGTTTTTTCAATTTTCAGTTAATTGCGTCATAATCTTTACATTCACATTTGACATTGACAGTTGTGACGTCACCAAAGGTGATTGGCAAATGGCGAACTACTTTTCAAATTAACTTAACATTGTATAAATATGCAAGCGTTTTTATTAATGAAATGTATATAATATTTTTTCAACAAAATGAAAAAACATTGTTTAGTTTAATTGTAATAATAAAAAATTAACTAAATCCTCGCAATTATTGTTAGGGAAATTCATATTTTGAACTTGCCGCTTTATTGTAAATTATAGAGGGCAATAACATGAAAATTTGCGTTGTTTTTTGAGTGGAGGTTGTGTTGGTGAGTGAGAAGATTTGGGATAAAATTCCGGCTTCTCTGCATTAGAAGCCTATCCTGTAATTTAAAAATTTTATTCTTGGAAAAACAAATGAAACTAGAAGGAAATGGCTGACGAACAGGTTTGTTCTATGTTTGGTTAAAATTTTAATATTTATCCACTTTTAACTGGAGATTGTATCAGTTAATTTTGTATTACATCTTTAGTTAAATTTTGTTTGAATTTTTCATTATTTAGACAATTTTGTAAGGTTTCAATTGAGAAGTTTCCAACCAATGAAATTAAGTGATTGTTTTTTTAAAAAGTCATAACTACCTACCAATCCTTAATTAAAATGCACAAATTATATGTATTGTCATAAGTTAATTATTGCAATCGGTTTTGTATGTCACAGGAGATAAGGCAACTGGAGCTCTTCTGCAAACAGTTGTATGAATCCCAAGACACAAGTGTAAGAGAAGATGCAGAAAAGACTTTAGTAATATTTCAAACAGGCCCAGATGCACTCACAAAGTGCCAAGTTCTTCTGGAAAGAGGAGATTCCTCTTATGCTCAGCTACTGGCAGCTACCACCCTGACCAAATTGGTATCTCGTTCTGCACATGGTTTGAGTTTACAGCAAAGAGTAGATATAAGGAATTATGTACTAAATTATCTGGCTACCAGACCAAAATTACCCAATTTCGTACTTCAAGCTCTAGTTACTTTGTTCGCAAGGATAACAAAATTGGGATGGTTCGATTCTCACAAGGATGAATTTGTATTTAGAAATGTTGTAGCCGATATTGGAAAATTCTTGCAAGTAAGTTTAATTTTAATTTCACATTTGCGATTTTAATTTTCAATTCTCTAAACCAAAACAGGTTTTAATTGAACAATTACACTTTTATTTGGTTGCAAATTTTTTGATATTTTAAATTTAGATTAAATAAAAATATGGATGTTTAGACATGCTATGAGTAATTTACTTTATCTTTTGAGTACTTTTTATTTTATCTATTAAGTACTATTTTTTATATTTAACTAGTATAAATATGTACAGAAAATGTTGATAAAATATTTTTTCCTTTCTTCCTATTCTTATATAGGCCCATTCAAAGTTCAAAAAACATGCTAAACATTAATGTAGGTATATTTCTTGGTATATCTAAATTGTCCAGTGCTGCAAGTTGTTCATTCTATTTATTAAATATAGCTTTCCACAAAATCAAATCTAACAAAAACACAGTACAGTAGAATTGTTATTTTTTAATGTTTTTAGATATAAAAGTACTTATATAAATAATATAACAACTTCTGTTGATATGTAACATCCATGGATATAGAAACTCATGTGAATATTAGGGAATAATAGAGAGTTATTGCAAGTTCACTTAAGGTCAGTCACTATTAGTGCCACTCTTATTTTGGCATCTAGGTATGCCTTCGAAAACTGACTGTATTAAAGATTGTGCCTGTCCTTAATTGTGGATGTTTAAGGGCAGCAGATAGTGGCGACTTTATAGCTTTCGGGTGTGCTTGCTGACATTTGTATCCGTTCGAAGTTTTTTAATATTAAATATTTAATATAATCGTCATCTAGACCTTCTAAAATTATAATTTCTAATGCCTGTTCAATATTATGTACTATTATGGGCAACAAAAAAGATGAACTGTATAGAGAAAGTAAAAGTTGAAAAGTCTTTTGGTAGGTAGAGAGGGGGTAAACGTCAAACCACGTCGGGCGGCTCCGAGAATTTCACAGTAATGTTTACCTGCCAGTGTCGTTTCATAGAATAAGTAATTTTAAATTGTTATCGGCGGAACCGGACAATCGCATGTATTTATGGATTATAAATAATTATTAAACATGTATTATAATATTCAAATTATAATTTTACAAAATTTCAGCAGCTATTCACAATTTATTAAACTATTTACTCGAAATTGTTATTAACATCTATAAAATAATTTTGTACGCCAATGTATCGCGTCCACTTCGGTGAGATCCGGTGCCAACCTGTCAATTTATGTGTATAAAGTGGGAGAACTGGCAAAAGCATTTCCAACTTTTACTTTTGTTTTAATTTGAAATTTTTAAAATGAGGTTACGTTACAAATATGTATATGTCAAAATTTCAGGTTTGCAATGTCTTATTTTAGCATGGAATTTATTTGCCTATAATTACGTTGTCACTGTTAGTGGCTGACGTTATAGAAATTTGCAATATCTTTCTAGTGATAAGAATAAAGATTTCTATTCATCCAGTTTTATAGAACTGAGTTTATATTCTCTATAACTTGAATGGTTAATTATAAATTATTGAAAATAATTACCAACTTAAAAGATCTTGGGAGTTTATCTTAATAATCATATAACTTCCAAACATCATGTTTTAATATCATCATCATCCCTAATGTTAGTCTTATATAATATATTGCTCTTTTATTTTTTTGTTGTACCTTGCTATGATTCAATGGTGCTTATTGCTTATTATACAGTACAATTCTTCCCTTCTAAGCATAAAGGTGTTGTATCTGCATTTTTAGCTATATTGGAGGTAATATCTTAGAAGGGCAAAATTGAATGAGTTGAGAAAATTCTGTTTTATCTATTATCTTCTAATCATTCAGAAATTTTTTAATTCATACCTACATAATTTTTTTTTATTCCTGCTCTGTAATTGGGCTTGCCTCATAGAAATAATATAGAAGACCAATATAAATATAAAATTTAAGCAGAAATTGAAACCTACTGTGCATAAAAACACATCTCTGTGCCTGACATTGCAAAATAGTGTGTCTAGAAGCATGCATGACTTGTCCCTGTAGTGTTGCCAAGTATATTAAACATACCTAACAGAAAAGAATTTTAAATTAATTTATTTTTAAACATATGATTTAAACAGTTTATATCTACGAAATATCGCCACAAAATAACTTATAAACATTTAAATAATCAACTACATAATAATATTTATGTGTAATTACATTCCCAAAAATATATACAAATGTTCAACAAGCGATTCACCTACAAATTCAATATTGACCTGGTAATAGCACTAAAATCCGGTGTTTCAAGGCTATATGACACTGCCCTTACAGGACCGTTTGTAGTTTATAATTACATGATGAAAGTGACATTTTATTTTTAGTTTTGTGTAGTATTTAGTTAAAATCTAGGTACAATAAAAGGCATTTTTACACTGGCTAATGAAAATGTAATCAATGTATTTAGCAGCTGTTATATTTACAAGATTTATGTCTGGAAATCTAAACCTACCTAAGAATTATAATTATGTAAATAGAGAGCTATATATTTATATACAGGCTGCCCAGCGACGGGGAGACATTATCGATATCTGACAAAACAATGAATGATTTTTTGTTAAAAATTGTTAAAAAATAGTAAGCAGGTTATGATCTTTCCATCCAAAATATTTTGACAGTTCTGTTATTTCCGTTTTAATTTAAATGAGATGCGACTTCTATTATTTCTGATAGCGATGGAACATTAAATGTTGCTTATTTGGAATATATACCTTTACACAACGCTCATGACGTCAGAAACCGTGTTTCAGTCGGGTATAATTTAAAATAAAGAATTTTAAAATGAACCCTATTAAATTGTACCTTTACCTAATATTTATGGCATCACTGGCCGAGTTTGCATCGGGTATATTTTTAAATGTAGAAACTGAAAATTAACCCTATTAAATACCTTTACTTAACATTTGTGACGTCACTGGCGAAATTGGTATGGTATACTTTCAAATGCGGGTTTTAAGGAATTTTAAAACATAAACCCGATCTCAACGAACTTAGAAACTCTTCGGTCACTCGATATTTTAATCGGTACTTTCTCTTCGCTTTTTGGCTGGCACAACAATTATTTACATTTCTTCATTCCTTACCGTGTGCGAACCAGTACGGTTTAAAGAAATTTTATAAAACCTACTTTAAAAATAAAGATATTAATGATTTTCTCATGGATCGCATCTTCAGATCTTGACTAAATGTTTATAGAACTATTCCTTTTCTAACAAAAAGAGAATCATAGAAATCGGGCAACGTGGTAAAGAATTATCGCTCAACATTCTGTATCTGTAAGTGTGGAGGGTGGGTTACCCCCATGACACTTAGGCCTCATTAGGCCCATTGTGCATCCTCCTGAGATGATAGATAGATACATACATAGTAAAAATATTTCAACGAATTGAGAATATCCTCCCATTTTGAAGTATGTTAAAAAAATTGTTAATAAAGTGCAAAGTAGGGCGTGAACATATATTATAAAGTATATAAAATGATAGATAAAGCCAGTTTAGAAGGTATTATACATAAACTGGAAATATTTTGAATCGGAAGAATTTGCTATGCGATTTAGAATGAAAGCTGATCAAAATAAAACACATGAACGACACGCTGTTATTGACGACTTTCTTTAAACGTTTTCTAGTTTTCCGAAAACTAACTGGATAGTTCGAAAATCATTTCCGTCGTTAAAGCGCCTCTTGTTCCGACAAAGGTACACGCCTTTCAACATTCATCATTCAATAAAAAAAGTGTTATATACAAAACGCTTCGTATTGTAAGGCCATAATATATTTAGAAATCAAAAGAGTCATATAAACAAAAAAACCATATAAGTGAGATAACTACCAAATTAATGATTTACAAGTTTATTCTTATTATCTATAAAATAGGTTTGCAATGTGCTGATGTGTAATGTTATCATTGACTAAAAACTTTAAATCTTTGTATTAAATTGATCGAAAACAATCCATAAATTGGTTTAGCTATATAGAATGTTTCTAGTAAACAGCGACTAATTTTTATTATGGAACTGAAAGACCCTTTTAAAAGGGTTCAAAATAAAATATATACCAAATAAATGTAGTAGTATTTTTTAATTTATATTGAAAATGGTAACATGAAAGGTTTCTGTCTAAATGTAAGTAACGACTCATAGTCTCGGCTGACAAAATGTAAAAAAATATCGAACATAATATTCCTGTGCGAAAAGCAACTGCCTCCGTATTTTCCACTCCCCAGATTAAATTTAGTTGTAGCAAATGATACTTTATCAAATAAGATGTCAAATCACAAGCAAACTCTCGTGACTACAGTACTCATGATTGCCGAAAATTAACTAATTCATATTTTATGCCATATCTTTCTTAATAAGGACTTTCAGAACCATATTTACCTTACTTGAATTTTTTTCATCGTTTTCTATATAGAATCATCTCTAAAAATGTATGACTGAAACATCATGTAAACTATTTGTTCGATCAATAAAAAACTTGCACCGGTCCTGTTCGAGCCAGCACCGTTATACGTATGAGCTCCGACACACTTTTTTCTCCTTATGGTTTCATTTTTGATATATTGAATCGGCTTTCTATACTATTTCTATGGCTTGCCTGTAGAACAGTGCAGTAAATAATTGAAATGTTTTGACCTATTGGGTAAGTTTTATAAACTATAAATGGGTTTTAAAAAAGTCAAGTACATAATTTGACACTGCTACATATAATTGACATGTCATGTATCTAATAACCACAGAATCGATGAGCGAGTGATAATTTTAACTTTTTTGTTTTATTAAGTATGTTTGTGTCCTATTTTATATATTTTAAGCTAAAAGAAAATTATAGTTTGTTTTATGTATTTATTAAATATATATTTTTAACAATAACATTGTGTTTTATTTCCAAAGTCTGTACACTAGTATATTTGTAACTTTCTCGATGTAATCACATATTCTAAAGAACTAAACCATCGTACCATCGTAACTGTTTTCTAGGGTTCGGTAGAACATTGCATGATAGGAGTGCAGCTGCTGTCGCAACTCACTTGTGAGATGAACCAAATATCCGAAGTGGAAGCCAATAGATCGCTCACCAAACACCGCAAGATCGCATCCTCGTTTCGGGACACACAACTCTTCGAAATATTTAGGCTCTCTTGTACGCTGCTCGGCAACGCCCGGGAGAATTGCAAAAATTTGAATTTTAATGATGAGAGCCAGCATGGCTTGATGACTCAGCTGTTGAGGTTGGCCCAAAATTGCCTCACTTTCGATTTCATAGGTAGGTGTGATTCTTTAACTATATGAACAAACATTTTATTATTAGTCTATATCATCAATCCATAAAAAAGTTCTGCTTGCTAAAAAAATACACTGTTCAAACTTTACATCTCATATAAAAGGTGAAAATTGGACAATTTGAAGATTGATCCTAGAAATAGTGAATCTAATTTTTCACAGACATGACCCGTGTCGGTTATGGCATACTTTAGTTTTTTGTGGATAACTTTTTATTATCACAACTTTTACAATGTGTTTATTTTAAGGTACATCTACTGATGAATCGTCTGATGATTTATGCACCGTACAAATACCGACCAGTTGGAGACCAGCATTCCTCGACTTTACCACACTAAAATTGTTTTTTGACCTCTACCATTCGTTACCCAACACTCTGTCATCATTAGCCTTGTCATGTTTAGTTCAAATCGCTTCCGTCAGACGATCCTTATTCAGCAATACAGAAAGAGCGAAATTTTTGACGCATCTGGTGAACGGCGTCAAACATATTTTGCAAAATCCTCAAGGCTTGAGCGATCCCGCGAACTACCACGAGTTCTGTAGGCTGTTAGCTAGGCTCAAGTCCAATTATCAGCTGGGGGAGTTGGTGATGGTGGATAATTACCCCGAAGCGATACAGCTTATAGCTAAGTTTACTGTTCAAAGCTTGCAGGTATGGAAAATAATAGTATATGAAATTTCCTCCCACCATTCAATTTTCATCCTTGCCTCGTTCTGCTCCTTCCATTTTCTTATCCCATAAACCTTACATTTAGAACTCCCACTATCTTTTTTTCACCCACTTTTTCTTTGTTACCTAAAAGACATTGTTTCCTTATGGTAAATGGCTTTTAGTCAAAAACTTTTTAATTTGATCACGGACCTATTAGCGGTTTATTTATTTTATTTATTCACGGGCCTTGTCCACTTTCGATGATGGTGGGTGAGGTTTTCCGGGTTTTCCTCACCTGTAAGTCAAATGGCACCATCAATCATCTTTAAGTCGCCCCGGAGCGCCACGGCAAATAATAATAATAATAGCCGTCCCTTCCCCTACACAAGTCGTTCAGTCGACTTCAGGGGTTGAAATTCACTCGTAAGGGGGTGAATTAGGGAGAGTATTATTATCATTATAGTACAAGTTACAAATAAAAACAAAAAAACCTCAAATAGAGTTAATCTAAATAATATGTCATAATAATGATAAACTAAAAACTAACAACAAAAATCATAAATATATTAACATGTACATAATCGAAACAATATTAAGACTAGGGAATTTAAGTTGCAGTAAGTTTTAACACCCTCACAAAATTATGCTTGAATTAAAAAATTCTAGACTATAAGCACAAGCATTAGCGCTTCGTGAAACTCTAGGCATGAATGAATTGGTTCTCATGTAGGGCTGATGAAAACTGTTTATTGATCTTGTGGCTTCTAGTTAGAACTGCCAACACCATACTTGAAATCAATGTAGGGCAATCAACCATATTAATGAGCTTAAAAAATAATTTTAGATTTGCCTGATCTCTTCTTATTCTCAAAAGTTGGTAAGGAGAATGTCTCTTGCAGTGCCGCAAAATCATAGAAATAGTCATCTATCCGTGGAATATTTGATTTAAATGCTAAGTAGCTAAGAAATTTTCTCTGAACCTGTTCTAATCTATGAATGTGACAAGTATACTGGAGGTTCCAGACTGAAGAGCAAGCAATATTCTAGCAGAGGCCTAACAAGACTACAGTACAATAACCTGATAGCATTAATACTTGTAAAGTCAGATGTGTTTCTCTTTATAAACCCAAGCATACCAAGTGCTCTGGGTACTATTGTGTCAATGTGATTGACAAATGAGAGCGTGAAGTCCATAATAACACCCAGATCTCGAATGTTTGCAACTTGGGACACTGGTGTACCCTTGATATTATATTGATAATGAATCCTGTTGATCTTCCTAGTAAAGGATATCGAGTGACACTTAGTGATGTTTAGGTCCATAGCATTATTCTCGCACCACTCATCAAGCCTAGCCAGATTAGACTGAAGTTTGCTAAAATTCTCAAGAGATGAAATTGCTAGGTAGAGCACTTTAGGTCATCAGGAAAACATAAAAATTTGGCAAATTTGAAACATTCTGAGATATCATTTATAAATAATAAAAATAACAGAGGTCCCAAATGGGACCCTTGGGGGACTCCAGATGGATTGGGAATGTTTTTAGATCTGTAATTATTCAATTTATAAATTTGGAATCTTTCAGATAAATAACACTCGCCAGCTAGTAATAGCTACTATCTTTTCAAACAACTTTGGAATGGAACTAAGATTACAGATGGGTCTATATTTAAATATGTATGCTCTGTTACCAGACGTAATAATAGCTGTAAGATAGCTCACTTTCCAGAAATCTGGGAATATGCCCGAAGCTAGAGACTTATTAAATATAATGTGAAGTGGCCGAGAGAGAACAAAACTACAAAATCTGAGAACAGAAGGGGGATACCATTAGGTCATGGTCCCTTGGTAATGTCGATACTAGCCATCTCTTCATAAATGGTTGATATATGAATAACATACTCAGATATAGGGGGTTATGATTGACAACCTCTGTTATTTTTAACAGGTCTGTTATTTTATAAATACACAGAAATATCAACCTGTTCATAAATAACGTGTCTGTTAAAAATAACATTACTTGTCCATCCTAACCCCTATAGAAAGGTGATTAAATGACGGTTTACTTTGAGGATCAATATTCTTATCAGTATATACTGACTGGAAGTATATGGTACTTCTATCTTCGAACACAAAAAGGTCCATTTCAAAAAATATCCTTAATAAATTACGCTATATGGCTATAAATGATTTTGTAGGCTAGGGAATTTATTTTTTGTACACTTAGTATTCTGGAATTTTTTCATTTAGGGGACTTTATGACACGTGAGTCCAAACTTTAAGACATTGTGATATGAATGTGAATAACTTTTGACTGGGAACTGAAGCTTTCTATACTATCTTACAATAAATCAGTGATTATTCACTGATTGTGGATTGTTAGTGTCAAGTCTAGCACTGATTAAATCATTGATCAACTTGACACTGGAAAACAGTGAATGTACAATTGTTAATTAAGACTTTTTCAGAAATATAAGCCAGACGATGTATTAAACTGTAAATAGATTTTAATTGTTTGCAATTTTATACGCTGTGTTCAATTATTATCCACTTGTCCTAATTTTTTTAGAAAGTATATTTCTTACTACTTCGTTAATAATTATAATATGCACTGTTTTTGATTAGTCAGCATTTCAAATTTTTGTTAAATAACGTATTTTATAAACCCATGAACGGATGCAAAAAGGGTGAGGGATGAGGGAAGGGTGTAGTGACTGTTGCCTCAGGACGTCAATTATCCTAGAGAGACAGCACGGAAAAAACTGTACCAGAGATAAAATTCAGCCGAATCGACCGAAAGCCATTTACCATAGTAAGAAGTATGGCATCATGTCCATTACTAATAACGAATGTCGACATATTATGTATTACCAATTATTAAATAATAAAATTACTAATATAACTTGTCACTGCATATTAATGTTTCAATCCTATAGATGTGGCAGTTTGCCCCAAACAGCGTCCATTATCTTCTAAGCCTGTGGCAGCGTATGGTTGCATCAGTGCCCTATGTTAAAGCCACGGAACCCCACCTACTCGAAACCTATACTCCCGAAGTGACCAACGCTTATATCACCTCTCGATTGGAATCCGTCACCGTGGTTGTCAGGGAAGGTTTAGAAGATCCTTTGGACGATCTAGGAATGGTCCAACAACAGTTGGAACAGCTCTCCGTCATCGGTAGATGCGAATATCAAAAGACCTGTATGCTTCTCGTGCAGCTGTTCGACCAAGCTGTCAGAAGTTACTCGGAGTTGCTGGGAAATCCTAGTCAGAGAATGGAAATTACTGTTCAAGAAGGTAAATAACCGAAAAACTAATTAATTTAGATATACCGAAATTCGTCATTAATAGGCAGTAGAAAAATGTCAGGAATGTGTAAGAAAGTTGTCAAAATATATTGAGAGAAGAATTCCTTTTATTATACAAATTATGCAAATAAAATGTTTAAAAGTAGATATTTGTTGCTTAACACTATAATATACGTAAGATCATTTATCTCTGAGGTAAATTATGATACTTAAATTTTCAATACTGTATTTAATGCTTTTTTAATAAAATCAGATCCAATATGTAGGTAAATCATTTTACATCTGTGTTAACCTATCTGGTTCAACTTGTACTGCGTTGTCATATGTCTGTTATTCTTTTTCATTTTTAAACATAACGTGCACTAAGAATTAGAAATACATAGTCGTATTCATAGGCGTGGCACGTTGTTTCTAATAAAGATCCATGTGGTGGTGTATATGGTAACAGGTAGATCACGTTCTTTTTTATTATGTTTTTAAAAATGAATCGGGAGGTGCCAAGTTATAGTTACTTTTCTACGAAACGCTTTTAGTTTTCGGAAGCTTAATATAACAATGTAAAGGATGGTATTACCGAACATTTTCCAGTTTATACAGTAGATGTGGCTTTAAAATTTAACGCTCAACTTGCCTCAATGAAATATTAAATAAAAAAGTTACAGGGTGTCAAAGTTGAAACACTTTTTTTTTTTCAATTTGAGCATATAAATATTTTATTCGATAAATGATATAGTACCTAACCGTGTGGATACCAATATCTACCACATAAACTTATTTTTTCGTAATCTTCACGCTAAATAGGGCGCTAAAACAATTTTGAAACGCGTTTTGTGGAGAAAGAAGCAAAAAGTGTGTAATACTCTTCACAAGAAAGTAGAACTATGGTAGAATTGTTAAATTTATACCTTATTCATTGTTAACTGAATATATTTTATCAAAACAAAGTAAGAAAATTCTATTTTACATCGTTTTTATAGTGTACAAGATAACAATAATTAAATTAGGAAAATTGTCTATTCTTTCTTACCACGTTGGAATTGTTGTGAAAATGAACATTGAAAAAAATTATTATTAATATGACATATTGCTCATTCCTCTAATAAAATTTAAAACTATAAACAAAACCATATTCCTTGCCAAAAATAATAAACTTCTGTCAAATTTGTCAAAAATTATAAAGATATTTTGAAATTATTATCAAAAATGCGAAAAAAAGATTCTTACTTTGGAACCTGAAGAGAGAACTGTATGTACTGTCGAAGGAGACATATACCGGTTGCTGCCACTATTTTGTGTGCCTGATTGACGAATGAAGAAATATCAAGGTAAGATGTCAAATAAATTGTTTATCTACCTAATTTATTTCTATTAAAAATTGTTCAAACTAAGAATTAGCCCTTTTGACATTTTTTACTGCCTATAATTTGTGGACTTCAACTATAGTCTCCGCCACATGTAGTTTTTAAAAGGCATTCTAATAACGTTTTTGATTTTAGGTCAGTTAACGTGGCTGGTATACATAATAAGTTCAGCAATAGGAGGTAGAGTATCGTTTAACAGTAACGAGGAGCATGACACGATGGATGGTGAGCTGGTGTGCAGAGTGTTGCAGCTGATGAACTTGACGGATTCCAGATTGGTACAGGGCGGCTGTGAAAAATTGGAATTGGCCATGTTGAGTTTCTTCGAAGCATTTAGAAAGATATATGTCGGCGATCAAGTACAGAAAAATTCCAAAGTTTACAGAAGGCTGTCTGAAGCGTTGGGGCTCAATGACGAAGCGACTGTTCTTAGCGTTTTTATTCGGAAAATGTAAGTTTTGCAAATTTCTCAGTGATCTAATCTCGTAATCTTGACCTGATGAGCCTTAATAGTTTTATTTTTGTATTTCCAGAATTACCAACCTAAAATATTGGGGCCGTAGTGAACAAATAATCAGCAAAACCTTGCAATTACTGAATGACCTGTCAGTGGGATACAGCTGCGTTCGGAAACTCGTCAAACTAGACGAAGTGCAGTTCATGTTGAACAATCACACGAGCGAACATTTCCCATTTCTTGGCAATTCGGTCGCGGTAACTGAAATGCGATGTAGGTCGATGTTTTATACGTCTCTCGGTAGATTGTTGATGGTGGATTTGGGCGAAGACGAAGACAGGTTTCATACGTTTATGTTGCCTTTGACGGGTAAGTCTTTTTTTACTAAATACCATATTTCTGCAAAACAAATAATACAAGATGTTATTGAAATACCCACAACAGATGTGAAAGTTGACAAAGTATCATACATTGGGGCATTTGTAGATCTTAACTAATTATTAAGAAAAGCTAAATATAATTTTCCTGTAAACATTCCAATTTTCATTCTACAGGGTGATAAAGTTAATTTCATAAATACATAATTTTCTAAATATCTTCCCTTACAGTAAAGACTTTTAACTTACCACCATCATTTTTTGAAGGGTTGTTGTGACTCTTTATCAATCCCAATAATGCAATTTTTCCAAAAATTATTTGATAATTGAATACTTCCCTCTGCTTGGAATTTTTCTCACCTTATGCCAGTTTACAAGAAATATACCTTTCATTTGACGAAAAACGAAAGCCTAAGCGGAAAAAAAAAATTCTTCATGAAAGTTTCGCCTATGTATTGACAAGATAAGAGTTCTTTCCCCATATTTTTTGCTTTTAAATTAACAAAAATATAGCAATTAACAAATAGTGATGACATAGTTTTACAGAAAAGCAAGCATTGAACGCAAAGTCTGTAAACTCTCTATGCGTCTCTCTCAGTGCTGAAATATATTCAATATGTTTGACTCTCTTACATTATTTTATACAGGGATTATTGATTTTTCCGCTATGAAGGTGAATAATGTTTTATGATTTTTTAAGGAAAATAAAAATAATAAAATATAAAACTATTTATTGTATACAGTATAGATTATAAACAGTAAGGCTATTGCTTTGCAGAATACAATAAATTCCTAATAAAACAAAATAATTAGAAGTATATAAACCCTAAATTAATAATATTAAAATATATAAGTACAAGACTTGCAAACTAATCATAATCGGATCAGCACACGAATCAACATTTTTCAAAATATTAGCGGCTGAGGTCAAACTATTTTTGCAGTTTTCTGTGCCATACAGGCGCAGGAACCGATGCAGCCAATATTTTTTCCTACATTTGCAAATTTTGCTTCCACAGTCTAGAACAGAATAATACTGTTAAAATATTGTACATTTATAAAAATTGTCTGTGAATAGTACCTTTTTTGCATTTGCGGTATAAGTTCTGTTATGTCTGGTGGCAGGCCGAACAGAGACTCAAGAGTGGGTATCAGACTTCCATTTTGATCTACTTTCCATCCATACTTTTCAACATTAGGAACTGCATCTGCAACTTTAAAGAGCTTATCCAAATATGTTGCTGGTAAAAACATCTTAATGTAATCTTAGAATAAAAAATAAATTAATAAGACTAGAACAATTGTATCATTGCAATCAATATTGCAGCGTGAATGTCCCTAATTTTTGGCTGAAAATATGTGCAATAAGATATGAGTATCAGCTTCTTCGTGATTTAAATTTAAGAAAACTTTTTTTGATGGTTCAAAATTCGTCCCATATTTATTGATATTCGCGAATCCACCACTAGTTACAAATTGAATATTCTTTTGCTGAATGGAATTTTCAAGAAGTTGCTCTGACAGAAAATTTGTTAAATATCGAATAAATGAACAAGTTCCATTGTTCTGGAAGTGGAATATTGGATCTGCCAATTTCTATATCAGTTGATTTCTGGGATCCTCTCTTTTTACGTGTTGTATTTTTCTTTATCATGATTAAATACCACATCTATCCTTTGCACATTAAATTTATTTCTAGAAATACTGTTTACAAGTATATTAGCATATTCTTTAAATGATATGCTACTTTTGGACTTTCCCAAACCTTGAACTATTGCCATCCCATCAAAAATGTAAAAAGTTTTGCCAGAGTCAATAAGTGCAGGTAAGTCTTTGTGAGTAATGCCATATTGCTCTAAAATATTTCCCAATTAACCCTTATTTGTGGAGTGCCGAGATACCCATTTACTGTTAGAGACATCAGAGAGGCTGTCAACTCAAACTTAAATATTTCGGCATGATTATTGCTTCTGCCCATATCCTTTGCTTATAAAATATTTTAAAGAAACAGTTCACCATGCAAGTATTGAGAAGTCATTAAATGAAAACTTACAACTTACCCAAATATATTCAGGCATTCATCTGTAACAGGATGAATGTAGATATAATAAAAACGCAAAATTGTCTATATTTCTTCCCAATTTTTTAGGTACTTTAATATGTAACACATACACATGAATTTTTTAGTAAAAACAGAGAAGTTTTATAATATACAAATGAAAAAATCTTAGCATATCAATAATGTAATAAAAATAGTTAAGATCTACAAGTCCCCCAGTTTACAGTCCTTTATTCTAAAATTTATATGATTTAATTCCAAACTTTTATCCTATTTGTAAATCGTTCAAATGTATACGAAGAATAATTAGTTATAACAAATATAATTTGATCATTTCAATAATAATGTTGAAATCGTTCATTAAAAAGCTCTAAAAATAACAGTACATTTCAATTTGCCTCTCAAAAACTACAGAATTATAGACATTCACAAAGAGCATGAACTCTCAAGTAGAGGTGCGAACAGAGAACTGCAACTACTGTTAGATCGGCAGGTTAGCAAGCAGGGTAGTAGTTGAAATCGATGACCTTAGGTCATATACTTCAATGGCGTATATTCCTTACTTAATTACTCTTTAGAATAGAATAGAATTTATTCGTCAATAAAGTATTTTTTTTTACATTTTTACAATGTTTAAAAAAACTTATCAGACTAGTCAGCTCATATACAGTACGTCCATACAAAAAACAGAAAAAACAAAAACACCATTCACACTGTCCAATTCATAAAAGTTTAAAATTCTAGAGCTAAGATAATATATAATATACAGAAAGCTAACATAAAAGGCAATTAAAATTAGGTAAAATATATTTTAATTTCAATTATTTTATTTAAATATTTTTTTCATATACTAAGAAAGTCTAAATAGTAAATAATAATCTGTTTTAATATCTACATGTATTTCAATATCATCCTGTATAAAGGTTGCCTATTTAACCTCTCAAACCGTTATCAACGACACCTCATCACAAGTTGGCTGCATTTATTCGTTTATTTGTTTTAGCATCATTCGAAAGTATAGGAACTTTGCTGGCCTCGGCCGATTCGCCTTTATTTGCTTCGGATGAAGCGAAAAAAGCTCTCATTGGTTTAGCTAGAGATTTGCGAGGATTGGCTTTCTCTTTCAATACCAAAACTTCTTATATGATGCTTTTCGATTGGATGTATCCTTTAAAACAAAATTAATACATAATAATCATCAGAAGGTAAAAGGTTAACCTCGTCCTGAAACAACCTTGCGACCTTAAATATTTGGTTTAAATCAAATTAAATTTGGAACTGTAAAATTTTAAACTTCTAGAAACTTACTATTAGGAATTTTGTTAATTAGTAACACATTTGAACGATAAATAATATAAAAAGTGATGTTCCTTAATTCTGCCACAGTTATCCAAATTATACTCCGATATTACTTAGGGCTATTGAATTGTGGTATCACGATCCTCAAGTAACCACACCAGTGTTGAAACTGTTCGCTGAATTAGTACAAAATAGGTCGCAAAGGCTGCAGTTTGACGTCTCGTCCCCGAATGGTATATTATTATTTAGGGAAGCTAGTAAAATTATATGTAGTTACGGTAAGTCGATTCATTTGCCATCCAAGCTAAGATGTTCTTGAATTCTATTTTTAATATTTGTACCCAACTGCCCAACGTAACCGTTAATTCTTATACAAATGCGTTTTACGCTTTTTTAGGTAGTAGAATATTAAATGTAGAAGTACCCAAAGAGCAAACCTATCCGCTGAAACTGAAGGGCATCTCAATTTGTTTTTCGATGCTCAAGGCCGCTTTATGCGGCAGTTACGTCAACTTCGGCGTATTCCGGTTGTATGGCGATGAAGCTTTAGATAACGCCTTGAATATTTTTGTTAAGTTGTTGCTGTCAATTTCCCAGTCTGATTTATTGGTAAGGGTTTTTTTTTATTTATTTATAAAACCACTCTGCTAATATACTAATTCAGAACGGGCAATCTCGCCCCTTGAAATGATTCATTATTTTAAAATATGAAACTCTAATATATAATTTATTATTTTAGGATTACCCCAAGCTTTCGCAAACGTACTACGTCCTGTTGGAGTGCTTGGCGCAGGATCACATGAGTTTTCTGTCGACGTTGGAGCCGCAAGTATTCCTGTACATATTGTCGTCGATATCCGAAGGATTAACCGCCTTAGGTGGGCACCTAAATCATTTTACAGGTCCGTGCAGATCAGGGACACAGCAAAAGGCAAAGCAAATGACAAATTTAGTCAGAACTTCAATGCAGACCACACGTGTTCGTTTTTAATGTTTGGTTGGCATGGTAGATTTTTGCATGTTACTGAACACAACCACTTTTTTACTCGCTAGTGGTGAGCACGGAACTGCTAATACGTCAGTTTCCACTGTGATTTTAAGAAAGTTGGGATAAAGGAATGTCTAAAAATAAAAAAATTGTCATTATCATGCTAGGTTATAAAGTATGGAAATTTTGTTTATGCAGTATACACCGTATAACTATAAGGTGAACCAACTAGCATTTAAAACAAAACGTGGCTAAAATTGATCAGGGGTACGAGTAAAAATCCGCTAGTGTATTTTACCTGATTTTCAGTTGTTTACGAACTGTCATAAATTGACGTTTATATCAATTAATATATGTTTATTGTCAAAGCTACAACAACTTATATACAAACACTTATAAATATGACCACACAACATGAATAAAACAATTAAAAAATGTAAAAAACCGTTAAATATAAAATTAAAGTTAATTAAAAATATAACGTTCAAACAGTCTCAACAGTTTAAAAATCATTGTAAAATTTCGTCAAAGCCATAATATGCTTTTGTTACCAAAATATTCTTAAGCATTCTTTTAAAATTAATTGTTTCCGTTGATTTAATATTATTTGGCAACTTACTGTAAATTTTAAGCCAATTATAAATAAAAGAGCCTTTCACCAGTTCAAATCTGAGTATGGGTAACCATATGTTGTCAACTTGTCGCGTTAAATGAGCGTTAGTATTGGCATAGCTCGATTTGTTTTTATGTATGATACAAGTAGTCTCAATTTGCACGATTGCACTTCTGACAGGTTAAAAATTAATCTCCATTTTTATTTGCCGTAAATACACTAGCGAAGCTAGCAGATTTTTACTTATACCCAGATCAATTTTAGCCATTTTGCTAGGGCACAACTTTTCTGTGCTTTTATAAATTGCAAAGCACTTTTAGATTGTTATGCCGTCATCAATGCTCTACATACAAATAAGTCATAGTCAATAATCGATGAAAATTATGTTTTGAGTGTGTAATTACTTTTCAACTAGTTACAAGGTGTTCCAAATTTCAATAAATTGTAAGCTAACAAACATTATAGTAAACAAAATAACAAGGTGCCTAAAATGTGTGCTTATTACATTAGAAAATGTTTTTTGGGTAATTATTTCATTCCAAAATGCACGAGGGAGTCAAAAGTCTGACAACCATTGACATTTTACAAAGACTTTAACATGCTGTCAAAGTCAAATTCGTTAAAGTAATTTATAATATGAAAAAACAAAGGACGCTTATAAGTGACTGCAAAACTTTAGAAAGAAGTGGCAGAGCAAGCAAAGAACAAATTGAAATTTACTTATCTAATACAGGGTGTTATGTTTGATATAACCGTGCTGTTTTAATCTTCTATTTAAGGGAACATAATTAAGATCTATTTAATTGTACTTATGTATTCAAGCATAGGTTATTGTTTAATAATTATTTTCCAATGTGTAAATGTACCAAAAAAATCTAGTCTTGAATTTTTTTGAGCTTTCTATTAGGGCTAAACTTAAGCTTATGCAATATGTAGTTTTGTAGTCTCTATAAGTGTCATATGTCTTTCACACTTCATAGATAATTTTCATCGATTTTTGACTATTACTTGCAGGTAGAGCACTGAATATGGTAAAATAGACGAAAGCGGTTTGCAATTTTTATAAATAAACTAATTTACATGAAAGACAACAGTCTTCTTTGATTAATGTGGTACTAAACAAATTTACTATTTTATGTCAAACGAAATCAAATGATTTTCTGTCAGATGTTACTCTTTCTCAAGTATTCCTTCCTTGAAAAAGGGTTTATAGAACAGAAAAGTTGACGAGGATACCTCACATAAGGAAGACCTCATGTCTCGACTATAAATTCCATCCTAAATAACTATGCTATACGGAGTTTTCTCGCAATTGTAAAAAGCCTACTTTACAAAATTTGGTATTTCTACTATACTTGCTCGCTATATTATTTAATTTGGTTTACTTCGAGGTGTCGTCAAAAGGACTATAGCTGCATCAGATGGAGATTCGCAAAATTCCAGGGGCCAAATTGTCTTTGACAAAACTTACCGTAACTAGGAACAATTTCAGCTTGGAACTTCCAGATGAAAAATTTTCGGATAGCCAAATAAAATTCCAAATAGATATTTTTTCCTCACACCTTCTCATTTGCTGTCAAAAGTGGTTGTGGGTGCATTGTCCGATGGTCTGCATTGACGTATGTGTTGTACAGTATGATTTTTGACACGTTAGCGCCTTTGTGATGCACGTACTTTCATGCCATGCGTTTTCTTTGAATGAAAAATAGAAAACTATACTTTATAAATAATTTTTTTCACATGTTTCATAGTTAGATTGACATGTTTTCTTCCGTTTTCATCAGAATAAGTTTCTGGCATTTTAGTTTACAGCTTTTTATATATTGCACTCTGCATAGAAAATCATTTTTCACGCTAGTACAATTAGATCGCTTGGATATTCTGCAAATGCTTCAATTTGTAAACTATCTTAAAATGTGACGTTTATAAGGTAAGTTTTTAATCTATTCCGAGAAGATATTTGAAAATTACATTGATTTGCCAATAGGATTGTATTTTTTCACAATTTAAGCAATTTTAGCAATTATCGAAATTCAATTAAGCTTTGCCGCCTCCACCCATCTTTATCATTTTTTGTTTCCATATATTTTCTTAAAAAGGTCCTTTTCAAATTAATTACTTTTCTCCATTTTTTTATCTTTTGAAATGTTCCTGATTCGGCTGTCACCTTAATTTTGTATTTCAATATTTACTTTGACTAATCATAATATATTTATTTTCTTATCCATTCTTAAAAGTTTTCGTACGATTTTTTTATCTTTTACTGTCTTTTAATATCCAGTTTTTTCTCCAGCAAATAGCAGTACTGCAAGTAATTCTATTTGTATAGTCTTAATAATACCAGTATCACATGTGACCAAATTTATGTCAGTTTACTAAAAGAAGGTAACAATAACGTCAGCAGTAACCCCAAAAGAATACCATTGCCGTATTTGACAATTAAATTGTCTTAAAATTAAAAAAAAAATGCCATTCTCATTGAGTTTCTTGTTTTTTCCAATTTAAGGTTCAGGTATCAGTCATTCCAAACAAAAGGACTGTCAGTGGGAAGGGTTGGTATATCTAAAGAGTTGTTACATCTACAACACATGAGAAATCATGAATAATGGATTAAAGTCAAATATTTTATATTCGCCGCAATGAAAATGATATTTAAAAAAAAAAAACGCAACCGCCTTAGATATACGAGCCCTTCCACCCAGCAGCCATTTTTTGACAGATCGTTGGAATGCCTAATTATTAAAAGATGCAGACATATAATATGTTGTTTGCCAAAATAAATTGTAATTATTGGCTAAAGCTAACAATAATTGACAACCCGTCAACGATGGTGCTGCTATTAATGCATGAAACAACATAACAGAAAATCTACAATTTCATTTAATATAAAGTACATCATAGAAACTCACAATAAATACATAACCAATTTTGTTAAAATCCTCTCTAAAAATTTCAATGTTTTTATCTGCAAATGTCAAAATTCCTGTATACAAATGCCAAAGGAGTTTTGTCCAGTTATGTCATATGTCAATAGACTTGACATTTTCTATGTCAAAATCGATACACAAAATGTTTGAGACCACGTTTTGTACGTAATGCCTTTATATATTCTCTTAATAATCCCTTCTCTTGGTGTTAACTTGTCAGTACGTGGTTTCTCATTTATTTAAAAAAAAATGATATTGTCTGCTGCTGTATAAATGTCTCTGACTGTACACTACACATAACTTAGTTAATAGATAAAGATAACTTTGTTTTAACACATTTATTTATTATGTAAGTTAAAATGTAAGAAAACAGCTTGTTGACGTGAAATTTACATGGTTGTCGGATTATAAGGTAATGATGCTGAATTTTTCCTGCTTGTACAAATGTGTAGACTGTTTGCTTTCACAAATCATATTTGTACCTGATTCGCTTCACGCACATTTTTATTTTTTTTTATTTTTGTTTCATCGCCTTGCTCTCCGACTTCATAATTATTTCAAAATTAGTGTTGCATATTAGAAATCATGAGTACGTTTTCACGACATTCTAAAGAAAGACATTTGTCCAATAACGGTAGTTCGCAAAACCACCAGGGTGTTACGAGCTTTATAAAGGGGGGTTGTGACAAAAATATTATGGCGAACTTTTAAATCTTAAACATTGTTACACCTTGAATAAACCTGTTGAGTATTGTATCGTTTGTTTATTTTAAACAACAGTTTATTTGTTAATAATTTATTTGAACACCTATTTTAAAACAATACTATTCTAATTTATATATTTCGAAAGTCTTTAAATTGTTTACTATTTATCTTCACAACTCTTCGTATTCGACTGACTGGCCCGTGTTCTTCCACCAATATTTATATACACATTGAAAATTCTGGTGAATTCCAGAATTCTCTAGCCAAAAACTACAATCAGTATCACGTACGTTCTGGAAGGAGATCGAAAGTGCCCACATCAGTGGCGTTACATACGTTGAGTCTAATTATGTTTGATATTCGGACAAGTGGAGCCTCAAAGGCCAAAAAAGACGTAGAGGGACTTGGAGGAATAAAGCATGACTGAAATAGTTGGAATGGCTCGCATTACAGTATTTTAAAAGAAAATTAGCAATTAATGTGATTGGAATGGACTGTATAATAGTTTTCAGGTTTGTTGTGGGGGTAGATACGACACCAACTTAAATCCTTTTTTATTGATTAATTCGTGTAAACAACTAAAGTTAACACGAAAACAAAATGGCACAATACGGACGTTGCTTGCTGTTAACGTGTCGCCACACAATAACCAGAGATATCACTTTTAATTCAATTAATTTGACGATATAAAAAAACCGGCCGGGTGACGCCGATAAAAGCGGGAAAAATCACAAAACGACGAACACGCCCTTTTGAGTAAAGATCAATGCCGAGTTGATGAGAGTGGATACCGGTAAGAGAGAACTTCCAGGGTTGGTCGGAGTTACGTTACGAACAGCCAATCGGATGTAACATGATGTATTGATTGCATATCAGATGCATTTTAGCAATTATATTACGAGAGATGAGAGCAAAAAGTATTTGAATTCAGTGTCTAGCCCGGCGTTAGGAGAAAGAGAAGTAAAACATGATTTGAATTATGTTGGGTTATTTTCCAACACTTCACTTATGTCAGTTTTGAATGAATATAGTAAAATGGGTGTTTAGGCATCATTTGGAGTTCGTTACAGATTTGCGAGATCTAGACAAGCACATACAGTGGCAGATTTGTTGCTGTCGATAGCTATTTCTACAAGATCGATGCAAGTGTACCACAGATACATTTGGCCTTAAAATTGTTCCCATTACTTAATCTCAATAACCTATTTTCAGCCAGTACTATCCCTAGCCATAGCTTTGAAGACAACACTCTGTATGTTAGTGTTCAGTCATCCAAACTAATATCGTCTTTCGAATTTTCTAGACTTTTTATTTTATACTTATATTTGTCGTGAACTCGTACTCTATATATTTTTGCACATACAAAATATATGTTTTTGTGCTTGGTGTAGATAGAATCAATGTTTTTTATAGCTTTAAAATTATACATTTGTATGTTATACACCAAAGATCTTGAAACTCTATTTTCTTTTATACAAATACATGTATTAAGTCTTTCTTATTTAAATAATTCTTACTAGAATACCTACATAAAGTCATACGTTTTATATTATGTAACTATAGAACATTTTTGTTATCAGTTAATTCTATATCATATCTGTTTTATTTATTCGATTTTTTTTCAGATACGATGGTCTGTACGGGGTGCTGCGCGACTCTTGATCATATAGTCACTTATTTATTTAAACAATTAACGCAAAAAGGTACGTTCTACATTTATATTTTTAGGTTTAGGTCCCGTGAATGGACGTTCAGACACTTCTTTGGCGAGTTTATCAGCCTTTTCATTTTCTATAATATACTTATACCGATACCCCTTTTTATAATTAAAAATCTATCATAGCTAACTGAGGAGAAAAAGTTATTTATATCAATGTACCTACATAATTTTATTTTCACTAATCATTACAAACCGAAATTTCGTTTGAAAAATCTGTATTAGTATCCGTATTTTAGTATATTTTGTATTTTCCAGTTTATCCAGGAAAAGAGCAACGCGTCGGCATGGCGCCGAACAGTGATATGTTCCTTAAAGTGCTGGAAATGCACCCGGAAATCCTTCAGCAAATCCTTAGTACCGTACTAAACGTGATAATGTTCGATGATTGTCGAAACCAGTGGTCGATGTCCCGTCCACTCCTAGGACTCATTTTACTCAACGAGGAGTATTTCAACCAAATGCGTGAGAGCATCATCAGGAGTCAACCGCCCGACAAGCAAGCGGCCATGGCGCAATGGTTCGAGAACCTTATGGATGGAATTGAAAGGAATTTATTAACAAAAAATAGAGATAGGTAAGTTGTAGTGTTGGCGCCCAACGTGGGGCATGAAAACTAATTACACACTTATTTTGTAAAATCCAATAGCGCACCTTAAAACTTTTTATTCTCTTTATAACCTGCCTGTATTTATATTTCAGGTTTACCCAAAATTTGTCAATGTTCAGAAGAGACATCAACGACTCGTTGAAAGGGCCCAATGTAAATACTTCTTCAGTTAGTGATATGATGACTTCATAGTGACTTAAGAGTAGCACCTAAAAAAAGATATGTGAGGTTATGTGCTGTTGTATGTATTGTGAAATATTGTTATTTTTAGGTACACTTTGCATTTATTTTATTTGAATATAAGTGTCTGCAGGCGAAAGTGTGTAATCTTATTTTTTTTTTTGTTATTGCTAGGTGTGTGTTGCAGATGATTGATTTTTTATAAGTTATTGAGTATTGAAGAGAAATAAATAAATGCAATGATTATTTATGACTTTTTTTTGATTTTAAAGAGTAGAGTTTGGCAATTGTCAAAATTGGACAGCATGTCGTGTTTGTTAAAAATTACATTTTTATTAGAAGAAATGTAATTTTAAGCCTTGTTTATTTCTTAACATTTGCTAAAAAAGCACTTTGAGAACAGTACTGTCAGGGTAATTAAAATTTAAAGATTAACTCCAGAAGAACTACATGAACTCCGATGAGCTACAAAAACTGTTTGGTTAGTGGTAAAACTTTTTGTTTTTATTATCGTTGCATTTTATGTGCTCTTTTTTTTTAATTTAAATTTGCTAAGTAACCCCACCAATGTAAACCACCTGCAAATATTAAATATAAAATAAATGAAAACAAGAAATTGTATAAGCTATGTGTAACAAAATAAAACGACCAACCATTTTCCTTCCGAAAACAACTACTTTGGCTAATATCGCAACTTCTTAGCCTTAATACTGATGAAACCAGTCCAAAAATGACGATCTCCTTAGTAAACAAAGGTACGAGTCTTTAAATGTATATGTTTGCTGTTTTATTTAGATATAATTCAATACCTGTTGTGGTATTAGACAAAGCAGTTGTTTTATTTTGTGGCGCATGGCTTAGATAATTTCTTCTCATTTATTTTACATTTGAGTTTGAAATTAGTTATTTTCCTTTCTTTTTATTGATAATGTAACGATAGTTTAATTTATAGTTTTTTTTTTATTTAAAAACACTATTTACAATTTATTTATGACGTACTAATTAATTTATATAGTCCAATACTTTATTTTCAACTACTCGTCCGCCGATAAGTCGCGCTATTTATACCAAGCCAATTCTGAACTCGTAGTTTCTAGACGCTCCCGAAAATTACATCTCTATGACTCAACGGCCACTCACCACCCGTTCTGGCAGTTTCTCGAAGTGTCAGCGGCAGACCTAGAAGATTCCGTCGTCTCGAGCATGAGTCGTGTGGCAGACTTGAAAGTCGCTTGCTTAGACAGGGTTGACTCCGCGTCACAATAAATCTGATTTTATTGGCATATGAAAATTACAAAATAAACAAAAATATAGAAATTGTTAAAAATGATTTGCCAAAAGGCAGAGTTCAGATTTGCCTAAGCAAAATATAAAAGCTGCTCTTCCACTCAACCTCAATAACTTCTTGAAAACAATTTTACTAAAATTATAACTAAAATAAAACTAATTAAAATACATATATGATATTTTTAAAAACCCTTGTAATAAGCTCAAATTTCCACATTTCCAACATATCCCATTCTGGCCTTTAATACTTATGGGAATGAAAGTATGTAGAATTTTACATTAATTAATTAATTAGGTAAATTAATTTGAATAATTAGAAGTGATTATTCATTTTGATATTGATCATGACATATCTGGTTTCTACTTACATAGGCGGGTGAGTAAAATTTTATTATTTTATAGTGCTTTCGTATATAGGTGAATACATTAATTTTTAGCCAAAATATCAATTTGAAAGGAAATTCCCGAAATAATAATTCTTTAACAACGTGTCCGATTTCAATGATTCTTTTTTTGTTAGAAAGGGGGTACTTCAGAAGTGGTCCCATATAAATTTGGTCAAAATCTAATAATTGGGTCCATGAGAAAATCCTCAAGCTCTTCATGTTTTATGTATGTTTAGCGATAATGCTTTACCACCTTGTCTGATTTATATGATTCTTTTTTTTTGTTAGTAAGGGGTACCTCAGGGATGGTCCCATATAAATTTGGTTAAGATGTGGTGATGGCATCTGCACGATTGTGAAGTAGGTTTTTTAACTTTTTAATTTCTAATACTTTTGGTTCCACTGACAATTACAGTGACAGTAGACTTGTTTATTATTTTTGAGTGCATTTTGCTTACCTAAATGATATAGTTTTTGATATAGATATATTCCTAAAGTAGGTAGATAACGTGCATTAAGTATACAATCGTTTAGTAATCTTTAAACTATTTTTAATGACCTGCAAACAATATTAAGAAACAAACTAAATACGGTAAAAAGGTTTGTCAATGATGTTTTTGTTAAGAAGTTAACTTTGAGTGGAACCAAAATTACTTCACGTTAATATGGCGTATTTCCTTAAAAATATATATTTTGACTAAAATTAGTACTTTACAAAAGCCCTGCATGGGGGGATTAATATTTTTTTTATTGGAGTATTTGCTTTGTTTTTCTCGTTTAATACGTTTTTCAAGAACATGATCTACGTAATGTTGAATCTTCTATTTGACAATGTTTTAGAATGCATATTATAAAGTGCAAAATAATGAATGAGATTGTCATGAAAGTCGCAGTGTTGATAACTTTTAGACAAAAATTACCGATGCTTGGCAAAAACCACCTGACTTGTAATTGCAAATCATACAATAATTAAGGCTACAGTTTCACTGTATTTTAACTATAAGAAGCAAGGGTTCACCATTTCTGAGTGTATTTAAATTCCGCTAAATGTATTAAAATGAATCTTCTACCAGCTTAACGTATAAAGTTTGGAGAATGAAATCTACTTTTTATTTGTCCTGTTTATATACTGAATTTAAAAAAAAATAATTTCATTCTACATATTTTTCCAGGTATCCAGCCAAATAATTTCTAAATTTTATTGGGTATTTTTCAAATCTAAGCGGAGTTACGATTAAGAAATATTTGAGAAATTTGTTAAAAGTAGATATTTTCTCTGAATACCTGTAATTGTCTAGTACATCTATTTTTAGGTAACCATATTAACACGTTGGCTGCCGTGCATACCCAACTTTCCCATCGCGCCATGTGCATTCATATTCACAAGCAGCGCATGATTTCTGGCTACGTATCTATAAAATATGCATATGAACCGTGCATTTCTTATGGGGAATCTATTGGCTAGGCGTGGAATTAACAATATTTAAGTTAGTCTGGTAATATATTCCTATTTAGGATTTCCGTTCATGAAGGATAATAAATAGTATATTATTTCTGCAGTCAACGTGTTTTAAATTCTTTTCCGTTTATCTATTGTTTAATTTGTGGTTAGTTATTAATATTTCAAAAATACTGATTTTTCTCATTGATTGACCGAAAATGCACACGTAATTTTTATTATTAATTGAAAATAGTACTGTAATTCTGAATTGGTAAAAAAAGGGAAAATGAAAATATAAATTACGACTCTACAAATAAAGTGAAATTTTGATATTCAATTTCATTTTTTTTTACAAAAACATAGATAGAATTATTACGCCATCTATTGGACAAAAGAACTATTAAATATGGAATACTGCTCCATCTATTGAACAAAAGGACTCTTAAATATGACATATAAATGACATCTATCATTAGTGTTACGAATATTGGAGTGTGCTACTGTGGCCTTAATATTCATATATTCTCAATAAATATTAAATTATACCATTTTCCGAAAAAAACCCTAAAGACTCCAAAAAAATAATACACAAACTTAGACTAATAACGTCACTAGAAGTGTTTTTATCACGAAACGCTCACTTTTGTTGTTTTTGCCAATGGTCCACCATTTAATGTCATGTGATTTGGATTACCTAAGTTTTGAATGTATGACGCAAAATGGCTTATGTAATAATAAAAGTACAAAAATTATTACTATTTCTATCTGATATTACAAAAAAAACAAATTTTTTGTTTATTTTGATTTTATAAGCCATAACGCCGCCATTGGTGTAATAATTTAAGTGGTTTCACTTTAATCAATAAATGTTTTTTATCAAGTTAATCAAAAATATTTGTAGATAACAGGTGAGCTTGTATGATAAACATTTCAAATAATCCAGTTTACTCTTTGAAAAAGGTAGGAAAATTATCATAGTATTTTCTTAGTTACATTATCGTTGTACATTCAATTTTTTTTTTTTTTTCAGGTACATAAATGTGAGCTACTTCTATACTATTTATAGTATCTGTATTAACTCAAAATTTGAGATGTGTAAAACAAACATTAAACTTCTAGAAACGAATAGTCGATGGATAAAGTATTTTGCCATGATTTCATAGAAAAATAAACAATGTGAAATATAAAACGTAAAACAAAAATGACAAAATATATTTTTCTGTTAAAATTAATCGTTGTAGCTGTATGTGTTATTTACATCAAATATGCAATTTCAATTTTTCAACGAGTGCCAAACACCCAAGAAATACGAACGACTTATTCCGATTTAGAAAAAGATCTTTGTTTAGATGAAGGAATTAAGAGGAATATCACAATGGGCGGAAGTATGAGATGTCCAAAAAATGGTATTGTAACAGTAGTTCAAGGGGGTCGATTAGGCAACCAAATATGGGAGTACGCATCTGTTGTTGCTGTTGCTAAAGTGACCGGTTTGCAACCGTACGTACCTGGATGTATCAAATCAACATTGGAACCGTTATTTCAAAATTTGTCAGTACCGTTGTTGGACGAAATTGGTCATTGTACAGTGCAAATATCCAAATATATACGTTACATGGAAGAATACAATCCTAAAAGACATAACACTATAATTTTAAAGAAATATAACGTACAACCAGAGTTAATAGCTAAATATATTCACGATATTATTCAAGAACTTTCCATTAAAAAGGGTTTATTGGAAGAAAGCCAAAAAATACTACATTCTGTCACAAAATATTTTAATAAAACATTTGATACATTCATAGGTGTTCACGTTAGAAGAACTGACTACATCCCACATATACGACAAATGTACAGAGTGAAACCAGCTTACATAGATTTTTATAAGTCAGCAATAGATTATTTTAGCGAGAAGAACCCAAATTCCGTTTTTGTTGTCGTAACAGACGATCCCATATGGTGTCAAAAACATTTCAAAACAATGTCAAATGTTTTCGTTATTAGCAAACTGTTACAGAATAGTACGCCTGAATTGGATATGGCCATTTTAGCGTCCTGCAATCATACCATCATCGATTACGGCACGTTTGGAGAGTGGGGGGCTTTGTTGGCCGGCGGTGAAACTATTTTTTATAAAATTAACGGAAATTATACTTCAGAGAGATTAAGTAAGGTTATGTCGAAATGGCATCCCTTAAACTAGGAAATAGTGGGACAATATGCGACCATTTGACACCAAATGTTAAACCTAGATCTGACTCAAGGGCAGCTCCGATATTAAAATTTTTATACAATCCATTAGCCTTTTATTTAGGGTGACCATATGCACTGAATTTCTAGGTGGGCCTCAGCGGATTATTCAGAGGAAATCTAAGACATATAATTAATAATAAAAACATATAAATAATTTCTGCGAAAATAGATAAATAACCCAATTTTATAATAAATGTTTAATATACTGAGTGACAATGACATATCACTGCCACGTTAAAACCTCTGAACAGGTTATGACTAAGATGCCGGTATATCCGATCACTAAATAAAATTTTGAAGCTTCGCCAATCAGATCTTACCTTTTACTGAGGCCCTTCCTATGGTGCCTCAGTATTGCATTCGTGCAGACGAAAAAATTTTCTTACCCCCATTTTTAAAAACTTTTTTTCATGTTTCCGATCATTCCGAGTCCGAAAATGCAAAAAAAAAATTCGTCTGGTCGTCTGATAACCTAGAACGAAAGTTCTGATTGTTTTGAATAATTACTTCTTACTTATGTTATTTTTATTTTATAAATATCAGTCATGTACTGAACATAATTCTGAACTGAAAGCCAATTTATTTCTTTTAACATAGTTGCAATACTCATACTTCTGTCCTTTATTAATATTATATAAACAGGCGAAGTAAGGAGCCCAAATATTTTACATGAGCAGGATTAAGAGGTAAAGGGGCCAATTATTATTGGATAAATTGCTCGAACAAGTTTGTAAACCCTAATCAAAAGGCGATATAGAATGGTTTTAAAAATCAAGGCTTATGGAAATTATCACATGGTTTAACCTAATTAATGCCAATGCTTCACAAACCAAAAAATTCAACGTCCTAATACTACTATCGGCTTTCGGTCTTTCGTTCCAAGTTAAATTTCTCGTTTTTGTTACGCTACGAGTTTAGCCTTGTGAGCCTCAGTCTCGATAAGGTGGGAACCACCATTTTAGCGTCTCTCGAATTGATATTTGTTATCCTGGCTTCCTGAAGCAGACTTCTCTTATTGGGCATACACGCACCGACTCTGAAAGTTGTGGACTGTATTTTAAGGGCTGGTATTTGGATGTACCGGGAAGGTTTTGAGAGTGAGTACCGTACTACAATTGTAACACAAGCATTTCTACTTTACGGTAGTTTAAGGTTCAAACGACAAATCGTTTTGAATGGCAGTGACCTTCGACTACTTAACTAATAATAAGGCAGTACCCTTTTGGCGAAATATAATTAATAAAACTAATGAGAATAAAAGCGGAATATTACCTTTCATACTGGATGATAATTACTTTAAATTGAAATAAGTGAAGGTAACAATTTCCTTTATTTAAGAAATTATGTATGTAACACATAATTTTAAATTGACCATTTTACTCAAACAAAATGGCCGACTTCCGGTTTTACAAATACCATTTAGTTTGATCTTTAAAATGGACCACACCCTGTATATATATATATATTTTTTTTTTGAGATAGAAATCCATTAACTGTAAAATAATGCTAATAGCCTCAAATAACTCCAAATAAAAGCTATTTTAGCAACTGAGTTAAAAATAAATCTAAAATGTGTTTTTTACCAAAATCTTACTGTTTGTTTATTCGCTCTGTGTGAAGTCATGGTAGGGCAAGCAAAAGCGATATTAGCGCTAGGCAGATAATTCGTGCATTTTAGGGCGATATTAAGTAATTTTGGCGTATCAAATTACGTATATATTTTACTTACTTTTTTTGAAAAAATAGTTAAAAGCAATACAATGATTACCATTTTTATCAAAAATGATACTGTCAATACACGCAAAAACGCCCTTTAGTACATATTTTAGTTGGTGCTGCCGTCGCGAACATTTGGCAACACTGCCGTGTCCAAAAACCAAATATATAGGGTGGCCCATTTAAAATTCAAACCTAATGTCACATCCGGTAAAACCGGAAGTCAGTAATTTTGTTTAAGTATAAGTGTCTATTCGAAAATATGATTGATGTGTAACACCACTGTCACTAAACTTTACTGCGATAAGATATTCGGCATTTTCAAGGCTTTAATGAATGAAAATATGAACAGTTTATCTTTAAAGTTTGATAAATTATTCTTTAAATTATATTATGATCAAACTTAATCGTTTATTATTTTATAATTTATCTATAAAATTTGTTCAATTTGGTTTATTGTTAAAAATGTAATAAAAGCCCCATATTTAAATTAAATTACCTTTTCCTTAAGTAAAAATAAGGTAAATAAAATTACGGGTACAAAAAAAAAAAAATAAGTAACAATTAAAAAGACATTAGGTTTGAGAGTTTAAATGAGTATTTGCAAAGTTTATATTTTCATGTTTGTACCCCAAATCGTACGAAGAGGGATGCAATCTATTGGAAAAAATTTTATCATACATAATTATAATTAATTAATAATCATATTTACTGTTCGTAGTCCTTTGGAAAAGTAAATAATTTAATCCTTGGCCCGTTTTGGACGAACAAGAACGGTATGCACAAAAATATCCAGATCCAGACATTCTATTACAACACAAAGAAACACCAAAAAATATCACTTAACAGCTCACAGACTAAACACAACTTGGACTGACTTTGACAGATAACATGATTTTGAGTGATACACAACTTATTTTCGCACATGCGCGTATCAAAACGGTACACTGAAAATACCAAGCTATCGCTTCTCCTTGATTGGTATTCTCGGGTTCTATCTCCTATCAGTAAGTACCAATGTTTCTAAATCACCTCCTTTGCTTAATATGTGTAACTTAAGTGAATGATACCTTAGATATGTTCCATTGATGTCTTTATAGCCTCAAGTATAAAGATTTTAAGTCCGTGTATTGTTTATCTATTCTCACTTTTACCCAAAAAATTATATTATTAATAAATTATAGTATTAAATATAGAGTATATAAATTACAAACCAACAATTATTTATTTATTTAAATAGTAATAAAATCCTAAATAATAATAATAAATTAATTTAAATACATAAATATTAAAAACAATTAAAAATTACTCCTCACATATACATAAATGGTTAGAAAAATCTGATGGAGAAGTAATCCATTCTACATTTAGTCTGTTAGCAGATCTTGTTACTCTAGGAATAAAAGAGTGAGAACCATAATTTGTTCTATGAAAAGGTTGAGAGAATGTATTAATATTCCTAGTTACTCTAGAGGGTACAGAAAATCCAATTTGGGATAACAAGTATGGACAATCGGCAGATGAGTTAATAATGTTAAACAATATTTTAAGATCCCTTTGGTTTCTTCTGCTCAGAAGGGTCTCAAGATGACAAAGTGTGTGTAATTCGTCATAATTATATCTGAAGTTGACCGGGACAATACCCGATTTAAATGCAACAATGCGTAAAAATTTTCTTTGAACCTGTTGTGTATTATGGATTAGATATACATAAAAAGGATTCCATACAGAAGAAGCATATTCAATATAAGGTCTAACTAAGGCACAATAAAGAATCTTTAAACACATCACATTATGAAAATCAGAAGTAGTTCTTCTAAGGAAACCCAACATTCTTAATGCTTTATTAACTGAGGCCGTTATATGAGTTTGAAAAGAAAGGGTGGAGTCTAATATCACACCCAAATCTTTTACCTCTGTAATAGTATCCAGTGTTATGTCATTGATTTTATAGATATATTCAATAGGACTATGTTTTCTGTTGAAATTGATTGCATGACATTTACTTGTATTTAATTCCATTCCATTAGTACTACACCATTATATCAAGTAGTTATTGTAGAAAGCTAGGTTTCTTTAATACTGAGAACTGAATCTAGTGGATTTAAATTATTGTATTTGTCCTACTTACTTGTTAACGCACCTACTAGTTCTTGTACTTTATGAAGGCTTTTTTCCATCTGCGTATTTGGTAACGTCTAAAAATTCATAATTTCAAGTCTAATGCATTAAGATCCAAGTGATCACTTCGAAAAACCGGAACGAACTGAGCTCCGCTTTTCAATTCATTGCGCATGAGCTTGGCGGCTTCAGCTATATCTGTCGTAGAGTAATAATTATTCAAGCAATGAAACACATTTTGTAAATAAAATAATATATTAGTACAGACAAAGGTCAAAATAAATCACAATATAATAATATATTATTCTAGATAAAAATTTCGTTTGAACAAACCACACCGAGTAACTTAATTATAATTAATTAGAAAATATTTTCGTATCACATTTTCATTTTACTGAATATTATCAGCTTTAGTCTTCCAATATAAAGATCATGAGGGCGACACACTCACAAAGAGTTTACCATAAAATATCTTAATAGTTAAGTGGAATTTAAAATAACATATTTATAAATATATCTGGTAATTTTTTTTTAATTTTGACGTTTTGTTCATTAAAAATAATGCCACACGTTGGGCGCCAAAATAGTTTGTTCGGGTTTGAGTGAAATAATGAAGGTTTATTCTCTTAGATTTGTCAAATTATTTATTTAAAAAAAAAGCTGCCTCCAAAACCTTTAACCAAAAATATTTCCGTATTGTACAATTAAATTAAAGACGTTTTCTTATTTATTAAAAAAGTTTATGGTAAATACTTATAGGTGCATCTTTTCATTAACATTTAATAAATAAAACAAAAATTGTATAATATCCTAAAAAATGGTATCTTACATGGGTATATGTACACAAAAATGAACACATTTTTTATATCTGCGAGATATTTTCGAACTTTTTCCAACGATTTTTCCATGAAAATAATATTTTTTTAATTTTTTTATAAAAAACAGACTTCCTTTTTCTAGTAATATTTTATTTCTACTTATAATTTAAATATTATAAGTTTGCCCTTTATCACAAAAATCATTTTATACAATTAACATTAACAACAATACCTGTATTGTTGTTTTTTAACATAAAAAAATAACTAAGTCAAATTTTATTCAAATCTATTTCAGTCTCGACTTAGCCGTTTGGTGTTCATTGTCGAAAATATCTCGAAAGTGTCAATTTTTAAAGTAATCGAGAGGTAGAATTTTTAATAATTCTATTATTAACGGTTTTATTTTTATTTCCATTACTATTTATCATATCCTATTAATATTGCGTATTAATTTTTTTATTTAAACAGGAAATGAGTTCTCAGGAGCAAGTTGGAACTATACAAAATGTCTTAAAACACGAAACAGCCAAACTCTGTCAACGTCAATAATGTCATTAATCGTCAGACATTGTCTTTTAACATTTGACAGATTTTGTAACCTCAAAAATTTATATTTTATTGTAAAACCTTCAACTATTATTTATTTGAAGAACAACAATTAACAGAACTAGAGTTACTATTGCAATTTTTTTCTGATATTACAACTATCTAACCCAAGGGAACAGTGAATGTGATAAATCAACAGTCATTGCTCCTGTGAAGAAATGTATATTTTATCTTTTGCTTCGAAAATCCGTCATTTCAAGATCCTTCAATTTATTCATTACAGATGTTCTTAAAGCACCTCACACACCGTTACCATCATTCAAGATATTCTAATGACAGTTTTAGACTATTTCGCAGCTGTTTATAGGTTTGTTCGTAGAGTAATATGCAACCCTTTCCAACGGAACAGCGCATGTGTATTGAATATTTTGCTTTCGTAGAAGAATCACTGATAGTTTTCAATTATTGGTTTGGCGTTCGTAAAAACAAATGAAGTGATTGCCAACTGATTGGGAACGGTTGGGAAAATCTCTGACTATTCACCAGATTTTAAATCCGGGGAATGCACACATGAAATATTTTTAATAACCTAGAATTAGACATTTGTTTGGCTTGAAATTAATGTCTGTTTTTGTGTTTATCATTCATTCATGCTTATGTTGATTTGATTAGTTGTTTTTTATGAGTGTAATTAATACAGACAAAATTTAATAAATGATAAAACCACAAAGCCCTACCATCCATTATTTTGATAAAATATCAGCCTTTAACTTTACAACAGGTAATAAAAGTAAAATATATTGATAAAATGGGGTGCAATTCATAAACACATACGTGGTTATTCTGTAACACATACAACATCAAACTTCAATTAATTTATTCTTTTTTTTGTCCGTTCGTTAAATCTGTATTAAACTCACGAGAATAGGAAGAAAAGAATCCACAACAGTACAAAATGCGTTCGCAGAGCATAAAAATTACATTAAATCCCAAACCGTTGGAAATCGTGCATGCGCATCATTAAAGAATCACCAACTATTTGAAACTGTCTCTACAAATAAACCTAATGGCACTGCAGTTACTCTTTAGAATCAAAACAATTTGAGATACTTCATAGCTATGCTGTACTTCAAGCTCAATCTTTACTCATTCAGTCCAGATCGTTTTTCACTTAGAACCACCTTAAACCCTTAGAACCACCTCTCAAATAACGATTTAACAAGCAAAATCATCGGATATACGCCTTAAATTCACAGAGCGAGACCTCAACAATAATGAGACGCAGAAAGTTTGCTGCAAATGCTTTTATCAAAAATTTTACCTCCGATACCTAGTTATTTGCTCTCTTGACAACTGCACTGTTTCCTCGCCGGCGTTAAGCAGCGCAAAGCGTGACACAGCATCCCGCAAACGAATTCTTTGAAGGTTTTGGTCGGTTGTAGCATCAGCCATTGCTCCGGAAATCACCTGAAAATCAATCCTATTTTAGCTGAAAGATATCAGCGTTTTCTAAAGAAGTTGGTAGTCTGACAGTTTGATCCCGATCCGAAATTTCGTTGGAACAAACTTGTAATAGCCTTGATATGTATAACAACGTAACTATTTATTTTTGTTTATACATACCTAACTTCGGTGTCAGTGCTGGCGGGACACTCTTCCGGCTTGACGATTTGGTAGGTGATGAAATATTCCGGATACGCTTGTTCGCCCCTATAGACGACGTACTCGGGAAAGTTGAGACCTCCGGCTGACGGACGACCGGCGACGGAATGATGACCGGGAGGCGCGTGCGCCATCTTCATTGCACTGAATTGAAGGAACGATTTGCCTAACGTTACGCGGCACAATAACAGATGCCTGAAATAAAAGTTTTGTAATTCAAACGGGAAACCAATTAAGTTGTTGCTACCACTTACCTATGACAAGCATAACAACTCCTATCCTTATGCGCGGGACATCCGGTTCCTCCACCAATTCCATAAACGTACTGATTACTTTTGGACGAATGCTCGGCGAAATAAATGCCCGCACCGAACATACCTCCGATGTAAGCGTGCCTTTCGTCGAAGCCCTTTTGGACGATGGCGTTGATGAAGGGCGATCCGTGAAACAGCATCCTCTCGCACGGTTGGTTGCTGTTTTCCTCGGCGACTTCTTTTCGTCGATGCGTGTACCTCTCCCACAATTTTTTGTTCTGGACTTTTTGGATCTTTAATAAAACGTATCAATATTATTGGAAAAAAAATAGCTGATGGAAAAACTACGAAAGCTAAAATTCACAACGGAATGTTGCTGAACCAGTGAAAAAAATACTAAATAACATTTAATATTCCCCAGAATTTCTAATTGGTAAGATTAAAAATGACGAACATGCTTTGTGGGATATTTAATTTGGTAAGAAAACAGACCTCACCGCTCCAAAAACAGATAGCTAAGTTATACTGATAAGTAAATACAAACAAATAAAATACTCAAAGAAATAGTATTTAGTATTAAATATAAAGTGTAATGGTTGCCGGGAAAGTAACTTTCCCGGATAGCATGTGTTCCTTTCTTGCCAGCAAATGTCACTTACTAAATGCTTCAAAGTGTTTTTTTTTTATCTCCGATTTGTTCATCTATTTTTATTCTATAATTAAGCAAGATGAAGAAAGACAAATGATATTTTAAGATTCCCTAACAACGATGGGCAAAATAAAAAACTATAAGTCGACTTACCCTAATGATATTGTATCTTGAAAAAATACCACCTGCATGTCCATTGTCCCGATGCTCCCTAACACTATTTTGCATTTCCTCTTCAACCGTCACGAATTCCTTGTCATCCGTTAAAAGATCGACCAAAAGTGTACCTGGATTGGAAGGCGTGACCCACAATCCGCCGCAACTAGCCACCAAACGTTCCATTCCTGAAAAAACGCAAGGAAAAACATTAAAATACGCCACACCCGTTCGATACATTAACGCACTACAAACCTTTTATCAATTTATGTCGAAAACCGTAGGCTGATATGCCGATCTGCTTCAAATCCTCGTGCGACATCTCAGCCAAAATGTCCAAAGTGATCTGCTCCCTCTCGAAGATGTCCAATAGATGCTCTAGATTCAAGCTAGTCAAGAAATTAGACACCGTGCACGCGCCTCCTTCTTCGCCTTCTCCTTCCGTTTTAACCGAAGCGCAACACCCGTCGCCCGAGCCTGAACTCATCGACACGCTGGCTCTGCTACCGATCGGCACTAGCAGTTGCACGGCAGCTCCGGACGGCATTATGACGGTTTCAATGTTGGTCGATGGTAGAGGCGGACTGGGCGTGTGCGATAAAGCGATCGAAGGTGGTCTAGAGGGCGGAGCCGATGCAGTGGGTACGCCCTGTTGAGAAGCCATTGCGTCTTGAAGGAGACATCTGACGTCGTCGGCGGAGGATAGGTCGACAGGTGCCTGACCTTCTTGATTTTTAAGGAACGGATCGGCACCGTGTGCCAGCTAAAATATACATTTATTATTATACTCTTCACACAGTAGTCTGTGAAAAGTATTACTTTGTCCGTCCGTCTAATGTCACGTTTTTTGTTTACACGATAAGTAAATAACGAAAAATGCCATCAAATTGAAAATTTCAGGAAAAATAAAGCTCTATAAGGAGACTAATCCTACTGATTTCGAAAAAAATTTGAATAAAACTGGGGGTGTTAAGATTCAAATATTAAAAAAAATCATAACTCAAAAATGAAAAATTATATTATTTATTGTTTCGGCCTTTACTTGATGAAAATCCATTTAATCTTGAAAGAGTAAAACCAAATTTGGTAGATTTTCACTTTTATTTTAAAAATATAAAAAAATTTTAAAAACACTAACATGACATATGTTTCGAAGTACAACTTCTTTTTCAAATGTGACTAATTTACAATTCGGTATCCAATATATATACGAAATAATTTAACAAAACAAAGTACTTAAGAAAAACATCAATAACATTACAAAATAAACTAACTATTTAAAGTAAATAAGGGTACATAGGTAATTATAATATCAATCAGATAACAATAAGATGGCACATTACCGGGATTATCTCACAGAAAACTAGGAAAGAGATTTAATAAGGGTGAATTATTAATATCTAATTGATCATTTAGTAAGTTATCTGAATTTTTAAATCTATTTATTTCAAGTGTTTCTAAATGGTTTAATTTAAGGCTCTTATTTTCTATATGTAAAATTTCAAAGATGTCTGTAAAAGAATGATTTTCAGCTAAAATATGGTTTGAGTAAGTAGAATTATTTTTGTTTTTTGTATAGCTATTATAATGTTCGGAATAGCGTTTTTTGAAAGTACGGCCTGTTTGACCAATATACAATTTTGGACAACTACCACAATTTAATTTTATACCCCCGATTTATTATTAGGATTAATTTTACCCTTATTGTTTTTAATATACTTCCCAAGCGTATTATTGGTTTTAAAAGCTACGTTAATATTTTGGTTTTTTAAATATGATGATACCTTTTCACTAGGAGCTCCTATATATGTAAGACTCTTATATGTATCTGCAATTTTGATCTTTAATTATGGGATAAACTTGTTGAATAGCCTGTTTAAAAAGTGTTTTCTCTAAAATGTTGTCTACTAACTTTGAATTAAAATTATTATTTACTGCGATTTGTTTAATGATATTTAATTCTTTTGTGAAGTTCTCTTTGGTAAGGGGAATATTAACTAATCTATGGATCATACTGTTGTATGCTGCCAGCTTTTGTTTGTATGGATGAGATGCACTATTATTTATTGTAATATCAGTATGTGATGGCTTATGAAATATCCCAAAACTATGGCCTTTATTATTTTTAATATTTAAGTCTAAAAAATTAATTGAATTATCCTTCTCTGTTTCCATAGTAAATTTAATATTAGGGTGTATAGTATTAATAAAAACTAATAAAGAATTTAACTGTCTACTAGTACCAGTAAAAGCAGTCAATATATCGTCAACATATCTATGCCAATACAGACAATGTTTACTTAAATTATTGCTATGAATTTTATTTTCTATATTATCCATAAATATTTCTGCAAGCAACGGGCTTAATGGGTTCCCCATAATAAGATTGTCTGTATTGGCATAGATATGTTGACGATATATTGACTGCTTTTACTGGTACTAGTAGACAGTTAAATTCTTTTAGTTTTTATTAATACTATACACCCTAATATTAAATTTACTATGGAAACAGAGAAGGATAATTCAATTAATTTTTTAGACTTAAATATTAAAAATAATAAAGGCCATAGTTTTGGGATATTTCATAAGCCATCACATACTGATATTACAATAAATAATAGTTCATCTCATCCATACAAACAAAAGCTGGCAGCATACAACAGTATGATCCATAGATTAGTTAATATTCCCCTTACCAAAGAGAACTTCACAAAAGAATTAAATATCATTAAACAAATCGCAGTAAATAATTAAATCTCTTTCCTAGTTTTCTGTGAGATAATCCCGGTAATGTGCCATCTTATTGTAATCTGATTGATATTATAATTACCTAAGTACCCTTATTTACTTTAAATAGTTAGTTTATTTTGTAATGTTATTGATGTTTTTCTTAAGTACTTTGTTTTGTTAAATTATTTCGTATATATATTGGATACCGAATTGTAAATTAGTCACATTTGAAAAAGAAGTTGTACTTCGAAACATATGTCATGTTAGTGTTTTTAAAAAAATTTTATATTTTTAAAATAAAAGTGTGAAAATCTACCAAATTTGGTTTTACTCTTTCAAAATGAAAAATTATATTAACTTGAAATGTTTAGCAAAAGTTAAGCTCTATAACAGTAAGGTCAGGACACGAGGGAGACGTGCTAGATATGGGAAAGATGGCAGGATAAGAGGGAATGAACAGGACATAGTTCTATTACAAAAAAGGTTGTGTATTTTTTGTACTTACCAAGAGTGCGCACAACTGCGTCCTTCCCTTCTGCGCGGCTTCGTGCAGAGGCGTGAAACCCCATTTATCCGTGGCATTGACAACAGTGTTGTATTTGATCAGCAACGCAGCAATGTCCAAATGGCCATAACTAGACGCGTTATGTAGAGGAATTAGACCCCCTTTATCTTGGGCATTGACGTCGGCTCCGTTTTCCAAAAGGAATTCTGCCACCTCTACATTATTATAACCAGCTGAAAGACAGTAAGAAATACACTGAATGATTTCCGAAGCACTATTAAATTATTTAGAAAGTTTACCTGCTAAATGTAATGGCGTCGAATTCCTACCCTGCGCATCTCTACAGTTGATGTTATCTGGAGTTACTAGTCGTTGTACTCTAGCCAAATTACCTTTTTTAGCCGCGTCCAAGAGGGCCGAGTTGCCCTTAAGCAAATCGGCGACGTCTTGATCGCCTTCTCTCACTAAATCTAATGGGGTAGCTCCGTCGCGATTTTTCTTACTTGGATCGGCCCCATGCTGAAAGTATACCGATTTAATCTTTTATCAGGTGTGTACACAATCCCAGGTACGCTAATCGTTTTTCCCGCAACTCATTAAACGATTTTTAGCTATATATGACGACCCTTATCAATATTCCCACAAATGTTTAGTAGGCGTAATTGCGCCATATACTATTAACTTTTAAGGCATATAAAACTATTAATTTTTAGATTAGTTACTGTTTGACAACCTTTTTAAAATACAGGATGATATTAACTAAATATCCAAAAATATTTTATTAAATTATAATAATTTTGAGTTCATAAATAAACTTACTTTGAGCAATAGTTTCACGATTTCGTACTTTCCTTTGGCGGCCGCTTCGTGTAGTGGCGTAAATTTCCACAAATCCGCCACGTTCACGCTAGCACCGTGTTTTACGAGCAATTCGGTCACCTCGTAATGTCCATAGGAACAGGCGTTGTGTAGAGGAACCAAACCTCTGCAAAATCACGAAAAGAACGTATTAAACAAATTAGCAGTTTCATAAAACAAATTGTTTCCAAACTGTAATTATCTACAACTCACCCTTTATCTTTGGCATGAACGTCGGCCCCTTGTTGAAGTAAAAATTCGACCACAGCCACCCTGTTGTATCCGGATGCGAAATGCAGAGGCGTCGAATGCCTTCCGTCTAAGTCTCGGCAATTCACTATGTGCGGATAGGAACCCAAAAGTCTTTGAACCTGATCAATATCCCCCGCTTTGGCGGCCTCCAAAATTTGACTTTCGATATCAGCAGTACCCGTTGGTGGATCTATAAAGTAAATTAATAGTAAATAATCCGAAAATGCAGCAATTAGAATTTCTGGTCACCTTGAAGGATCTTCAAAACGTTCTCGCTAGCAACTTGGGTCGCCGTATAACCCTGTAGGGACACGATCGTTGTGTCTACGCTATAACTGAGAAGGATCCTACAAGCTTGGACGTTGTCTTCTCTGGCGCATCGATGTAAAGCTGTTTGACCTAACCCGTCAAGGGCATTCACTTTGGCACCGTGTCTTAATAATACATCCATAAGGTCGTAATGAGAATGATCGGCGGCTGAATGTAGAGGAGTTAAAAAATCTTTGTTTTTTTCGTTTAGAGGCGCCCCTTTTCTGAAAACAAAATTGTAGATGTAACGGCTTCATTAGCGGCTATTGATTAACGTACCTGATTAGCGTTTCCAAGACCTGTTTCCGCTTCGGATACAGTGAATTGACAGCAGCATGTAAAGCCGTATCTCCGCTATATGGATGCTTAAAACCAATAATATCAGGAGTCAGATATTTCTTCAACTTAGTGGTATCGCCCTGTCGAGCTGCATCGAGCAAAATATGCCCCTTATATTCATCTAAACAACAAATACAGACATTTGACGACCGACATTTGATGCGTTTAAATTACAGTGTAACTATAAGGTGTTTTAACTCTCATTTACCCCTTGAAAATACAAACAGTGGCGGTTTGTCCGTAAGGGCACGTGTCCTAGTATAAAAAACCAAAAAAGAATAATAACTTACATATTTTATATTTTCCTCAATGCCTATTATTATTTTATCTAATATTTAGCGCAAACCGCGTTGGCACGACACTGGACGACCGGGCGTTGAGCGACGTTCCAAGAATGCCGAAATTAAGTAAAAGATAGGAACAGGACACAGTAAATGTGTGCCTCTGTTGTTTTCTCTCATTATAACTCGAAAAACAAGGACAACGATAATATCGCTTAGCAAGAGATGAACAGATGCGGTGGATTATACGTCACAAGAGGGGCGCTGTCTCTATCGTAACGTGCTGTACCGATGGTTTATTTGTTTACCTTCAACTTAGCGCTGCCGGGTGCTTGTTGATATTTTGGAGCCGTACATTTCGGTAATCCGTTTGATAAGTGTGATATATAATGGGCGTGTTTAGTGTAAACGAATTTAACGAATCTAATACTACTACCTGTTTAAGCACAAAAAAACTTTTTTTTTTCATGCAATACATTCTTTAAATAGATAATAAATAATAAAGTTATAGTACTTTAAAAAGTTCACTTTTAAATCAATTATTTAAAACACTCCATTTTTGCGCCATTAACCGCGTCATAATGAAGCGCCTATTTCTATTGGTCACTAAAGAGATTGTGATACCGTAAATCTAGAGCAGTAAATCTTAAGCAGTTATCGTTATCTTTTTCTAATAGTGACATTTATGATAGTTATCTCTTTCTAAAATCGGATTAAAATTATGTTTTCATTTCTCATGATACAAAAATGTCAAAATTTCTAACCTCAAAACGATTGTTGGAAACAAAACATTGAAATTGCTTTTAAAAAGTGTGATAAAATAAACATTTGTTTAATTTTGTGTAACATTAAAAATATCTAGTTAAGTACTTGGTCCCTATGAGAAAAAAACCAGTCAATCTGATAAAATGTTTATAAAAGTTCCTTAAAATCTAGACCTAGACATTCAAAAACGATAGTGAGATAAGGGCTGTTGCAAAATACAAACCACCATCGGGCTTTTGTATTTTGATGTAAATTAAAATAATCTTGTATTTTTTTGTTTCCAATGTGATATAAATTGATAAAACTTACCTAGTTCATCAACTAGTAGGTCAATATAGGTGTACCTACCTTTTTACTTAACACTAATTCTGAGGGTACTACCTAATTAGTTTGCATTATTTTTTTAGGTGGAAGCAAATGCAGAAAACTTGATCCATTTCAAAATTATCGGTAAAAATTTGACAATAAAACAAGATGTGCTTCATAAATATACCATCTAAAAGGATCTTTAACTGACCCTGCCAAAAAAAGATTGGAAATTTGAATTGTATTGTCATTCCATATACAAATGTTATTAATTACTTAAATGATTATAATAAAGCTTGTCTGTTATTTATTATATTCTTTTTAAACAGAAATGTATAAATAAGTTACCTAAAAATATGTACAAAAACTTAATTTATTAAACTTGTGTTTTATATATTATGTTCATATATATTTTTATTAATAATATGTATTTAACAAAAGCTAATAGATGTATTTAAAAAACAATTCTTTTAAAATATGCAAATCATTTAAGTTTTTTTTTTAATTCTGGTAGTTTTTGGAAATCTATGCAACTCCACAAAAGTAAATGCCTGGACTATACTGCCGTCATAAGCCTAACCCCCGTAACTGACAAATTACAAATATTTGTGATTATTTGACCATTTTGATACTAAAGCTTTTTCCTTCTTAAAAAGTAAGCAAAATGTAATATTTATTCTATGTCCTAAAAAGTCAACTTGATTCTACACCATAACTAATACTTTTGTAGCAAAAACCTTTTAAAACACGAGCCAACACAAAGAACAAATTAAACCTATTTTTAGCTAGTTCAAATCATTATCCAAAAATTGTCTTTGATTCAACAAATGCAGCTATATTGATACCACCGATGAAAATGCTGGCACTAATAATTTATTTTTTTGCAAATTTCTCCATTCTATAGTGTGCGTAGTTACTGGGGTTTTGCTTATGATGGCAGAATACATATACAGTAAACTCTCAATGTCTTACAATAAATAAACCTTTTTAAAAGACTCGGTTAACGGTAATATAATAGGTAATTGATAAATAAATATGAAGAAAATGACAAAACTTATTTTAATTTGAATTCATTATAAATATATAACAATTCCAAAAAATATTTGCCGGCTTCATATCATTTAGTTCTTGTTCACGAAAAATAAACTTATTTGAATGTTATTTATTTCAAAATTTGGATATTCCAAACAGAAACCCATTGTTTATTAGAAAGCAACATTTGCAGTTGAATATGGAAGTATAATTTTCTGATCACTTTGCATTTGATATAAATATATTCAATCTTATTTATAAAAAGCACACATTTAATGTTTTTAATTCAAAGAATCGACATCCTCTAATCATTAAAACTTCAAACTTTTGACAACAATGGCTTTTCTAATAATAAATGTTGATGTGATGGAAGGTTTTTCACTTCCATGGTGTTCAGAAGCCACAACAAGAAAGCAATACTTGAATCATAGACATGAATTTAAATTACCTTCGAAAGCAGAATATTTTGTGAATTCACAAGATATGATCTTTTCCTTCTGTTCATTTATTACTGAATAACGCTATAAAGTTTCTGTGTTCTAGCTTTAATGTTACAAATGATAACCGAACATATGATAGTGCACTTCCTTGCAAAACCTACAATAGAATAGAAAAAGTTAACAATAGTAAGTAGTTAGTTTGTATAACAAAAAAAATGTTTCTTTCTTAAATACAAATATCTTTGAATACAATAATTTTAGAAAGATTTGGAGTTTAGAAAGTGTACTTACGTTGCGAATTTCAGGGTCAATAAACTTTATATTATTTATATAAAAAATCATTAATCATGTTAGAATCCACCTTGGGTAAGTTGTATAAAGATTCTTCTTTTAATCCTGTTTGTACCTTGGCCATTTTTAAAAAATTAAATCATTTTAAAATAAATCAAAATAATCTCGCAATCGAAAACGAGGTTAGGATTTTTGACATTATAGACGCAGAGATGAAACCACGTTGCCAGATTCAGAGAAAATATTTTGCGATATGGCAATTATGATTTGAATAACATTTCGATTAAGAAGAAAAGTTTATTGAAATAGTAAGTTGCTTCATAAAAACTGAATTTAAACAATTATTCTTTTAGTTATAATATATATGTTTTTGTGTTAAATTATACGATCTTAACCTTTAAAGTGTCCGTTATCCGGAATGTCAATAATTCTTTAAAGGAAGCGGCAACAAGGTAAAAACATATCGACTATTGTCTGGAAGGTTATAAATTGGCCAAACAGATTTTAGGCTTCATTATGACGATGCTTAAAAATAATTGTGGCGCGCGTTTCAAATTTGCTTGATTTTTTTTTTTGTTTTAAAAAATTCTTGTAGGAAAATTTGAAAAGAGAAAAATTTCAAAAAAATATTTTTATATTAGATTTTGTGCTAGCTTTTAGAAAAAAATATTTTTGAATTTTACTAAACATGCCCATTGTTATAATACGAAAGGTTTTATAGTTTTTTGAGACCAATGGATCACACTGCAGACGGGCTTTCGGCGGCAATTCTGGAGGTATTAAGTGAACTAGGAATTGACAAAGTACCTGAAAAACTAATAGCATAAACATACGATGGTGCTTCCGTAATGAGTGGTATTGTTGGAGGGGTACAAGCTAAAATTAAAAACATCTATGCAAATGCCCAATATATTCACTGCTACTTGCACCAATTAAATCTAATAATTGAAAAGTGTTGCTCAATAGATAAGGCTGTAAGAGTTTTTTTGCCAATCTCTCTGCATTTTCTGATTACTTCTCCCGCTCTACAAAAAGAACAAGCGTTTTGGATAGGGTTGTAAAAAAACGGTTACCTCGTTCAGCTCCTACACAGTGGAATTTTACATCAAAGTGTGTCAATACTATTTATGTTTATAAAGAGGATTTAATTAAATGTCTCGAAGAAATTATGGACACAGAATTCGATAAAAAACTATTAATCAGACTAAAGGGTTGATAAATTTTTTGAAAGACTTTAATTTCTGGTTATTTTTCTTTAGCAAAATAATGCCAAATTGCGATATACATATCAAATTTTGCAGCAGGTATTCAAAATATTAGAAATAATATAGATACGCTAATTCATGAAGAATGGCAATCACAACAAGACCCACAAGAACTAAACTTAAACGACAACACTCAATCAGGTCCAAGTACAAGCAAGAAGAGACGGTTTGTTGAAAAGGAGAACCCCATTCCTGATTTAAGGATATATAACGAAATGTGTGATGCAATAGTAGTGCAGGTAAATGAAAGTTTTAGTTTTACTACTCTCCTAACAATTGCAAGTTTATTTGATAGTGAAAAATTTAAAGACTATCGAGGTTGTTTTCCAAATGAGGACGTTAAAACTGTGTGTAGTTTATTTCCAAACGTTAACAGCTTAAAATTAAAAAACGAACTGTCCATACTTTACACTCGAGATGAATTTGTGCAACACAATGGGGCCGTACCGTTATTACAAATGTTTTTTGAGAACAATTTGACAATTACATTTTCGGAATCTGTGGAGCTGCTAACTATCCTGTGTATAATTCCCATGACCACAGTGGAGAGTGAAAGATGTTTTTCGACACTAAAACGTATTAAAACATTTTTAAGGAACACTATGTGCCAAGATAAATTGAGCGCGTTAGCCATGTTATCCATCGAAAAAAAAACTTATTCGGTCCATTCCAAATTTTAATAATCTGGTCATCGATCACTTCGCTAGCCAAAAATGCAGAAGAATGGACTACTTCAACTATAAGAAATAGTATACAAATGCAGCGGTACCTAGCAGTAAGTCTTCAATTTTGTAATATTTAATTTTTTTTAAATATATTTAATTTTCATTAAGCGGAGAACTTGTTTTCCTAAGGGAAAAACAAATCTCGGGATTCCTTTCCAGTGTGTGCCCTACTGCCGCTAGTGCCCACGAGCCGCCACTGCAAACAAAACATCTTAATTTGCAGTTTACTTTAATAATAAAAACCTATTGGAACTCTTTTCAATCGTCCTTCATCATCACTAGGATTAATACCTTGTACTGGGAATGTATTTGATCTTGAATACAATTAATGTAACTAAATAAAATTTTGTGAATTTTTCTTGACAAGCATTTCATTTTATCTAGCAGTAACTTAATTGTAGTTTGGAGCATATTTATCACTGTTTACTAGTTTTTATAATGAATAATCACTTAGGATATTAGAAACAACAACAACAACAATAATAATAAACTAAATTTACGATCATTTCATCTGTGATTTGTTTACACCATAGATAAATAAAAGGAGATGGTTTAAATTGTAGGCGGAACTTGTTTCCTTGCACTAGATATAAAGCTATATTACAACCATAAAAAATAATTTTTCAAATATAAAGAAATCAATAATTTTTCTGTTGCAACCCTTGAAATTTTATTTTTATGCAATGTGTGGTAAATAAAGGTGTAAATTTGACTGTAATTAGGCTATGTTGCCCTAAAATATGTGAGTATTTTCGTGTAAAATGTATGCGAGTAAAATTTATTCATAATTATAAAAATATAGTGAGGTTATTAAGGACGCCATAAACTTCCAATTCATTTAAATTTTCATTGCGTAATTAAATATTTTACTCACAAAATTATCAAGAAATTTTTTTTATTTTTTCTTCTATTATTACTCTTAGAGAGAAATAGTTCAAAATTTTAAATATTTATAGTAAAAAAATGAATGGGATTGTTTTGTGAAATGTGTGAAACCAATTTACGGTCAGATATTGTAGAACCAGATAATAGTTTCACTTATTTAAAAGATCATGATGAAAAAAGGCATTTGATTTATGCTCAAAAATATATTGTTCAATTTTTGGGTACCATTCATGATTATATTTATCAAATACTACCCAAATATGGGCATATGTTCAAAAACCTAATTCTACATATCAGGAACTATCAGTTTCATCAGGCGTTCCGCAGGAGTCACACCTTGGCCCTGGTCTCTTCTCACTTTTCATTAATGACATAACTTCCTGCTTTTTAAACAGTACTTGCCTTCTATATGCCGCTGATCTAAAATTTTTCACCACAGTTACACTTAACAATACTGCCCTTCAAGGTGATCTAGATAGATTAAATGAGTGGTGCAAGGTGAACCATCTCTCATTAAATACCAGTAAATGCGAAACAATTCAGTTCACTAGAGCTTTAATCCCTTCTCTAAACAAATACAAAATTGGTGATACTGTGCTGCAAAACTTCACATCAGTGAATGATCTAGGGGTGATCTTTGATATGGAATTTTCCTTTCGAGAACACATTGATTCCATTATTTGAAAAGCTTTCCATAGGCTTTATTAAAAGAAATGCCCAATAATGTATGATACTAAAGCAATCTTAACATTATTTAACAGCCTTGTTAGAAGCATTCTTGAATATTGCTCCGTCGTATATCATCCTAACTACACTTGCCACATAGAGAGGATTGAATGAGTTCAGCGTAAATTCACTATTTGCTTTTTAAACACCACTTTCCCTAACAAAACGTTAGTTACGAAAGTAGGCTACTTCTATGTGGTATTCATAACCTAGAAACCAGAAGAATGCATGCTTTAGTTGTTTCTATATAAATTAATTGACGGTAAGATCGATTGTAGCGCTCTATTACAATCTATTAGCTTTTTGGCACCTATTCGACGTACACGGCATACTTCATTGTTTTTTATCAGAAGACACAGTACCAATTACGGACAAAGAACATTTATTAACCGTATGTGCCACATATACAATAAGCTCTACCCCGACTTTGACTTATTTAATACAACGTTATATGCGCTAAAGAACAATTTGAACATTTCTAATTTTGTTTTAATTTGTATGTAATTTTAACACTGTCTTGTTTTTATTGTGTTTCTTGTTTTTTTTATGTGGTATATTTTTATGACCCGAGTGGTTGATTTGACATATATGTATATTTTAATATTTTAATTTTGTGTACCATTTAGTAGTAATTCTGTAGTGTACCAATTTGAATAAATAATATAAAAAAAAATAAAATAATATTTATATTTACATCAAAAAAATTTTAAGAGCGAAAATCAGATTTTTTGTTGAATTTATTCAAATTTTTTAACCTTTTATTATAATAATATATAATGTTAAAAAAAATAACCATGCCATTAACTCTCATAGTAAAATTACGGGAGCAGAGCTGATAGGGATCAAGTTTTTTTTGTTGTTCTAAATTCTAACAACATTTCTACATACAAACGATTTATCACCTAAAAGGGGAAAACAATATATGCAATTAAACGAAATAAGTTGACAGAGCACAATCAAGTATGAAAGTGAAGTACAATAATGTTGTTTCTGTATTTATTAACGTCTTCTTCTGTTTTTAAATGTGAGTTGGTTTACCTTATAGTCTACCGTGGTTTAAATACTTACAAGCAAGCCTTTCTTGTAGTTCTCTCGTAGGAGCGACATCTACGGCAGATTTGGAATGGCAGTTCAGTTGATGAGGGTCTGCTCCTTCGGAGAGCAGTAACGAGCATACTTCTAACCTCGATTTGGAGGCAGCCTCGTGTAGCGGCGTAAACGCCCATAAATCATTAGCGTTGACGTTTGCGCCGTGTTTTATAAGCATCTCAGTTACTTCGAAGTGCCCGTAGGAGCAGGCATTGTGTAAAGGCACTAAACCACTGTGAAAAAAATTAATCAGTAACTACTAGAGTGAAATGTGACAAATTGTTAGCTTAGTTGGTAAGAACGCTGAACTGAGCAGTAGTTTATTTCTTCTAATTCTGCGATCACAATAAAGCCGATTCAATTCGTTAATGGTTCTGAATCGGTTATGTTGATACCAAGATCTAATAGAGGTTAAGTTTGCGGTAAAAAATCAGAATTGATAATGAGTCGTACATGCACTCAGAGAATGAATTAGTAGTTCTGAATCAGTTCAGGATTCTTTCTGCGAATTCAAGCTATATTTGCTTTTACCCTTTATCCTTCGCGTGAACATCGGCCCCGTTTTGAAGCAGCAACTGTACCACCCTGTTTCTGTTGTAACCCGCAGCAAGATGTAACGGTGTGGAGCGCCTTCCGTCGCTAGCGTGACAATTGACGTTTAAGGGATTTAGCAAAGCTAACAGTCGATCTTCCGCACCGGACCGAGCTGCTTCTAATAGTTCGTCCTTTCTATACTCGCCAGTTAAGACGGGACGGGTTGAAACGTCCGCTACTTCCAAGGGCGTCTTGCCTTCGGTGTTACGGATGTTGACGTCGGCTCCGTGTTGTAAAAGAGCTTAATGGATAACATTAAAATTAATATTCTTATATTTGAAAGATATTAGATACAGGGTGATCAAGTATATTTGAAACCTTTTTAAAAGCATGTAACTCACAAAGTAGTTGAGATATCAAATGTCCGATTTTCTCTAGATATATCGTCAGCTTACTATTAAATCTCCTAAGGACTTTTTTTGGACTCGGAAGTTTTTTATAATTTGACATTCCTTTAATACCGACACATAGTTCTGCAAAACCTCGCAAGTGTAGCGCAATTCTAAGCTCAATCTAGGGCGATTATTTAATACCAAAATAACAAATTTAAATAAAGAAATTGCAGGAAAGGACTTTTTTGGACTCGAAGTTTTTTATAATTTGACATTCCTTTAATACCGACACATGGTTCTGCAGAACCTCGCAAGTGTAGCGCAATTCTAAGCTCAATCTAGAGCGATTTTTTAATACCAAAATAACAAATTTAAATAAAGAAATTGCAGAATACAAAAATCAAGTTGGGAAACTAGAAAAACAAAATAATAAAATAGCTGAAGAGCTCAAGAGCATTAAGTCTGAACTAAAAAATTTAGGGACTAAGAGCAGCATAACAATGGAAACCTTGCGAAGAGTACTGGCTAAAAACAAGACTTGTGAAGAAGAATTATTCATAATATAAATATGTATTCGTAATAAATTTAATATAATGCAATTGTTGGTACAAAAACTTAAGGTAGATATTCTTATTCTTGTAGAGGTTTGGCTTAAAGACAATGAACTGGAGTTTGCCATGTTTTCTGGTTTTAAGGTTATATCAAGTTATGTAAGGAATTCTCGTGAACATGGTGGAATCTGTATCTTTGCAAAAAATAACATACCCTGCAGCACTATAGATGTCAATGATCTTTGTAGAGATTTAAATGCTAAATTTGCCAGTTAACTCAAAGCAAAATTGTTGTAGTAGGCACTTATTGTTCACCAAATGGCGACACTCATATATATGTGAAAATGGTTGATACACTATTCGAACAAAAAAAATCCCCTCGACTCCAAAACAGTAGTCGCTGGTGATTTTAATTTCAAGGAAAACACCAGAGCTGTTAATGATTGTAGAAATATTTTTTTATCCTTTGAATTACATAAACAAGTGTTTGTAGATACTGTAACAGATAAAAATAGAACAAGAGTTGACAATTTATTTACAAACTTACAAAAAGAAAGTTTTATTATAGATGCCATTGAGCCTTTTATTTCGGATCACTTAAACTAATTACCGATACAAAAAATGTAAACGATGCATCTTTAAGTAGGCCAATGACTGAGAGGGCCATAAATAATTTTAGATCTGAATTAAAAATGAGTGATTCTTGAAGAATCGATCAATAATAGCATTCCGCAAGAAATTTGTCTATATTTATGATATATTTACAAACAGATCGTAAATTTGAATCTAAAAAAAATTAGTTATGAGTATAAAAAAATTAGTTGTCTAGTTAGAGCACAGGTAAAGTACTGAATTGCCACGAAAGGTCCTGGGTTCAAATCCAGGATTGAAGACTAATTTAATATAATCTTTTTGTTTTGAAGTTCATTTTATTGTACAAATTAGTGATTTTTTTTTTGAGAAAATATGTTACCGGGAAATAAGTTTTTGTCGCAAAAAATGTGTAAAAACCCACTCTTCTATCGGTCTTTTTATTAAAAGTCCAACACTATTCATTTTACGTGGAAGTTGATCCTATATAAAATTAAAAAGGATAAAATTTTCTACATTTAATGTATTTTAACTTTTTTTTGACCATAGACTCGCGAAAATTGGTGTTAAAAGCAAAGAACTATCAAAAACAGAAGGAATGTATAATTTGCATGACATACTTTTTTAAATTAAACTAGTAAATAAGTAATAAAAAACAAGGTTTTGTAGGTTGATAGATCACATTATTATTTAAGTAGTTACTTCAACTCTCGTAACTGACAAATTACAAATATATGAGATTATTTGACCATTTTGATTCTAAAGCTTTTTTCTTTTTAAAAAGTAAGTTAAATCTTAGTAATATTTATTTTATATCCTAAAAAAGTAACTAACATTTTTGTAGCAAAAACCTTTTAACCCACAAAAAATTAAATCAAACTTATTTTTAACTAGATAAAAAAATTATCAAAAAATTGTCTTTAATTAAAAAAATGCGGCTTTAGTACCACCGATGAAAATGCTGGCACTAATAATTTATTTTATTGCAATTATCTCCATTCTATAATTTGCGTAGTTACTGGGGTTTTGCTTATGACGGCAAATTTGTGGTTGCCATATGATAAAACCTTTCTTATCAATTAAAAAATGGAAAATGCTACATTACTTATCTTAAATCTAATTTATAGACAATTAAATAACCGTTGATTATTTATTTTATAATTACATTTGATAGATAATAAATTACTTCCTAACTTAATCAATATTTTATCTCTTCTTGATTAGAATATATAAGTTAAGGTTGTGCTTATCCCAATGATTCTTTAATATGCTCACAAATAACGCTAGCATACTCATTTATGTGATAATATTCAACAGCGGTTCAACTACAATGTCAACACCACCTCGTTCATTTCAGAGCAAAAATGTTCTGACCTACTGCTTGAACCATTTGGCAACAAGCATATCGGCAGATTTTTAGTAATTTTTGCTATTTAAGGTTCCATCAAGTTTATTAATAAAAAAGAATACAAAATGGTATATTTAGACCCAGAGCTTAAAACTATGTGGGCCTTACAAGGTACAAATTTTATAATATCATATCACAGAAGAAGAATTCGGTATTATAATAATAACAATACTACTACAAAATAACCAGTAATAATTAAAAAAAAAAATACAGTAATTTAATATCACACTATTACTTATACCCTATTTAAACATGAAGATATCAACTAAGAAAATTCTATTAAGTATTTAGTTTTTTTAAAGAGATCAGTCCTTATGTTCTTTATGGTGTTAGGAGTAATTTGGTAGTTAGTTCAATTTTATCTTCTAGGCAACGCTGTCAAGTTCAATAAATAACAAAAATATTACAGTTCATTTTTTGGTACCAATTCATTATAAATTCAATAAGATTATTATATTTTCTAACAAACGAAATACAATAATATTTCAAATCATATGTCCCGAAATTAGATGGTCATATTTTAACAGCGTAATCTACATCCTAAAATATGCTTGAAATTTTTTTTTAATATTAATTTCTCAATAAATTCCACGATAACCTATATATTTTATTGTAAAAAACAAAACCTAAATATTTCAAAAACCTTATTTTTAGTTTTTTTTCTACTCCATCTAATCAATAAATAATAGTATACTTAATTACAATTCGAAAATTGTTGTTGAAGTCTTACTTTCTCATAAGACACTGTACAAATACTCACATTTTTAAAATTCTTTTTTCTCAAAAATTTGCACGGTAAGGTATAGTTAAAAGTTCACTATTAGATAAATAAGGACTTCAACTATTAGAAAAAAATTAATTTTAGTCATAATCTAATATTTTTTATTTAACATTGGTGGCGAAAGGACCTCCTTAAAAAATCTATGCCCCCATAAAAACTTTCACCTTCCCCTTTTCCCCGTTTAAAACATGAAAATCAAAAAAACCCTAAAATACGTCATTATTTATTTGTAATGAGTAGCTACAATTACAATTTTCAAGTTCCTACCTTTAAAAAAATCGATACTCCCCCTTCAAATGTGAAAATCTAAAAACCCTGAAACACTATTATTTATTTATGCTTAGTAGCTGTATTTCAAATTTTCATGTTTCACTACAACTATGCAAAAATCATGTTTGATCCCGTGCTCTGTTAAAACAAAGCAAAACTATCCCACAGGAACTGTACCGGGATAAAAAGTAGCCTATGTGTTATTCCAGACTATTATCTACCTTTCTGCCAAATTTCATCCTGATCCTTTGAGCAGTTCTGGCGTGATTGAGCAACAAACATCAAAATTTTCGCATTTATATATTAGTAGGATTATATTTTTTAATAAAGTCCGTTTCGCAATAAAAACTAAACCAAGTAAAATTATAAAAAAAAACATATATTTCCTTATTTAAATAGAATTCTCAATTTTTTTGTATAATTTTGTTGCTGGTTTAGATATTTATCACAAAGAACAACCAATTTTTAAATTCCTTTCTCATAGAAGTTAGAAGTGTCTATTACTTAATAATAATGTTTATTTGTAGAATGATATTGATGTATAAAAATTATATAAATAAGTATATATTATGGAAAGATCCATTAGTATACATAAATTACATAAAATAGATTAAATAAATACATTATAAAAGGTAGGTACAAAAAATCTAAACATTAAATACATGAGATGAAATATACCAAAGTTATTAAAAACATATTCTCTTCACATCATTCTGGAATTGACTAATTGAACACCCAGTGACATCTAAATTGTATTGATTAGCCAGTCTCATTAGTCTAGGTAGGGGCGCATGATAAGTATAATTAGCGAGGTGAAGTTAAATTGCAAATAGACTCTTATTCCTTGTAGTTCTTGTGGGAACTCTAAATGTAATCATGGATAATAACTCATCAGAAGTAACAATACCGGCTATGATATTATAGAGGAATGACAGATCCATGAAGATTCTTCGATTTACAAGGGTTGGGAGGTTTATTAAGTTCAGAATTGTGGAATAATTATATGTACCTGTCGCTAGACCAAGTTTAAAGGCACAATATCGCAAATATTTATTTTGGACATTTTCAATCCTTTTTAAAGAGTTTTGGACAACATATGGTAGAGCTGTACTCCAAAATACATTATACTTCTTCATCAGAAACTAAACACTAGTTGCAGAGGGAGGTTTTTTGAGATGACGGAAGAGGTGGCAGCCATTAGGCCCAAGGTCAGGCCTGTATGAGGGTTGTTGAACATTTCTTGTTGTAGTGAATACAAATATCATCAATTTTGTACACAGAATGCTGGAGTCCAGCGGGTGAGAATGGGGCTCATCCCAATTTAAAACACTATTCACAAACGTACCTTACTTAAAAAAGAAACCTTCTCTGTACATTTAAGTTATCAATGAATATTGACAAGACTAATTATTTATTTATATATTTACGGGCAAGCCCATTTAGGTAACAATAAGTTGATAAAAATTACATTGGTGTATTTTGAATGTTGTGCTTTAATCTATTTACAGAGGAATCAAATATTATAATATTATCCAGAAAATTTGCCAGTCTAAGTATCCGAGGAATACAACTGTTAAAAGTACTATTAAGTCTATAAAAAGGAATATAAAATAATTGTGATTGCCTGGTATTACGAGTAGTAACAAAAATATTAATTTTCGATAGAATTTCAGGACAATCATATCTTCCATTACCAATATTAAAAAGTAAAATCAGGTCTCTATGTTTTCTCCTGGTTTCAAGAGACAGTATTTCTAAAACCTGCTCCATTGTAGCATATTCATAAAACGTTTGTAATTTAAAGTCTATGTACCTAAGGAAATTGTTCTGAACACGATCGATTTTTAATTTATACGTTACATGATGTGGGGACCATATTGAAGAGCAATAGTAGACTCCTAACTAAAGTACAATAAAGAGTTTTAATTGCAGTTATATCAGTGAAGTCGCGGGTCGTTCTTTTAATAAATCCTAACATTTTCATAGATTTACTTGTAACTGAAGAGATGTGGTGGTTAAAGCTAAGGGTTGTGTCAAAAATAACTCCAAGATCTTTAATTTGTTTAACACTATCTAAAAGTTGGCCATTGATTGTGTAGTCAAATAGAGTGGGCTGTTGAGAACGATGGAACCGAATAATGTGACATTTTCCCACATTTAAATAATTGTGTTGTGCTTTCAATGACTTAAACCAAAAGGCCGGACTTTCAAAATTCTGTCAAACGAGTCAGTCATAACTGATAGACATAATACATTATAAAATAAACATATTACACATATTTGTACATTAATAATATTCAAAAACTTTATGAGATCAGATTGTTGTACTCCTGTAAATCTCAACTACTCTTTATATTTTTAAAATATTATGTATACATATTTGCTTCTATCACACAAGAAGCCACACTATTGAAAGGGTATGTGTATTGAACATCCATCTCTTAAACTTTAAGACACAAGTATGTAAATTATATGCTGGAGCCTAAATTTTTAGGTCTTTGTAATTTCATTTATTTAAAGTTTGATTTTAATTTGAACTACAAGATATTTATTTGAAAGCTATTTATTGTATTTTATCTCTAAATATTTTAATGACAAATGGAATGAATTTGGTCATGAAATCCTTGTTTCATTTTATTTTGGATAAATTTGATGGTATACATTTACAAAACATAACACAAGTGTTTTTAAAACTTAGGAGTATCAATTGTAACATACTTTGTAATTTTAGTATTTAGTATACAGATCAATAACATAACGTAACTAATATTTGTACACACATTCAAATAGTTCATGATTATTAATCAAGAAAATATTCTATTAAATTCTATTCAAATTGGTTCGATTAATGAAGTCGTTGATGCTGCTAAAAATAAAATTAATTTAAATGAAAAACTCCTAAATGTCTTACATTTCAATATTAGGAGTATTAAAAAGAATTTTGATGAGTTGTTAGTATTTCTAGAAAGTTATAAAATTAATTATTGTGATATAATAGTTTTGACTGAATGTTTTCAATTAGAATCTACTTTTCAATTTAACCTAGGTGGCTTCACCACCCACTATAACAATGGTAACATTAACAGAAATGATGATGTAATTTTGGTCAGGTCAAATCTAAATGCAGAATTAAATATAGTTAAACTGGAATATTCTGATATTTGTGTCATTAAAATAAATCTAAAAGTCAATCATCGGACCATTGGCATTACAGGTGTATACAGATCTCCTCAAACCTCTGCACAAGCATTTATAAGGGATTCAGAAAGTTTCATACCAAATCACCTAAATAGAAATATTGAAATATTTATAGGGGACATTAATATTGATCTCCTAAATGTAACCAAGCAACTTTTTATTCTCATGGTTTCATGTCTTACATAAACACTATTACAAGGCCACAAAGTAAAACATGCTTCTTGGATCATATATTCTTAAAAAACAATATTAAGACTGAAAATCTATCGGTGAACTCTTATGTAATCAGCTATGATATGACTGATCATGATCCTATTATGATAAATATCTCACAATCTGTCAAAAACTACACAAGTTCCCACAATACATATAAAACTATAACTAAAATTGATACTGATAAATTAAAACAAAAATTTGAAACTGTAAACTGGGAAAGTGTTTGCAATGAAAATAATCCAGAAATTGCTACACAACTTTTTTATGACACGTATCTTAATATTATTGAAACATGTCATACCACTCAAAATATTAAAATTAAAATCCATAAAAAAATAAAGCCATGGATAACAAATGGTTTCATTAATTCTATTAAAACTAGGGATAAACATAAAAAAGATCTACAAAAAAACTATACTATTAACAATCAAACTCACTACAAAACATTTAGAAATAATTTTAACAAACTAATATCAAAAACTAAAAATGTTTATTATAACAACAAAATAAACCAAAACAAAAATGATCTGAAAAAACTTATCAATTAATCTCTGAAGCAACTAATGAAAATCATAAAAAAAAATAATACCAATTTACAGATTGTTAACCAACATAATGAGGAATTTGAAAATGAAATGGTGAATTACTGCAATAACTACTTTTCGACTATTAACACTAATATGTTCACAAATATCCCTGAATGTAATGTTGATTTTCCTGTGTCACTGAAAAATCAATGTTTCTGAAACCGATATGCGAAAACGATATTATGAAACACATAAATAGTGATTTGATTGTATAACAGTAAAACATCTGGAACCTTTAATGCATATCATTAATTGTATTTTTAATACAGGAATTGTACCTAAACAATTTAAAACTTCAATTATAACACCTATTTATAAAGCTGGTAATCCAAAATTAATAACTAACTTTAGACCTATTAGTTTAATTAGTAATGTGGCCAAAATATTTGAGAAATGTGTGAAAGATAGACTGACAGATTTTTTAAAAACTAATGACTTACTTCCCAAGCACCAATATGGCTTTACTAAGGGTCTTAACTCAGGAGATGCTAAGCATGAATTGATTTCATATGTTACTGATGAAATGAATACTGGTAACAAGTGTATAGCTATATTTCTAGATCTAGCAAAAGCATTTGACACGGTGCCACATCAGAAGCTCTTAAATGTTCTTGAACAGAATGGAGTGTAGGGCATCGTGTTGAAGGTTTTTGAAAATTATTTGACACACAGACAACAGAAGGTCAGAGACAATATGAGTAACCCTGAAAATATACAAATCGGAGTGCCTCAAGGGACTGTTCTGGGACCTATACTATTTAATTTATACATTAAGAGCTTAACTCAGATTAATATTCAAGGTAAAGTTGTATCATATGCTGATGATACAGTGCTAGTCTTCAGTGATAAAGATTGAGAAGCCGTCAAGACACGTGCTATAGCTGGAATGGAACATGTCAAAAACTGGTTGGATGTTTTTAAATTGTCTTTGAATGTTAACAAAACAAACTACATTGCTTTTTTCAAAGACAGTGGCTGATCGACCTCAATTTAGAAGCTTAACATGTTAAAATTTAGACATACAGCAAACAGAAACATCCAAATATTTAGGTATAATTATAGACCAGCACTTAAAATGGGACTGCCATATAGCAAAAAAATTCTTCTAAAACAATTTCTCAACCAGGATCTACTAATAACATTATACTACAGTCTAGTAGAATCTATACTACAGTATGGAATCTTAGTATGGGGAGGCCTGTATGGAACTACATTAAATCAGTTAAATGTTATTTAAAACAAAATCTTGAAATTAATATATAAAAGAGGTAGATTGTGTCCCACCATAACTTTATATAATGAAAAAATTAGCAATGTTAGATGTTTATATATTCACGCAGTGTGTTGTTATATACAAAAAAATAAATTTTTAAAAAACCCTTTAGAACATAGACATAACACTAGAACTGCATCGAAAATGTGCATTAAAGTACCAAAACCAAATAGTGAGTTTTCAGAAACAGTGTAAATTATCTAGGGACAAACGCTCTATCTCTTCATATAAAATTATTAGACAAATATAAAAAAGTTAGCAAAATATACATTTTCCAAAATAATGCAAAGTTTATCAGAATATTCCAAGAATAACAGACTTAATACATGGATTTTTTTTAATAATTTTTTTTTCTGTTTCTTGCATAAATTGTTCAAGTTGTATTTATTTAAAAAAAAAAATTTTTTTATTTCCTTTATAATCCATTAAATATAATTAAAATAAAATTTTAATTTAAGTTTTGTCATCACATACAGGTGTTCTCACCTAGGTGCTTGTTATTATATAATTGGTTTCCATTATTGTAACTTATTTATTATTGTAACTCATTGTAACTTATAACTATTAAACTAATTAAGAAGAATCAATAATGTAAAAAAATACTCACCAATGCAAACATCAATTTTTCCCTTTATAGCAGCCTCATGTAGAGGAGTATAATTCCAGTTATCTCTCGTGTTTGGATTAGCTCCTGCTTCCAATAGCAATCTTACAACATCGGCATGTCCAAATGAACATGCATTGTGGAGAGGATGAAGACCACCATCGTCACGGGCTTGAATAGATGCGCCCGTAGATAAAAGAAATTCTACTACATCACGCCTTCCATAACCTTAAAAGATCCATCAAGTTTTATTTTGTAATTACATACAAGTATTAACTAGTTCAACACTACTCTGAGCTTTGCTTGGTATACAAATGAAGGACATCTGATGCTCAGGTGAAATACAACATTATTGTAAGTACTAGAAGGAGACCCATAAGGATTTTAGAACAAAACAAAAATTATTTGTATAATCAATTTTGGGACAATTTTTTTGTATAGCTTTCTATTGTTTTTGAAATATAAGTGCATTTCATAATACAACCTTATCCATTAATAAGCAATACATAAATAGTCTGTGAATATACAAAATGAACTTTCTTTTCAAAGACCTTCAACAAATAACAAAGTAAATTACCGTAATGTTTGATCTAGTTTAATGTTTTTAAGGGGAGATACATTTTTAAACAATAAACTAATCAGAAAATTGGACCACATATCCAATATGAACTAATTAGATCAGTAAACATAAAATAGCCTACCTGCAGCAAAATGAAGTGGTGTAGATTTTCGCCCAGCAGTATCCCTAGCATTCACTGTAACAGACGTGACGAGTTTCCTTACTCTAGAAATGTCTCCAACTTTGCAGGCCTCAAATAGTTCCCTTAAAGGGTCACTGGCACTTGGCAGTGAATCCATCGAAGTTTTCAAAACATCACGTCTACTTGCCATTCCAAATGGAAATGAATTATCACAATTTGGCCATTGTTGTTATTTAATAGATTATATTATTCTTGATTTGATTAAATTAGAAAGTTGCACATTTATATCTTGTAATTAATCGATTCTATTGAGTCATAATACCTTTTTTTGCTTTTGTTGTGTAAATTTAGGAGGGGATTTGGTACACAAATTACAAATTGAGCAAAATTACACATACAGGAAGTTGTAAAGGCGCAGGTAGACCTTGTACGTCAAATTGAGAGTCATGTGAAGTCACTGCTGCTAAAAGAGTAATATCACGTGATAAAGAAAATATAATAAATTACAGTAAAAATAAAAATAATTTATACTAATTAGTTACGTTCACAATATTACGTTGTTGACTCATAACTAACTCAATCCTAGTGATTAGTCACTTTTAAAACAAAATTAAAACGATGTTCACCGGATAATACGTGATTTCATATGACTCTAGGATATGTAAACCATGCTTTAATCTAAAGCTTACGGACATTACCTAATCTATGGCTTACGGATACGGACAAAATTAATAGACTCTCATTGATATATGTTAAATAGATTGGTCACCCATATGTAAATAACGAAATGCGAGTCGAAATCAAAACTGGGAGTGGGATAGAATGCTTGTCAATAGGTTTGAGATGCGACTCTATGGGCGCAGACAGGTTATTTTTCATCTTGCTCGGGAGTATTTATAATAACCACTTTCTTTATCACATCGTTATTGTCTGATCCACCAGGCTAAAATTCTTAAAATCAACACGCCTTATGACTGTCGGCTGTTTAAAATCACAGATTTTGTTTGAGCCGCCTGTGCTGTAAAACACACATAACATTTTGATTTATTACTCTGTGTCGATTGAAATTCTACTATATACGAAAAAATTATTTGTTAGGCAATACAAATTTATATTTATACCGAACAACATTTTTTTGTAAATTGTTGCCTTATTATATAAAGCCATAATTGAAAATTCTAAAATTTGTAACAGCCTACAATAGTTTTAATTAACAATACAAAATATTAAAATATTTTTAAAATTATATAACTACTTAAGTCCAAGTTCAACGCGTTGTCAATGACTTTTTTTATTACAAAAAATACCGCTTTGAATGATAATATTTTCAGAAATTATTTTTAAATATGGGTTCAGACACTGAACTCTGTACAGTTCAGTGGGTTCAGAGTACGGTAAAGAATGGTGGAAAGTCTATAGTTTATTTTACTTTTAATGCATATTTTAATAAGTGATATTTAACAAATATTTAAAAGTTATGGGCTTTCCACCATTTTTTATAGTATATTAAAAAGCTAAAACGCAAAATACTCTTTTATTTTTGCCCTAATTATTTCAGAACACTTGTGTTAAGATTTAAAAATGTACTGATGCCAATTTGCAACCGTTTTATTAAACTTATCGTGTTACGTATTTGTTGACATTAAAAGATAGAAATTAAAAGTGACGTCTTGTATTACTTCGAAGAAAAATCGTTGTCTCACCTAAAGAAAAAAGTTGAGTTGGGTCCTAATAATAATTATATTTATATAAATCTATAACATGTACATTTAGAACTGTAAAATTTGAATGACAAGAAAACATTGAACGTAAATTATTATAAACTCTAATTTATAAACCGTTTTTATAAATGATTTGTTTACAAATGAGAGACAAAACATAGCATTGAGTATTGCAAGTTATGGATGAGCAATCTGTATATATTATATCATTGAATAGGTTACGTTCTGTCACACAAATCTTAACGCTTACCGTTACTTCCGCTTACATAAATAGACAAATGACAAATATCTACTATCAAATGTCAAACAAAACAAAATATTTTTGTTTTGATTTTACTTATCTATGGTTTAAACTGTTATACGATATATAAGAAAAAATATTTTTATTAAGTAAATTTAATTAACAAAATGAGCAGCGTACCATTATTTCCCAATCTGAAACCGAGATTAATGCATGCTTCTTGGTTCGACGTCGATCAGCCATGCGATGATGAAGATGAAGTCTCCCAGTTAGAAAGAGATCATCAAAACTGGGTAAATAAATATTATTCAATTTTAATTAGATACGAGTACATACATTAGGTAATGACAACTGCTTTTTATTTTTAGTTACAAATGATAAAGCAAAAGAACGTAGATTTAACTCCAATTGGTAAAACTACATCAGAGGTAATTTAATATATTGTTTAAGCTCTGTATGTTGAGAATATAATTTTATTTGTAGACCATAGAAGAAGACGAAGAAGAGGACGATGAAGATGATAATGACGACGATGATGAATCAGAATCACATGATGAAGAGGAGGAAGATGAAATAGAAATGGATGTGTCACAAGAACGCAGTTCTCCAGTTGATGTTAGTATAAGACTTGTGCAAGGACATGGAGTGCGATAAATATATTACGGTCATCATCTAGTTTGAGCTCTTTTCACCATGAAAAAAAAAATAGTATATTATGTACTTGTATCACTATTGTAAAAAAAGAATCTTTGGTCTGTATTTATAAACAGAACTCAGTTGAGTTGGACTTGGGTAAGTCATCCTTGAACTAAAATCGAAGTTCGGTGATTCCAGTGTTACACTGGAATTTAGAGATGGATATTAGCAAATCTGTAACTTTTAAGTAGTACATTTACGGATTTGTTACTACCCATCTCTAAATTCACGGGATATAACCAAACTTCAATTTTCGTTCAAGGACAACTCAGCCAAGTTCTGTTTATAAATACAGACCTTAGTTCGTATCTTATGCAATTTAAAAATGAAACAAAACAAATATATTTCTCAAATCAAATATGCTACTATTAAGTCTTACAGGGTTGGTTGCCAAGTTGCTCAAAAAGATTACTATCCAATTATTATCAAAAGTACAGCAATTGCCTCAACAATATTTTATATTTTTTAAACTATTGGTGTTGTTTTACACACCCAGCACCCCTATTCACACCCTTTCCTGTAAAATAGGTAATATTAATAGAAAAAAATGGCATACTATTAAAAAAATATATATTTGTTTCCTTATTATTAATTTGCACAAGATACGGAACTTAGGTTTTTTGTTTGCAATAGTGATACCTACAAATACGTATGCTTAGTTTTTCCGTAACTAAAAAGAGCTCAAATTAGATAATTTACCTATATTACAAATGTACCATATTTGTGAAACAAATTGCAAACAAACTGAAGATGTTTCTAAGAAACATAATTGATGTGATTATAGGTAGAATTAATGAGGATTCCTGGTTAAACCTTATTTATTAATAAATTATTTGTTCATAAAAATAAATAGTATATTACTTACAATGCTTTTTTTACACATAATGTATTATTCTACCTTATTTATAACTTTTCAAAATTATTTATCTAAATGGGACAATGCTAGGCAGTACAACTGTACCTGTAACAACTCAAGGAATTAAAGCAAATATTTGGTTTTTAATTTTTTGCTAAAATATAGTGGGAGATGCACTGAGAAGGGTGAAGTCTTATGAAGCGCGCCGTCGCTATACTGGGATCGGCAAAAAAACAGGTCCTGTCTCTGGAAAATTTTGGACACGGATTTAAATTTTGCCTCAAAATTTGTATGATCAATAATAAACAATGAATTACAAATTTATAAGTTTTTTTTTTTATAAAAAAAAATATACAGAAAAAAATACATATAAAATTGTATGGTATAAATTAGAAGCCAGGATAATCTTCACTAGTTTGATGACCTACAAACAGCTGGGCACGAGTACTGAATAAAATACTCGTAAATTGTACGAGTACTCGAAAATTGTATTTATAAGTATTTTATTCGTAAGTACTTTTATAAAGATAGTTTACGGATACGAGTAGTAATCGTGAAAATACGAGTAAAGAGTACGAGTAGTTTCACAAAATTAATCTAATAATTAAGTAAACTATAAAACAAAACAAAGAAAAACCTCTATAATTTTTAAATAAAAATAGTCTTTATTTACCTAAACAAAAACAAAAAACTATTCTAAAATAAATAAAATACAAAAACTTTGTTTAGAATATAAATAAAACATGGTCAACTTGACAGTAAACAATTAAATACAGTTTTTTAAAACTGGTAATTTTTAAAAACTCATCTTTTTGGTTCCCTACTTTATCGTTATCGTGTTAAACCAAATTAATATTATTTCGAATACACCTTCACATGCTGAAACAGAAAGATGGGGTTTCTGTTATTTTAAAAATTTTTAAACTGTAATCGTCCCCTTCTTTTTTTTTAATAAATTTTGACTGCACCCGAACAAAGTTTTTCGAAACATAATGACCGAATAAACTAAGGAACTTTTTATTTATACAAAATTCTGCTACGGCCAGGAAATTATCCTTATTCAAATTAACGAAGATTGTGTATGGAGACTAGACGTTTAATATCTAACCGTTCTCGTAGGAAATACATTAACATCACCACAAAACATTCAAAAATAATAAAAGTGTAAAACGCCCAACGAATTGCTTTTCCCAATATTCCTAACCCAAATCAGAGACCGCAGCCCGAACGCAACCGAGGCCGTTTCGTGTCGTAATTCGTGATACTGGCGATCGATAGTAGCGACAAGCGACTGGCGGTTAACATGCGACGATCAAAAAATGCCGTCTAGTAAAATAATACTCGTATTTTACAAGTACATTCTACGAGTAGATTTAAATTTACTTGTAAGTACGAGCAATAAGTACTTCAAATAAAAAATACTTATAAGTAAAAATTACGGAGTAGTTATTCTACTCGTGGTCGAAATACGAGTAAAAGTATTCGAGTACTTGCCCAGCTCTGCCTACAAAGTACACACTGGGATGACTTAAAAATGAATATAGTGGTGCATTTGCTAAGAAATATGGGAAAACCCATATTACCATTGAAAACTAGTATAGATTTCTGTTAATTTCACAAAGTATTTACAAATAATTACTTACAATCACTTCATTTACATCATCTAAGCTGTAAGGCTCAATAGAAATCAAAATTTGTTTGGCCTTATTTTTGAAAGCTGATAGGCTCTTAGTATTTTTTAAAAGATCAGGAAGCATATTATAAAATTGCAAACATTTGTAACAGCATCCCTTTTCCAGTAAGGTAGTTCTGTGAGTCGATTGACAAAAATTATTTCTAAACCTTGTGTTGTGAAGGTGGTCTGCTATATATTCGTTGAATATACTTTTATTTTTATACACAAACATAGTACACTCATATGCGTAACTAGCATATACTGTCAAATTTAGATTTTTAAAGTGACCTCTACATGATTCTGTAAGCTTTAGATTAGCCAATATTCGAATTGCTCTTTTTTGTATTACAAAGACTTCTGGACAGTGTGAACCTCCCCAAAAAATAATTCTATAGCACACTGAGGAATAGAGTAGACCATAAATACACTGATATAAGATAAGAATGATCTAAGACTTTTTTAACTTGTATCAATGCAAAGCAAGCTCTGCAAAGTGAATGTAGATGTTCCACCCAAGATGGATGCTCATCAATTATTACGCTGAGAAATTTTGTCGATTTAGAATATTCTAGTAATGTAGGTATTACATAAGTTAATATCCTCTGGATATTCATTTTTATTACGACTGTGCTTGAAAAGTATGCAATTAGTTTTAGATAAATTTAATAATAGCAAGTTTTCACCAAATCATTTTGAACTTCTCTCTACAGCATTTGAGGTATCTTTTTCAAGTACTTTGTAATGGTTTCTAGATAGTAAGACATTTCTGTCATCGGCATAATTAGTGAGAGCTACAGAATCATTTGTAAACATTTTTGGTAAATCGTTTAGATATAATACAAATAAAATAGGACCTAAGACACTTCCCTGTGGAACAGCCAGCATAGTATTTTTTGATTCAGAGTAATATTCGCTATTGTCATATTTAAAACAAACCTGTTGTGTCCTATTTGAAACGTAAGATTGAAACCAGTCATATGCATTACCTCGCACTCCCATTTTGTATAATTTATTAAGAAGTATATGTGATTCACACAATCAAGAGCCCTTGTTAAATCTAAAAAAACTCCGTGAACAATATTTCCCGAATCTAAAAAGTGTAAAATTCAACAAAATGAAGTCACCCCAGTGTGCACTTTGTAGGTCATCAAACTAGTTCAGATTATCCTGGCTTCTGACTTATACATACAATTTTATATGTATTTTTGTCTGTATAATATCGTTCCTGGCATTAATAAATATTATTATTATTATTATCAATGAATGAACTTGCAATCAAAGTTGTTCATAGCAATGTAGTGCTCTGATTCCATACCATCTCGATAGGGTTAAGCCTGCAATGATTCGGTGGTAAGCGTAAAATATCTATTTTAATGCGGGACAAGGAACTTAAAATTATTTAACAACAGAAAAACTATAAAAAACTTTTATTATTTATCACAGTAAAATATAAACACTGTTTTAAGTAACACTTTTTAAAAACTTGAACCTTACGAAGGTAAAAGCGAAAAAACATGACAATACTAAAAAAATGTACATTTTTAAAATTTAACTTCGAATTCATAAATCATTTAAAATCTCACACTCGCTCCTGATGGCCGCCAAGACGGTTCTCAATTTAATCAACAACTCCTCACAATTCAAACCCTCTTTCAAATCGAACGATCGCTTATAACATTTCTTGTACAGTTCCGCTAACTTTTCACAGTCTTTATTTGGTGGAGGTTTCGTGAGACAACACTTCACGAGCAGTTTCAGGACTTGCTGCAATCGTGTGCTGACCAATTTCAGCAAGGAAAAACACGTTTTGAATTTGGTCTTGCTGTCAGTCTTCTCCTCATCTTCTTCCGACTTCTCTTCTATATCTATTTTTTTGTCTACCAATAACTGGATCATTTCGTTTAGTTCCAGGACGATTTCCAGGCAGTGTTGAAGGTGTTTGATTTTCGTGTTTAATGCGTTGGTGGCTGAAAAGATAAAACATTTTATTGCTGTAATATAGATAAGTCAGTCAAATACAATAGCCGTTTCCCAAATTTTTCTTAAGTAGATTAGATTTGAAAGGACCTTTTCAAAATATATTGTGAGACTCCGTTATTTAGGGTATGTCGTCTAGCCTGGTCATTTTTATTTGACTGGCTTTTCTTCACCTAGTGTAACAAACCCAATCTAGCCAGTCCTTTACACTGGCACAGAGCGTGGATTGATGACACTTTCTTAGGCGAGAATGTCTGACGATTTGTCGTTTTTGATCCAGTAAGTCTTTTGTCAACTTGGCCGATGGTTCATTAATGAACTCTGGTCGGTCTCATTCCTGAGACTCCTTTTGTATCCACTGTTTGATGATTGCCTTGCACAAATGCTTTAGCAACTCCACAGAAATGTCCGGTGCATGTCATGGCCTTATCTGAACTATGGCCAAACTATTTTTTTTATAATTTCTACTCAAGAGCCATATACAGCATTCTGCTATGGGGGACAAGTAGAGATAGACATTTTCAGGATACAAAAACGAGCTATACGTATAATGGAAAACATGGGTTTGTTGAGTCTTGTAGAACACTTTTTAAATTCTTGCAATATACTTACAATTCCTACATTGTATATATTTAGGTGCCATTACATTTTTCTTTAAAAATACTCATTATTTTGAAGAGTTCAAATCTACTCAAGCTAATGTTATAAGGCATAACATTAACTACAACTTTCCATATCATAAACTATGTGGTTATGAACGAGGAGCGTTATATTCATGCATAAAATTTATCCGTAACTGTAAAAATATACTGGTTAGTGAAATGACGTTTGAGTCACCATTTTCTAATGTCTAATTATAAATGAATAATTTAAACCACTCACTTTCAGCCAGATATTCCGACAACGCGACCCGCTGCATCTGCGACGTCAAATAGTTCACGGCATCCGAACTCTGCAGGTACATCTTCGAAGCTTTCTCGTAATTGATTTTGGCTAATTGAATGATGTTTTTTCTGTTGGCTGAATCGTTGGGCGCCGACCAAATGTGGCTGTGGTACAATGAACCGATCCTGTAGTGGATTATGGCCGCGCGGTATATGTATAAGGGATATTTGGGATTGTTTTCGTCGAAATCGCAGTATTGTAAGGCTTTCTGCAGCGTTTCTATGACTTCTCTTTCAGCTTCGGGTTTGCTCTGGAAAGATATTGAGTGTAACAAAACGAAAAATACTGAAGACTTGTTTCGAAACTTACCAAATGAGCGGGCGGGTTCTCGTGCATTATCCACCCCATGTTAAATAAAGCTGTGGATAATTCCCACTTAACGGCGTCCCAAATTCCAGGACAATTATCCCTATCGCCCAAAACCTGCAGGGCTTTCTTATAATTCATAATGGCTTTATTATAATGAACTTTCTCCTGCTGCGTAATCTCCCCTCTATCAGCAGGCGTGTTGGCGTGCGCTAGCAATCTATACAAATGCCCGATGTTCGTGTAAAGCAAAGCGACGTTCGCGTCATCTTTAACCTTCTCGAACAATTCCAACCCGCGTATCAAATACGTTTCGGCCTTCTTGCAAGTTAGCGTGATATCGTTCACCTTCTTTTCGACTTTAGCCCTATTCAGATAGTAGGAACCGACTTCGTTCAAGCTATTGGCCAATCGGCGCAAAATACTATCGCTTTCCGACAGCTTCAATGCAGCTTCGTAGCATTCGATGCTCTTCAACAGCATTTGTTCGATGGTTCTGATGTCGAAGAGAAAGACGCAACGCATTTCGCTTTCTCCTATGCTTATGTTGTAGAATTGTTCGTCTTGCTCGAGTTGTTCTAACATTTTGAAGTCTTCTTCTTGGGCGCTGTGGAGTTGCTCGTTATATTGCTCGCATTTGGCTTAAATAAATAAAAAAAATGGTTAACGTGTTAATAAGATATTCCCAAAGACTGTGTCACAGAAATCAATCGAGCTACATACTTCGACAGGTATTGAATTGTATCTAGAGGGAAACAGTAAGTGATCGAAGGAAACTATCCCATGTAGGTACTTCATAACAGCTTCAATTCATAAATGCTTTGAATTATGGATTACAAATCCAACATTTGATAACTCTTACTAGTAATGGTGTTATTATGTTCAAAAAATGTCAACTACCAATCAAAATAGATGTCCAGATTCTTGATGGTAACAACTTCGTTAATGGGGATATTATTGAGTGAATAATTGAAAACAATGGGAGTTTAATTTTTAGTAAAAGTAACTAAGTAATATTTGTCAATGTTCTAAGACATACCGTTTGCAACAGATTAACTCATAAGTGCTAAAATGTTACTTTCTAGTTTATAATAATCCTCAAGAGTAGTAATTCTTAAGTACATTATCAAGTCATCATAGAATAGTAAAAATTCGCTATATATGAAAATGGAACCTATGTTATTAGCAACTTATTTATTTACGGGTTCATCCCCATTACAAAAATATACAATATATAAAAGTGTCTATTACAAAAAGAAAATGTAAATTCAAAAAAATATAAAAAATAAAAATATAAATATACCATAAACCATGTATACAAGTTTAAAAACTAAATTTGCGAGAGTATCAATCAAATTAAGCTCTCTTTACACGTTTTTTGAATATACAAAGTGATATACCAAATATGTCTATATCCCTATTGTTAAGAATTCTCAGAGTAAGTTCAACTGGAGAATGCATACCATAATTTGTGCAATGAAATGGAATGTGAAACAGTTCAGAGTAGATTTTAGTAGATCCCAGTTTACGGTCGGGTCTTACAAATTTGACACAATAAAAATATTAAAATAGGCACTTACCCCAGTATTGGATCATCATTATACAACAATCACCAGCTCTGCCCAAAAGGCAGTTTTCCCTCAAAGCGTTTGAAGCGTACTGCAGCATGTTCATGATCAATTGACATCTAGCTAGATAACCGATGTACTTCAGGCTTAACCCGTAGTTCCCCGATAGAAAATGGTGTTCAGATAGAGTGGCGTACACCAAGACGGCTTTCTCGTACAACAAAGTCTTCAGATGATCCTTCCACGAGATATTATTGGTTTCGGTTTCCTGCCAAGTAGGTAAAGGTTGCGCCTCGTTTAAATTCTTTGGCAACAACGCGTTGGTTAGTTTTTCTTGATTTTTGTTTTCTGCCTTTTTCTTTCGGTCTTTCTTCTTACTTTTTTTGGTTGAATCCGACGCTAATTTGTTGTCGTTCAGCTTGGAGTACGGCATTGGGATCGGTTCGAAGGGTTTTGCCATTTTGATTTCTTCTTCATTTTGCTTGGTCGGACTTTTTTCATTGGCGTTGGTTATGGGGAAGAATTTGAGGCAGTTGAGACCGGCGGAGACGTGTTGGATGGCCTTCAAAATGTACAAATAAAATATGTTATGAAATTCGTTTCAATAGCTGCAAATGTAATTTTGAAACCTTACCTGTATACATCTTTCTTCCACACCTCCGACAATAGGAGCAGGTGGTTTGTAATAATTTTTAAACTTCTCGAATCTATTATTTTCCAAGACGAGAATCTTCATGGCTTGCTCCTCGTCCTCTTCGTCCGGCATATCGTCCTCGTAATAAGCTTCATTTTCCTCCTCGTTTTCGTTATCATTCAATCCGGGATTTTCGGGATTCGTTTTTGCGGGAACGTAGAGGTCGGACAACATATATAGCGAGGACGTAACGATTTCCGGGTATTTTTCTTGCGGTAACAGTTTTATGCAGTTTTTCAAAAGCATTCTGATGGTACCGGGCTGAGATCTGTCTGACGAGTGTTTCATGTTTCTGGCTACACGATACAAAAGCATGGCGACGGGGATCGTGAATGGGTTTTGACCTTTTTCGACGTCTTTCTCGGAACATAAGCTCGTTAGGTCGTAAAGTTTGATTACCTTGAAAATAAGAGACAATTGACTAGAAAATGAAGCAAAAATGGCAAAGGATCGTTGCGGGTTTTAAAATAAAACACAAAAAAATAAATTTTACCAAATTTATAAGGCATCACCCAGTATTTCACAGATATATTTATTCATTAAAAAAATTCACTTGCAAATAAAATATTGTTTTTACTGACAAAAATTGTGTGGTTCGTATGTTTATTGCAATACTTAAAAAATTAGTTGTGGGATTATCAGATATGTAGAGGGGAAGAATAAATTGCTTTAGTAGAGCAGGGTATGTCTCAAAGAGAAATTGTTCGTGTAATGGGTTCACAAGAAGTGGTTTTAAAAATCAATTAAATATTCTTTGAATTAGAAATTCTAAAAAACAGACACAGAAAAATTCGTCCAATAGACCGATTTTTAGCTCAAATCCAATGATAACTCTTCCAGAACTTCAAAGACAACTTCTACAAGCGACGGAAATAATTATATCAGTAAAACCGTTTAGGAAACGACTATGTGTCAGAGAATTGTTTAGTAGGAGACAACAGCTATCCAGACAAGACAAAAATCCGTGTTTCAAGAGACCATGGAAGACAAGCCAGGTTTCAAGCTGCCACAACCAGTTCCAGAATATAAAGGGAACAGTGATGTTTTGGGGCGGGATCATGGTACAGGAAATAACTCGCTTAAACCCCATGCAACAAACTAACTGCCCAGAGGTATTTAGATTTGGTGCTACATCCGATAATACGACTTTTGAGAGCTTGTTTAGGAGAGGCTTTTTAATTTATGCAGAATAATGCCCCATCTCATACTAGCCGAGTCACCAAAAATGCCTTGGAGACAGAGGGTGCGAGAGTAGAAATAGAAATACTTTATTCTCGGTAATAAATATATAAAAATGTTTACATAGTCGTCAGTACTTAAACCCTTACATTAACATAGAATATTAGTAAAATACACCACACACATACAACACATTACATTTAAAATAAAACAGAATTTTAGAAGATCGTAAAGGTTGGTAATAGTAATAAAATATACAAACCATATTAAAAATATTGTCACATAAAATAATCGTTAATGTTATATAGGTTATGTTATGTTGGGAATGGGGTGTTAATACACTGCGACCTAAAAGATCTATTGTGCCCCCTTCTGTCGCTAATGCACCAAGGAAATGTCTCAATGCCTATAACCACCCTTCCAATCCTATTTTCTCAAGGAAGTGCAGGATTTGGAGTGGCTTCAAGTTAGGTAAATCTCCCTCTTCTATTTGATATCCTAGATATAGTGCCCTTGGATTCTGGAGTGCTACACATTCAGTTAGAATGTGAATGGAGATTTCGTCCTTCTCCTCCTTACAGAATCTGCACTCACTATCCTTTACTATTCTCAGTTTACTAAAGTGTCCTTTTAGTCTGCAATGCCCGATAAGGATCCCTGTTGCAATACGTAGCCTGTTCTTGCTCAGGCAGATGCAGGCTTCCGATCTTTTCTGGTTCTATTCACCCAGAAGTATCTTAGCCTGTCTCAGCCCCAAGAGATTGTTCCAATGTTATATAGGTACAGGTGCAGTAATATATTTTTAATTTGCTGTTAAAATGTTTTCCTGGTAGATAACTCCAGACCTGTCTCGTAGATTCTAGATGCTTCTCGATGGCCTTCACACTCGGTGAACTGGTGAGAACGGAATACAAGCGAATCGACAGGGATTTTCGGAGGCGACTTGTTTCAATGAATATTTTTAGTTATGGGAAAGGTGATGCCCAAATAAGGCAAAGAGGGACTTAAGGGATTAGAACATAACACAACTGGTGGAAAATGGCTCACAATATGTTGAAATAAACTTTATTCTGATATCCAAAAACATTTTTATCACAAATATCTTTTTCTGTAAAATTCTGGGTGATTACATTATAAGTATAGTTGTTTGTAAGGAAGTTATCAATTGAAAATAATTTGGTTACCTAGCGGTATTTTTATATTTACAGAGGGTTTGAGACTATTAATAGGGTAGATTATTATTGTGCACTGGACTGGTTGGGTCATTATATGGAGAAAACAGGAAGGTGCCACAAGGTAGTGTTCTGGGTCCGCTATTGTTTTTAATTTATATTAATGACATTGGTGGTGTAGTCAAAATATGCTCAATACACTTATTTGGGGATGTTACACCGATACATTTTACCCATGAAAACACTGAAACTTGTTTTAAAGAAATTAATAGTTCTATAAGTAAAATATATGATTATTGTAACGGAAACTCGTTGAAAATAAATTACCAAAAAACAAATTGGATGTTAATTGGGGGTACTCGAAATTAAAAAAAAAATTACATGTAGCATCGCAGTGTGTTTCTGTTGATGGAGTGAAGTTTCAAAGAGTCGAAAAATTTAAATATCTAGGGGTTATGGTTGATACAAATTTACAATTTAAGGAACATGCTAATAGCGTCATCAAAAGCATATTATTTAAAATAAACTATTTGAGGCGCTGTTCTCCACATCTCAGCAAACGGGCTAAAATAATTACCCCATTTTAATTATTGTGCCATTGTATTGTATTTGCTCAAACAGAATGAGATGCAACGATTGCAAAAGTTGCAGAATAGAGGTATGAGGATAATAGTGAGCTGTTCAAGATTGGAACCAATCAATTCCATGTTAAATGTGCTTCAGTGGTTGCCTGTTAAAAAATATTTGCTGTTCTATTCCTTGCTATTTATTTTTAATATTAAATCAGAAATCTCTCCAGTATATTTACAAAATATTTTAAGTTATAATCAGGATATTCATGAACATAATACACGAAATAAGAAAAAGTTTAGAGTTTATAAGGCAACGAAAAAACTTACACAAAATTCAGTGTTTTTTAAAGATGTAGGTACAGGTTTTTAATAGTTTGAGAAAATAAAACAACTCCAAATCAATTTAATAGTTTGCCTGAAGATATTAAATGCTCTTCAAATGCAGCAATATTTAAAAAAAAACCGCATAAGTACTTTTATGTTTTTTTTCTTGTTCTTTTATTATATTTTGTATAGTTGACATTATGTTATCATTTTTATATGTACTGTATACATGTATGTTTATTTTATTTTAAATGTATGTTTATTCTATACCTATGTATTTTTTTATTTTATTTTAAATGTGAAGATGTATTGACATGTAAAAAATAGTTTTTTTTTTTAATAAATAAACGATTTATATTATAATATACATGAACGAAGTAGTTAAAACTGCTTTCTTAAAACGGTCTTTGATCTAATAAATTTTCAACAATGTACCTACTTTGTCATTTTTTTACAAAAATAAATACTTTCAAATATCTTTTTTTGGCGACGAATCTTTTTGAAAAGCGAAATATTTGACGGAGCCCTAGACACATTAAAAAAAAATCCTCAAGCAAAATCATATAATCATATCCTCCTTCCTCTTAAAAAAAAAGTCGAGCCAGGTCCCTCCCTTTTGTGGCGATAGTACTGCTTTTTTTACTGACTATTATTTTTTTCGCAGGGCTCCGCGGAGCACATTTTGAGTAACACTGGCTTAAATCATGCTATAATTAAAAATGTTATACAATATTTTGAAATATTCCATTACTTTTTTATAAATATCAAAATTATTAGTTAGCTTGGGATTGGTTATTAAACCAACATAGCTACTTACTTCTTCATCTTTTCCTTTAAATAGCCAGTACGTATGCCCCGCTTTAGTGGCGTTCGATTTCAAAAAACTGAGAATACTTTGCGCTACATCTCTTATCAATTTCGGGGAAAATTTGGAATTATCCATTCGCGGCAAATCTTCCGTTTTGATGAGCTCGTATTTCTGGACTATTCCGTTCAAATGATAACACATCACGACCTCTGGCACGTTGGACATGAGGTTATCCAGCCAGTAATCAATACCAGTCAAAACGTTGATGGGTTTGCTCATATCTCTTAATCGCAGCGATATGCAAGGATGGGTGCCTCCGCCAAAAATCGGCATATCTGTACCTAAATACAAAACAATTATGTGTGTAGGACCATGACGAGAGCACTAAGATACATCAGAGGATAAGTTTACTTACCTAATAGCATTTCTATATCCTCAAAAGTCCACACAACATTTCTATTGTATTTATGTGTGGAAGTGGGAGAATCTGGACATTCTGTGGAAGGGGATGGTTCAGGCAACAACGGATCCTTAACGGGTTGATTATTTTCTAATTGTTTGTTATTCTCTGTAGTTTCTGTAGGCACTAAACTATGATATAAAAATTTCGAAACAAGACTTTTTTCTTTCAGGGCTTCTCGCCTCCTACTGTTTATATACAAATTCCTGTCTTCATCGTAAGTGGCACGACTTATATTTTCGAAGAAAAATTTCCTCAACCATTCCCATTCCGTTTCCGCCGTTTTTAACAAGTGTTTGTAGATGTCGAAATCGTCTATAAGCAGTGTGTTTTCTATACGATGGACCATCATGCTTATATGACCTTTGTGGTACGGCATCTTTAGTAATTTTTTAATATTCTCAGCATCTGAGACTACATCTACTTCACCTACGCAATCGGGGAACATTTGAGCCATTTTAAAGCTGAAAAACAACAAATATTAAAAGTAATTTTAAAAAACCGACTTCAAAATCGTCACCACATCTTAATCAAATTTATATAGGACCACCCCTGAGGTACCCCCTTACTAACAAAAAAAAGAATCAAAGAAATCGGATGTGGAAAAGAATTATCGCTAAACATACATAAAAATGAAGAGTTTGAGGATTTTCTCATGGACCCAATTATTAGATTTTGACCAAATTAATATGGGACCTCCCCTGAAGTATCCCTTTTAAATATACATAAAAAAAATATTACGAGGAATTGAGAACCTCCTCCTTTTTTAAAGTCGGTTAAAAAGGTTTTTGTAACAGTAGAAACATAATTAGTACCCTCAGTTCAAACAGCTAGACCTACTGGGATCTATAGAAAAAGATACGAGCTCCACCTGTTCTTGACAATGGAACTAGTCAAAAATATACATTTTTTCCAGAATGATACAGATATTGATTTTTAGTGACTGTATTTTTTGGACTTTTATTTGAATACCTACCTTCTAGTTTAAAATTAAGGTTATATTTTTGTTTATTTATTTCTTTTTTCGAAAATATTTATTTATTTTTGATTTAATTTATCTATAATTTCAAGAATACTGATATATAAGTTGTTTAATATTCACTTAAGTATTTTAAATTGTTTTTTAAAGTATATCTGTTTATTTTTATTTAATAAAAATTTACTACTTATGTAGGTATTCCGCAAACCTAATGTTCTATAAAATTTTCACCTGGCAACAGTGGAGTGCCATAATTGCATTTAAGTGAGTGAAAACGACCATGAACAATGTAAGAGTTCCTTGTTAACAATTTTTAAATAAAATAATTTGCTTAATTTTTAATCACACTGCTCAATAACGAATTAGTCGATATCTTGTTATTAAAATGGGGCTGCTTCATCTAGGATTTACAGATTTAGAATTTTCTAGAAGACATAAAAAGGAAAAATGTAAGGAATTAAGTTTTCCTCACAATTAGGATTGTCAAATCGAATTTATCTCTATCCCTATCTTTATCCAAATAAAAACATTAAAAATAAAGCCTCTATATTTGAAACACCCTGTATATTAATTATAAACCCTGTACAAAGTGTAGAAAAAACAAGACACTCCAATTTAAAGGGATTTTTAATGGATTCCATGGATTAATGGATTTTTAATGGATTTATTCATAAACACTATTCTATTTCACTCGCTTGAAAGAGGTGTGTTTTGCTTTATATGAACAAAATAACTGTTAAGATATCAAACTAAAATGAATATCTCAAAATAAAATTATTTCATATTTAAAACTAAATAATAAAACACTAAATCTGTAACACATATATATTTCAAAAAACGACCAGGTACGATTAGTTTCGGTCATCATGGCCATCATCAGGCCTATAATACAAAAAATTGACCACCTTATAGGAAGATTTCAAAAATTTAAGTTTTCAGTAGAGCAGATTGAATATTGTGTGGATACTTTTTGTGCTCCAAAATTCTAAAGCTAGGGATATTATTAGGGCAAATTAATTTGTGCATGACATCTGGAGTTTTTCCAGATACATTTAAAGTATCATGAGTTACCGCTGTTTTCAAAAAAGGGGACATGAAACTACCATCTCCTTACAGACCTATCTCAATTATACCAATAGTAATCAAAATTTTTGAAATAGTGTTAAAACAATGAATTACGAATTTTTTGAAAGCAACAAGTTGCTAAGCCAAAATCAATTCGGTTACAGGGCAAACAAATCAACAATTAACGCAATATGTGATCACTATGAAGCTGTTACGCATGGTTTTGAGGATCGTTCACATAGTACTGCCAGATTTTATGATCTTATGAGAGCATTCGATACGGTTCAACATGAAATTTTATTATTAAAATTAGAGAGATATGGAGTTAGAGGGACACCATTACAGCTTATTACCTCTTATTTGCAAAAAAGAACTCGATATGTTCAAATTGATGAGCATACTTCTGGCAAGAATTCAGTACTGTATGGAGTTCCACAGGATTCTGTTCTCGGACCCTTACTTTTTATCATTTACTATAATGATTTGTCAATTAATCTAAGTAATATCACACAGGTGTATTATGCTGATGATTCAACATATATTGCTACAGATAAAAATAAATCTGATACAACAGAAAGGCTAAATGCAGCAGAAGTTATGTCAAATAATTGGTTTGGTAGCAATGGTCTTACTTTTTTATCATTGCTAAAAGTGAGGAACAGGTTAAACTTTTAGGAATATATTTAGACCTGAAACTAGATTTTAAATATCACATTCAAAGTTTACTAAGTCATTTAGCAAAAGCTACTTATGCAATTAGACAGCTAACATTTCAATTAGACATTGTACATTTAAAAATGGCCTACTTTTCATTATGTCATAGCATTATGTTGTATGGGGTTATACTTTGGGGAAATACAAGCAATCAACGTAGGGTATTTATTGCACAGTACGTATCATGACATCAAGTAGCTACAATAGTCACTGCCAACCTATTTTTAAACAGTTGGGTATTTTACCACTACCATGTTGTTTTATTTTAGACTGTCTTTTATACATGAAAAAACAAATTGGTAATAATAATGTTATAAAACAGAGCTCTAAACATTCTTATTGCACCAGAGGAAATTATGATATATCTTTACCTAATTACAGATTAACCAAACTTCATGATTCTTATAGATATATATCAGCATTAAACTGTACAATTCTCTACCTCAAGCTTATAAAAACTCATCTTTTAATTTATTTAAAATAAGAATTCGCAAATGTTTGTCAAGTCACTGCTTTTATTCCATTGATGAATTCTTATCACCTGTCCATCTGTGCATGTTAGTAATGTGTAAACCTTTTTGGTGAATATACCTTTTTAATTTTTATCTTTTAAGTATGTTTTAATATATTATGTGTATCTACATTTTTTTTTGTCTATATTTTTCTAAATTGTAACTGTATTTTCTGTATCTATATCTTTTTTTATACTTTTAACATTGACACATGTAAAATATTTATTTTTATTTTACATCAATAAATATCTATCTATCTATCATGTATATTTCAAAAAAACACCTAGGTACGATTAGTTTCGATCATCATGGCCATCATCAGGCCTATAATACAAAAATTGACCACCTTATATGAAGATTTCAAAAATTTAAGTGAGTTTTTAGTAGAGCAGATTGAATATTGATTGGACACTTTTTGTGCTCCTTAATTACATATTGATTATTAATCTAACTAATAAAACTTCCTATTTTTTTTAATGACAGTTAAATCACTAAGTGTACATGGCGTTGTTTACCTCGCAAATTTATTGAACATAGTGTTATATTTTTTGGCTAACTCTTATTGTTATGTCAACATAGTGCAGTTTACCTCCGACGTACTCATATACTGATGCTGTGGCCAGTAGAATTTGTCAATTTTTTTTTTATATATATTTTTTAATTTTAAGTTAGTCAAACGCACACTCCTAGTTTAAATTTAATATATTTCAAGAATCTAATTAGCAAGGTAATGGGGGGTTTTCCCTTTAATAAATAAATATTTCTCAAAAAACTGGAAATCATACAGACATGAAAATTAATAATCTAAGGCTTCTTTAAAAGTAAATTGAAAGAACAAACACAATAAAAATAAAGAACATTTATTAACTTTGAAGACTAAGTAACTAAGAACAGAAATAATAGACAGATAATGTTCAATCTCATAAATATACTTATTTTCTTGAGTATAGTGCAAATAAAGAGCAATAGAAAGAAGAATATTCATATGAAGAAAGAAGGTATTGGCAATCCCATGACACCGACCTATCTCATATGCAGGCTTCGACACACAGAGTGGGATTTAAAGCTATCACAGTTCCTCCTGTTATTCAACAATATACAAGAAACATTTATGCTGAATCTGTATATGTAGTAAAGATGTTTACTTAAATATGCATGTGATGTTCTTTACTGAATGCATAATTGTAATTGTACACAACTTTGTTGGATTTACATAAAATAAAAGAAAATTGTATATGACTGTATATAAGTAAGTCTTTGGAACAAGCAAATATCAGACTAATGGTAAAAACCTACTTGGAACAAATTGACATATTCAAGTATTTCAAGGTATTGGTTCCATGATAAATAAATAATTACAAGAAGAATAGAGATCGGATAACATACAACCACTTGGAACAATAGTTGCCAAGATATATCACAGCATAAAAAAGGTTATAACAAATGGAGTTTCATAAAGACAAGCCGGTAGACACGACAAAGAGCTAGGATAATGCAGATTAAAAAAGGGTTGAGAATATTACAAGATATTGGTAGAGCAGTGCTAATATAGGTACAATGTAGTTAATATGCTTAAAACTAAAACAATTACTTGTAAAAACATACCTAGAAAAACCTTTGTGATGTGTAAGAACATGTTGTAAGCCATACGAATCCGCAGAACTACTTAGCCAGTTAGAAGGAGGTAAATTAAGATCTGTATTACATTGTAATTTCATAAACTGTGCTGGTTTTGGAAAAGAATATTTTACTACGGCTGTCGATTTAATTTCTTCATTTTCCGATAGATCTTTCGAATTTTCTTCCATTTTAGATTAAAAATAATTTTTGTAACTGAAAACTGAAAATGACGGAATTGTTTTTTAAAATAAAGGATTTTTTTAAAAAAAAGTCAGCCATTCGACCGATTCGACCATTGACAACTTCAAAACTTTGTCCTTAACCTCAAATTTTGACAGATAAATGTACACAGAAAGCTTCTAGAAATATCATGAAAATACTTCGAAATGATATCGATTTGTTTAATAAGTTTGAAACCACTTAATAATAAGTAATTATCATTAGTAAACTGAATTAAAATTCCGAAAGGTTTTTTTTTGATCGTAAAATTGGCCTATAACCTCAATTTTCTACCATGATTAGATTTAAAATGCCAACGTTTATTCAATATTTTTTAATAAATAGTCTGCAAATTTGTTCCTATATTATTTTAATTAACTGCGGTGGTAAGTGTAGGTTTTTTTAGTGGAATATTGATTAAGTAAGTTCACTTTTTAGCCAACAACTTGCATCACATAGATGGGACTTCTACAGCAGAAGTTATAAATGGCGACGTATTTTTTGAAATCGTCGATCCAGTAGAATTGGAGTATACGTACAGAATTCGTCCAGCTAAAGACTTTGGGTCCCCTTTCGTAAATATAAACGAATTCGCTCAGTTTTCATTCAAGTCTATAATAAAAATTGTTTACAGAATGCATCATTTCACGTAAAGAATGTTCCATTGGTCCCGATATTGCCTAAAAATGGATGTAAACCTCCCGATAATTTGGACGATATTGAAGGAAATGTGGCTTTGATTGAAAGAGGGTAAGTTAAATATATATGTGGAGCCTAGTTACACATGGGGTCTAAGTGACATTTTTCTCATTTCATTGGTGTGTTGTACAGACCAACCGATAAAAATCTAAGTTAATCTCTTGAGGAACCTGTGCAATTATTATATAATACTTTAGATAACACTAATTATTATTAATGTTAATCTATTTAACACATATAATTTTTAAACAAATGTTTGGATATTTTTGGCCTCGTTCAGATCATTGATGATGACGATCATACACATGTTACTGTTCACTCTGAAACAGTAATCCAATCTTCTTAAATATGCCTGTTTAATGATCAAATTATGGGACTGTGAATGTAGATCACTTTACAGATCATAGAACGGCTTATTGTCACTTAAATATTAATTAAAATACACATTTTATAGGCAACTTATTACAAAAACTTTGAACCTCTATCCTATTATATTGTGAAAATTTGACATGTAAAAAATCCCCATCTTTTTGTTTTAGTGTGTATTTTAAAAAAAATTTAAACTTTTTGTAATCGTCCCCATGTGTTTTTAAATGTTTTTAAATTTTGACTGCACCCGAAGATGGAAACAAATGTAGTGCTGTGCTAAGGATATAAAATAAAATTAATGACCGAATACACCAAGGACATTTTTATTTATATAAAATTCTGCTACATTCAGGAAATTATCCTTATGCATATTTAAATATATTATTTTCTGGAAAACTTTAAGGGCAAACAAAATTAGCGCTCTCATGCCTTATTTGATATTTTTAATATAAAATATTTTTTTAAACACTTTGCACAGGATTGGGATAGGTGCCATTTGGTAAAGTACAATGTTTTTACATGCTTTTGGGGTATATTTCCTTTGGTTATCAGATGACGCTAAAAATTTGCAGTGGGCCCTTGGGCTATTAGAGATCCCAACTAATTTTAAATGGTTGACTGACAGTCTTTTTTTGAAAGAAATTGTCGCTTATTAAAACAACTAAAACAACATGAGAACTTTTTTTTGAAAATGTTTAAACTTAAACAACATGAGGACCTTTTTTTAGAAAATATTTAAACTAAAACAAGATTTTTTTTTAAATCATCGCCCATTGTCCTTTATTTGCATTTCAAAAAGGTGGCAACTCTAGTTCTCAACCAAAAATATTGCGGCCCGTGTAGCATAACAAACAGATTTATATGGCCCGAAAGAAAAAAAGGTTGAGTACAGCTGCATTAGAGGCTCTACACAAGACATATTTTATTTTTTTCCCTTTTTTTAATTATTTACCATGGATCAAAAAGCAGCATACAATTTCTTATTTATTTATTTATGGGCAAGCTCATTTGAGAAATATATTACAATTTTAAATTATAATTAGAATGTAGTGAAATATATATGGTGCTGAAATACAAACGTGGTATAATTCATTACATATAGACTAAAATAGGTAAAGAATTTAAAAGATTCAAAAAGGCAAAAGACTTTATGGCATTCAAGTTCATGCCATTTAAGGAACACCAGTTTGATAGAATATCAAGGTCAGACTGAAGCCAGAGGGCATCATAAATGGTTTTAATAACTAGGAAAACTTTTAAATCATCTGCAAACATAATGAAAACAATGAATGATGTCATTTATAAATAAGTTGAATAATAAGGGACCAAGATGTGATCCTTGAGGAACACCTGAGGTAACTTGAAATTCGTTAGAATAGTGATGATTCACTCTAACCATTTGAGTTCTGTTCGTAAGATAGCTACTAATCCATTGCAGTACGACCCCATTTATGCCATATTTATCGAGCTTTTAAAGTAAAAGAGAATGGTTAACCCTGTCAAAAGCCTTAGAAAAGTCAGTTTACACAGAATCAATCTGGCAGCCCTTCTCCAAAGCTTCTGACAGGAAATCGAAGTAGGTAACTAGATTTAATTCAGTCGATTTCCCAGCACAAAAATCATATTGATGATCGGTTATGATGCCAGAGCAGTCATAGATAAGGTAGTCTGTTATAATATTCTTAAAAACCTTAGGTATAGTACTGAGAATAGATATAGGTCGGTAATTTTTAATGCCTATCCGATTTGTATATTGGGGGACAGTTTCCAATAATCTGGAAACTCACCCGTGGCGATAGATTTATTGAAAATATAGAAGAGAGGGTGAGACAATACGAAGCTGCAATTTCTGAGTAGGATGGGAGGAATAATGTCAGGACCTGAACCTTTCTTTATGTCAAGATTAGATAATTTCTTGTAAATGGTCAAAATAGGAATGTGGTAAGAGGAAATATTAAGTTTTGATTCAACATCGTTAAAATTTTGATTTAGATTTTGATTAGTGTAAACTGATGAAAAATGCTTGGCAAACAGATTTGATACTTCACTGCGACAAGAAGAAAAAGAGTCTTCAAGGTTCATATTATCACATATGGTGTTATTAATCTTTTAGTACAACATTCCAAAAGGCTTTAACATTACCTTTTAACAGAAGTTTCAACATAATGTATGTAATTTGAATACCATTCTCTAGATGTAATCGTGCATTGTGATCTTCCTTGCCGGTGGTGTGTAAAATCTGTAGAATACAGAGATCGAAATAAAAAGAATGAAGATGCAGTGTTACTAAAGAAATATAAAAACTAGATAATATTGCAAAAACACAAACAGTGAGAAACAAAATAGATTCTCTTCAGAAAAGAAATTAAAAAAAAACAAATGTGTGGTATTTTAAATATATATTGTTTATGAATGATGAAGAACCCCAAGAACCTTTCATGTGGAGAAATTGCTTTCCTTAAATGGCTGCCCTGTTTAATAATTTAAGGTGCCACTAGCTGTAACAATTCTAAATACGTATCTTCATCCATCATTAAATTATTACACCAATCTCCTGGCACCAGTTCACTTAATAAATTAATATGCGATTAAGTTCTTCGCATCAAAAGCCATTCTATGACTCAAATTGATCTTAGTGTTTTTTTATTTGCTCTGCTTAAAACGGCAACTGCCGCCGCCACAGCTAATAAGAGCTTCCTTTTCATGACGTAGTGAAACTAGGTTGAGTGCAGGAGTGCGTTTAGAAACCCCGCGCGTCTGGACCCTATTCTAATGCATGTGGTCAGACGCGCCGTGCGGGGTTTCTAAACGCACTCCAGGATGTACAAAAATTGACTAACATGATTCTGCGCCACATACTTTGATTACTATACGGTGTGCAAGAAGAGGTCCGACACGCCCAACATAGGGTGCGGCCATTTTGATTCCTATGCCACAGTTTATAGCTAAAGAATCAGATCGATCACTCTGCGTCGGCACTTTTGATCTCAATGTTCCAGTTTATACACTGAGCAACTCTGATAATACAATATATGACAACCGCCTATAATAAAACAGCAGTCTTCTGCGTATCCTGAATTTGTATCCCTGGAGTTATGCCTGGAGTGGATGTTATTTTGGAACTTTCAACTGGTCCGAGTGAGCTCACTGATTCTTTAGCAATAAACTGTGACTCCAAAAATAATATTCAGTGACACTGACAGCAGCAAGCAAAATATCAGGTGCGTTTTAATTATCCGCTTCTGCTTCCGGAATTGTCGGTTTAGTCGTTTTAACCTGTGAGATTAAAACAAGAAAACCGACAATTCCGAAGCAGAAGCGGATGATTAAAACGCACCTATTAAAAATATTGCGCCAAGATGTAGGCAACACGTAATAAGGGATCAAAATGGCGGAGTTTTCTATCTCCTTTTAAAAGGCACTCAGAAAGCTGCGCAGTGCGACCATTCACGTGTTCTGCGCAGTGTGTGGTTAAAAAAGTTCCGAATCGCAGCAATATGAAGGAATGAAAAGGAAAGAAGTCTGTGGGTAGCTTAATAACGCAATAAGCAATACATCAAACAGCTGTGATTCTAGTAATTTTTAGTTCATGTACTTTTATATAGATGGCGCTACATGAAGTATGTGGGGCGCACGCGCGACCCTCTAGGGGGAACCATAACTCTAGGTGGGGCGCCAGCACATCAAAATAAAAAAAAAACTATAATTACTAATAAAAAAAATTCACGGAAGGAAAAGCAAAATGATATTTATTCTGACATTACAAAAAATTAAGTAAGTATAGTACACATTTAAACTAATATACTATTTAATTATTATAAATATGAGTGTATCAGTAGGTACTGTCAAATATCAAATGAAACTAATACAGTTCATCAAATTTCTAGAGGCTTTCGACGGCTAGACAGAGAAAGCACTACTGACAGGCATCCCGACGGATTTACGCAATGAAAGTACACTCTGCGCATCAAGTATTTCACTATTTCATTCAGACGTAAATGTCAGATGTAAATTTCGCTAAAACATTTCTTTTATTTTCGTTTGTGTTTTTTGCTCATTACAGTTTAATAGAACCTAAGTATGGAGTTTAATAGCAAATTAAGAGGCCGCGTGATTAACAGTCAATCTCGCGAAATAATAGCCAATGTTATAGAGTTTATGAGAAGAGAAGGAAACTTTAATTCACCTTCAATACCATTTAAAAATGTAAATGATCGTGTTGCTGCAGCCACAGGAGTATCTAAAAACACTGTCGTCCGCATTTCTGGAGAGAAAAAAAGAATCGATAACCGTGAGATATCGGAATTTTCATCACCAAGAAAAACCATTAAAAAACCAAAAACAGTTAATGATATAGATGAAGCTGCACAAGAATCAAATTTTATTTTTTTATTATTAGATAGCTATTTTTGTTTCTGAGTTGTGTTCATTTACAGGCTCAATTTTTTTCCGTTTCTCCTTTTTGATTTTATATGGGGTTTCAAGTTGTTTTTGACTTATTTCGACATAAATCACAACAACACACTTTTTTAATAAAGCAAACAAGTGTTAAGAGGTATATGTACGTGTAAACTACAATTACAAAAAATTTATATGAAACCCATGAAACCACCAACAAAAATGTAAAGCTAGCTTCCGTACTAGAACATGGTGTCATTCGTCGAGATAATTTATCGTTTTGTTTAATAGATCAAGAAATGTAAATATTCCCCTTTTATTTTTTATAAAATTATAAGAGAAATAAATTTTTTTCTAAATAGTATAGTTTATTATTTTGTAGAAAAACAAAATTTCGAAAATTTTAGTAATGTTTCAGAAACAACCGTTATTAATAATAGGTACCATTTTCCTTAATAAGGTAGAAATAAAATATAAACTATTTCCACGATTTACAAAGGCCTACAAAAAAATTATAGGTATTTTCCGCTATCCTATAAAATTTATATTTTCTGACTCAATTTCAAAAGGTTGAAGGAATTCCAAAACACCTTTTATGGCATAATAATTATTTTCAATTCTACATACTATCTTTAGCTGCTTTTAAAAACGTTCTAAGAAAGTCCAATCAGACCAATTTAATCCCTAAACTATTCCACACTTTTAAAATTTAATTACCTAAAAATATTAAAAACTATTTAAAATAACTTGTTTAGCAGACTGTACAATAGCTATCTTAGTCACACGTAGCGCGTTCTCTGTCTGGGCGTCGAACACCTCTAGAAATTTGATGAACTGTACTAAATTAAAAGTAGATGCTTTAATAATTATTAGTGACTCCCTTGGGCCTGTCTTACACAGCAAGATTTTTGAAAAGAAGGTTTTATATTACAAATAGCCACTCTCAGTTGTTTGTCTATATTCAGTCGAGACCTAAGCAGCCACCTCAGAAAATCAGGCTTCCCAAGGGTAGGATGTTGGAAATGGCAATAATATATGAAAAATCATCATCCAATCCCGCCCAAAATTCAAAGAGATATGTATTACAAAATTATCGCTTGCAATAAAGTCTATGAAGATTTCTTCTTCTGCAGTTGAGAGACCTTTGGGAGTAGTTCAAAATGGATCCCTAACTCACTCGTAAAACATGCTACCAATTTGTTGTCAGCAAGAAAATACTGTGCAAACCTGGCTAAATGACAAAAACAACTTTCACATACTGTTCTTCGTCCTTGTATGTTTTGATACACCCATTCACATTTGCAAACATTTCTTTTTTTTTTGTTTCACATTTCTGCTCCACAGCTCCAACTTTCTACAAAAAGCACTAACTTTATCACTGGTATCCAACATATGTATGTTTGCTCCTTGGAGTTGTAGATTCAGGGTATTTAATTTCTCGAATATGTCGACCAAGTAACTCAATTTCATCACAAATAAAGCATCTTGAAACTTTTCAGCTTCCGGGCGGTTTTCCTCATCTAGAAAAGTGGCAATTTCATCTTTTAACTGATAAATTTCCCACGCGATAACCATCTGGCCTCGCAATAAAATAGCAACGGCGAATGTTCTGCACCCATATATTTGCAAAGTGCATTAAATATTCTTCATTTTAGGGGGTCTCATTTTTATATAATTTACTACAGTTACAACCGTCGTTAGCACAATGTTAAGACCAGGATTCATTTCTTTGGAAGTTTGAGCCTCTCTGTGGATCATGCAATGGATCCATACACATTGCGGAGATTTTTGTTTCACAAGTGCTTGTACACTTTGAAATCTTCCAGACATTGTACGAGCACCATTGGTGCATATTCCAACAATTCTTCCATTCTATGTTTGCCTCATTAATAAAATCATCTTTAGGTTTGCAGAAAAGTAGTTCTACTACCGATATACTATCACAAAATCGGACATAGGCAATTAAACGAGTGTCGTTATTGATATATTTTGTCTCGTCAAACTGAATCGAAAACAATTTTTCACGCAACTTTTCAAGAAGCTGTTGCTGTACATCTTCGGCTATATAACCAATTCGGTGGGCAAAATTATCTCCAAACATAGTTTCTACAATCTCTATCGCAGCTGGTGAATATAAGGTATTCACCAAAGGTGTGAGCTTTTTTACATCTGGCTATTTTATATGATACTTTGTAAGAGGCAAGTAAAGCTATTTCGTTCACAGACTAAGTTTTTTTGAATAATGATGTTTGCTCTTCATATGACTTTAATTTTTATTCAAAGAATTCTCGGGGCTTTTTAACGTACTCACTATAAAGTGTTTCCAAATGGCGTCTAAGTTTATAAGGTTTCATGCTGTCTACTGCCTAAATTTTTAAGCAAATGACGCACATAGGTCTTTCTTCTTCATTTATTTTAGTAGTGGTAAATCCAAAATTTAGGTATTTTTGCGAATATTTTCTTTATTTTATCTTCGAAACCATGGTTGACTGTGCACTTGTTGAGGCTTTACTATTGTTTTATTGATGCAAATGTATTAACTATTAAATGTTATAGAAATGGTTATGTAAAAACCTATAAGCTATCTTAAAACATAACACAAGAATGTTTTACCTTACAACGGTTATAGTTCAGTGGTTTTACCATGTGATCTGCTACTTTACAAGTTATAAGACCAAAATCAGTTAGATGTAAAGGAACCCAAGTAACGAACACTTCTAGCGCTCTAAGAAATGAATTACATTTTTGTTAGTTACCGCTTAAAAGACTGTTATTTTAACCACTACATTCTGTATTGAACTTAATTTTGTTTCTAAATGTTACTTAGACCCCTTATGTTCTAGGGCCCACATATCTAACATTGGATACTATTCTAATACCCATTTATTTACAGAGATTGCTCCTTTAAGAAAAAAACACTAGTTGCGCAAAGGGCTGGTGCAAGGGCAGTTATAATTAGTGATATTATAAATTCGAACCAAGAATATTTTATCGAGATGATTGATGACAATACCGTTGAAGAAGTTAATATTCCGGCAGGGTATTTGTTGGGCAAAAACGGGTTGATGATTTTAAAGACTCTCGAAAAATTGAAACGCAATTACGCCATAATAAATTTGCCTGTAAATCTGACGTATACGCCAGTGCACGAGATGAACCAACCGCCGTGGTTGGGGTGGTAGATTTTGCGGTCGATTTATGCATTCTTGACTTTAATTTTTGAAATTTAATTGATAACTTTAAATCATGATAAAATTTGTGAGTGTATCATATAAATATGTTATTTTTAATTATAAAGTATCTTATCTTGAGTATATTTCAAGGGAAGTTCGCCAATGATGTCGCTATTGTAAGTATATAAATGATCTGCTTCAAAGTTTTTTATATATTATTTTGTGTTTAATAATCATGAAATTGAAGGTCTATTTTCTTTCTAAAAAAAATCAGTTATCGATTAGTTTGTGAAATCTTACATCAATTTTGATGCATGATGAATAAAAAAAAAATGAACGGTTTGAATTTAAATTTGACAAAATAATCAGAATGCGTTTTTTCCAATAACTTTGAAATTTCTTTTTCTTATGAATAGAGCAATAATTCTTAAGTACCTATAATAATTTTATTATCAAAAATTATAGAATAAAAATTAAGAATGCATATTTCGACCAAACATACCAAAGTAGTCATAATGCAGAGTCAACAAATTCTGTTTTAACTGTTAATTGGTAATGATAATTAAATTATTAGTGAACCAAAAACAAGAGAGGAAAAACATCATAATGAAGTGAATATGAAGTAAAAGTTGAAACTGAAAATTGATTCTGTATGTCAAATGTGTAATTATTTAAAAAAAAGTACTGTTAGTATTATTTTCAATTGATCTTGTTATTTATTCTGAATAAAATTACCAGTAAATTTTTTTGTTTTATTAAAATGTTATATTTTACTGCGTTTACTACATCCCATCATTAGATACAAAAAACATGATTTCATGCAAAAGATTTGAGGAGTGGATTTGAGGGCCTTAAATATGACCTTAACCCAGACAACACACCAAATCCCAGAGATATCCACAAAATATCTTTTGTGGATATCCAATATATCCACAGGATATCAGAAATATTCCGTGGATCTAATATGGATATTCAAATGTCCGTCTATATCCAGAATATAGAAGATATCCTAATGGATATCCAGCAAAATATCTAATGGGTATCTTCCAGAAAATACAAGAAATTCCAGAGATATCCACAGAATATATTTTGTGGATATTCAATATATCCAATATGGGTATCCAACCAAATGTCCGTCTATATCCCAGGATATAGAAGATATTCGGATATTCAGCAAAATATTTTATCTTTAGTAGAGGTTCATAAGTAACCAATGCTTATTGAATAACGTCGAAAGAAAATAGCAGAGATAAAAAATATTTTCAACACTCAAAATATTTTCAACCTCTGCCTTTGATTTTGCCCACTAAGGAGAAAGTCACCCTTATTAGGACTCTTCAGCAATAAATGGAAATTCTCGACTCCAGTCTCTAATGGAGTCTGATTAGGACAAATTTCGATCGAACTCAATTACGGCGGGTCGAGCATAAGTAGATGCGAAAGTGGTATCGCCATCTATACTTAGTAAGCAAAATCAAATAACATCTAGTGGATATCCACGATAATTTGCGTTCGAGCCTAGACTTTGATATATTTAGTGGATGTCCATGGGATATAGAATACACCTTAAAAAAATTAATTTTAAATATCTGAACGGTACTATTAGCCACAATGGCGTAATTTTTTAATAATTTGCTATATAATTACTATTATTATGGACATTTGCATGTCTATAAATTACATCTCATGGATATAAAATAGTTATCCACCAGACTGGACATTTAGTGGATATTGGGATGTTCAGTAGATATCCAAAGGATTTGGTGTGCTGTCTGGGAAGTTGGCAATTGCTGCTCGCGCCTCCTTGAAAAAATGGTTCCCCAATTAATATAAAGAGCATTTACTCACTTCCTGTTGTTTTTTAGCGAAAAAGTTTCTTACAGAAAGTTGAAGATGATAGAATTTGCTACAAAATTAGCGTATGTAAAGTAAAGAGAGTGATCTACAAAAAATTACTCTAAGGTAGGTCATGACCGACAAAAACAGATAATTTTTTTTATTTGGCACTTCGACGAAAAAAAAAAGCCTATTAAAAAAATGACTAGGTAGTTTTTTGAGACAAATTTCCAGTTAGCAACGAAATATATGCTACTTGCTTGCGACAGCAATAAAAAGCTCGTGTATATTAGGGTGAAGCGAAACAGGAAGAAAATATTTTTTATTTTATTTTCGAAACGTAATAGAGTGGAAAAGTTGCTAAATGTAAGAATGATTAACGGGCTATTTTTATTTTTAAAATTTAATCTTCAGGGCTCTACACCTACTTGATTTTTTTATTTTCCCGAATAATCTAATAAAACGGAGTAATAAATGAAATAGTATCACTTTTGCAAATATTTTAATAAAAATGAAAATAAACAATTTAAATTTGTTTTGTTTATAAACGAAAGCGAGTACAACTTAATATAAAATAGACGAGCAAACAAAAAAAAAAATAGGTATATGAAATTCATGCATTGTATTCCACCTTAGTATAAAATCGAGGTAGTATGGTTCTAGAATTAATCCTTGCACGAATAAATCCATCACTAGAGTCATGGCCGGCAACAAAATTGGAAGCTTCTCTACTGCCTGTGTATGGCAGGGAAAGGACAAAAAATCTACAGGACAAGTTCCTGTATCGTTTATAAATCATCTGATATCTCCATCAGTTGCAGTACTTAAAAGAAATGGTACTGTAACTGAGACATTTTGCCAATCAATAAGCTCATATTCACTGGCATCGAAATCTAATTCAAGAATAACAAATTCCCTTACGTATGTAGATATATTTGTGTGCGCCTTCAATATTCTTCATAAGCCACGTTCTCTCATATAGCATTGCTAGAAGAAGGTTCTCCGGATGACAAAAATACTCATTTCGTTTGATAAACAGGATCGATGACTGCCTTCAATTCGTTGTTAAAGTAGCGTGACAACTGTGTATCATTCTGAAGACGTGTCTTACTCCATTACAACACGATGGTTTTCTTTTAATGTCAAACCACACTGGCGCATAAACTTTTACCACAACTTCTGCGATTGTTCTTAAGTTTGTAGACGGACATTTACTTCCGATATAAAGATGCAATATACGGTTTGCCTTTGTAAGCCATCGTGCTTGTGATAATTTACCTGGATTACGAGCTGCTAGATCTAATGAACAGTTTCCTCTAGAAATTGAGCGACATATTTCATATAAGTACTCTTGATCAGTGCTAAGATTCCTAATAGCTGCAGCGTCCAATTCTGGTAAAGGGCTAACAATAGAAACAAAATTTACAACGGGCAATTTTTCGCAAGACTCCAGCATTTTTCTTATACCTCCAGAGTATACACGAGGTCCTGAAGTTTCTCCGTCAAGATATTGAAAAATATGACGAAGAGGCAGTTCATTCATATGTAGCTGACATATCATCAACTGCAGAGGACGTTTCAGTTTTGTTTCTAAATGCCGCAAAACTCCATTCTTCCTTCCTGTATTAACCGCTGTACCATCGCAGCCTACTACTAAAAGCTTATTTGTACTGATGTCAAATTATTGTAGAAAATTAACTATTGATATGGCAATATGTTTCCCCGTACTTGTTGTTGGTGTAATGTGACCCATATATTTTGAACCTGGTTCTTTGAGCAATGATATATGTTTTTCGATTTTTATTTTGCCATGAAATTTGTTTCTAATTTCTACCTGGCACTAGGGCTGCCAGATTTTCAGAAATGAAAAGCGGGAGGTTTAAATTTTTGAAAAAAAAAAAAAAATTATACAAATACCTACTAAATATACACAGATATTATTGTAGCATCAAAAAAAACAAATTTCAATGCCCGATTAATAAAACATTTTCAACAAGTCAACAAACAAGTACCTATTCTTAATTTTGGTATAATTTTTAACCATCTTCATGTAACAATTGTACATTTGTATAATGTTATGTTGGGAATGGGGTGTTAATACACTGCGACCTAAAATATCTTCTGTCGCCAATGTACTAAGGAAATATCTCAATGCCTATAACGACCCTTCCAATTCTATTTTCTCAAGGAAGTGTAGGATTTGAAAAGCTTCAAGTTAGGTAAATCTCCCTCTTCTATTTGATATCCTCCTAGATATAGTGCCCTTGGATTCTGGAGTGCTACACATTCAGTTAGGATGTAAATGAAGGTTTCGTCCTCCTCACAGAATCTGCACTCACTATATCCTCTATTACTCTCAGTTTACTTAGGTGTCCTATTAGTCGGCAATGCCCGGTTAGGATCCCTGTTACAATACGTAGCCTGTTCTTGCTCAGGCAGATGCAGGCTTCCGATCTTTTCTGGTTATATTCGCCCAGAAGTATCTTGTCCTATCTCAGCCCCAAGAGATTGTTCTAATTATCGGTTCTTCTACTGCCCAATTCTTTTTTAATCTCTCCTAATATTATGTTACTGCTGATACCGCAGAACGGCTCAGGTCCTACAAAGGGTGTTTGAGCCCCTTTCCTTGCAAGACTATCTAAAATCTCGTTACCCTGTACCCCATTATGTCCCGAGACCCAAGTGAGAGTAACACTATTTTTCTCGCCTAGCTCATTCAATTGTTCTAGGCATCTCCAGACCATTTTTGAGCTGATTACGTAAGATCTCAGCGCTTTGATTGCTGCTTGACTATCGGACATGATGATAATCTCTTGTCTATGATATTTTCTCTGGAAGATGCTTGGGTATTTCCCCTAACTTTCGGAGTGCTTGGTTCTCGGCCCATATACTCCTATTCCAAATCCATCTATGGTTTTGGAACCGTCCGTATACCACTGAATAACACGTCTTTCGGTTGCAAGCGCGATGGATTCTTGGCTCCATTCTTTCTTGCCGTCCAGCTCTGTGGTTTTGTAGTTTTTCACAAAACTGTACTTCTTTAGCATTTCATCCTGGTGCATGTCTCAGGTATATTTAGTCCTGAAGCAAGTAGATATTCGTCTGATTACTCCGTTCCTGATCATTTTATATCTTGTCCTTTTTGCCACATTCTCTATCATCAAATGTAGAGGGGTGAGGTTTAAGATCACCTCCATTGCGCCCGTAGGACAGGTTCTCATTGCACCAGTAATGCAAACACAGGCTAATCTTTGTACTTTTGAGATAATAGCTCTCGTAGTAGCTAAACCAGGGCCTCCGAGAGCCAGGTCAGGCCCCGGGACAATTCTCCAGGTCGGGCCCCGCGACAATTTTATAAAAAAATTTCTGAAAAAAGTCTTCAAGCAAAATTACTTCAATTATAGAATATAGAAAGAGAATTTCTTTCTTTCCTCCATGCTACAAACATTAGACTAAAAATGCTCTCACTCATCATGAGGAAAAGAAATACATAAGAGCAAATTTTGAAAAAATTTAGAGATCTATGGCTCTTAAAATAATAAACCCATTGCTGGTCAATTTTAATGTCTTTAAAATTTAGTGGTGGGTTTTCTAAATATGATGACAACTTCTTCTAAAAGTAGATCAATATCTACACCAATAACAAACTCATCAGCAATTTATATGTTTTTAAATCCATCGGCCCCAGACGTATAAAAGATGGCGCTTGTAGAGATTACGACGGTTGTAGATATGGGCCGAATGACCGATAATTTTTTAATATCTATTCAATGTAAATTCGGAGTAAATTAGGAAATTTCTGAAAAATCGGGAAGTTTATAGCTTAGTTTAAAAAGCGGGAGGGAGTGTGAAAAATCGGGAGGCTCCCGCCTAAATCGGGAGGTATGGCAGCTCTACCTGGCACATCGTTTTATCCTTTCTTCCATCGAAGTATAATGCTTTAATCTCCAGAGTAGATGTTTGGAATTCGCTTTTTAAATCAAAACGGTATTTTTGACGAGCTCTTCGGACCTTACTTCGGTCAATAACTGAAGACGATGTTTCTTTCGAAATAAGTCCCAAATCCTGTAATATAGCAGATGCAAGCGCTGCTGCAGAACAGTCCGAAATGCCAAATTGGTCAGAAATACGAGCTAGGTTGGGAATAGGTAATCTAATTTGCTGGCTTGTACTGCAACCTGATATTGATGGAAGCTCCAACTTAGCTTCTTGTTTTTCTGTCAAATTCTAAAGCTCTACTGACATCTCAGACTCAGATGAATAAGAAATACTGTCTCGCTCAAAGTTTTCAATGTTGTCATTGTCTACTTCAAACTTAAAAAGAAGCTGATTTGCATACACCTTGTTCTTAATTTTTCTTTCCTCATTGGCTTTTAATTAATTTGTTTCAGTAACGTCTATTTTTCCAATAATAAATTTTCTCACAGTTCGTTGATCGTGAATAAATTCTTGCTCTATATTTGGTATTTTGCGTTTTTTAGCACAGCCACATGTATCAAAAGAAGCACATTTAAATGCAGCAATATCGAATAATTTCTTCGAATCGTCTTTATATTTCTCAACTTTTAACTTATAATTATTGTCATTTCGTTTAGTTTTAGGATATCTAATAAGGATTTGGTATACTTATACCCAGGATATCTAGAATTAATTGTATAATGCGATTTTTCGCTATAGTGGGAATTGAAGCTTTTTGCCAGATCACTTCGATTGTATTCGCAAGAATTTGAGAAATTTCTAAAATACAGGGTCTTTACCGGAGCTCAAAACCTTAAGTTCATTTCGGATAAGCAAATATCGCTTCATGATATTTTCCATAGTTGGCAAAACATTAGAGGGTATATTCGCTGGTGCACCAAATATAGGACAATTAGTAGCTCCCCTAGCTACTGCCCCTAGTGTCCTTCACTGACAAACTCATTACAACTTAAAACAAAGATCTTACTTCCGCGACTATCAAAAGAAGAATAAGTTCAGCTTGAGCTACACAATTCGCCGTGCATAAACGATTATAAACTGGTCTTAACTGGACTGAACAAGTTTGAAGAGTTTCATGACATAATATTTGGGATTTTCTGGATTTTTTATTAATGTAAAAGTTTGATTCCAGGCACTTGTGAATAGGTGCATTTCGTTTATGTTTTTTACTAGAATTTTATGTTTTTTATTTTCAATTTGATGAAAGGTAGAGGCTTGAGGACAAATTTATTTTTAACTAAAATTTTAGAAAATAGTTTACTATAAGTAAAGGCTATTTTCAGTTTGTATTAAAAGTTAAAAAAATAAAAAAAATATTTGTTTTTTAAAATTGTTGATGGGAGGTAGAGCCCTGAAGACATTTTTTTTAAATTTAAATTTCAGAAAATAGCTTAATATATGTAGAGGCAACCTTTTCTTAGGTATTATATAATAAAAAATAATATTTTTTTTTCGCTCCGCCATATTGTATATATTACCGGCAATGTAGGTACTAAATTCAAATAAGGAGGCATATTTAATCGGTATGTTAAATTGAAGAAAAAATCATCTGCTACAAAAAATAAAAAATACATTTGCTATTAAAAACAGCATTTAAAAAAGAAATCTTGGATAATTAAGAAACTTAACGCTTATTATTTTTTTTTAGGGATAGAAAAGTAGCAACGACTGCAAACATTTTATTTTTAAAGGCACTTATATGAATTATACAGAGTGTAACTAAATAAGTGTAAAACATTTAAGGGGGTGATTCCTCATCGAAAAAAAGGATCTTTCATATAAAGAAACTTCATTGGAGCATCCCTTGTTAAGATACAGCCCCTTAAAGGGGTTACATAAAATTTGTTTAACAATTTTTTTCACAAGCACTAAACAAGTTACAATATTGAAATGAACCTGACATTTTCTACTACCAAAAAGACACTTAACCAGTAAGGGGTGGAAAACGCAACCCCTAAAATTTCGTTCCAACGTAACTTTTTGTCTTATTATTTGTTAATCATTTCAAAATTTATTTCCGATAGCCTGTTTCATTCTAAACAAAAAATGTCTCTTGAATTTTTTGCCCATAATAAACTAGTTCGCAGCAAAAAAATATTTTACGAACAAGATAGATATCGCCATAAAACGAAAATATGGATTTTGCCTGATAATTGTTTACGATATTGCAGTTAAGGCTTTGGAAAATTTATAAAATAATATCTATTGCCTTTGAATGATTTATACCGTGTGTCACTTTTACATAACAACACTGTTTCGTTGTTCCTTTCCGTACAGATAACAAAATTATAATTGATTGTGAAAATGTATTTTTCAATTAAGACACTAAACTTATTATTACTTTACTTTTTTCTTCCTTTTTTTAAATGAATATAGACTTAAATTAATATTTATCAATTATAATTTTTTTCACGTGAGCATTTTAACATACAAAAATAGTACGAAAAAGATGGCTGAAACTGACGCATGCGCACAAAAAAAATTGTGATGAAAAGGTCTATATCCTCATTTGTGTATGCCATATTAATAACAAGTGAATTATTAAAGTAACAAATTACGAACAGA